GCTTCAGATAAGCCAGTTCCTTGTACGCTGGTGCCGCGAGTGCGGCTTCAACGTTTTCATCTATACTCACCAGTTAGTTGAGCAAGTGATGGAAAAGATAGGAAACGTCTTACATGGTCCTCGATCTACGTCGAGCTGCGACCTCCTACCAGACCACAGAGGCAGTCTTGTGTCTGGACCGACGTAGAAACGCTTGTCCTCCAGTGGGATGCCCGGTGTCCCGACCAACTTCTCCAAGTCCTGTGCGTAGTACAGGCTCCCGCCAGCCGGGAAAGAGATTGACATCATCTTCGACTCGAGTTCAACAAGTTGGCGCATGACTGGAACGATTTCCTCTTCTTCTAAGTCAAACCATACGTCGCTTAGCGTTGTCCCTATGACGAATTCCATGAAGATATACTCGGTCTCTGCCGCGTTGTCTGGCACAGGCGAGTATCCGTATACCTCAGGTACAGGGAGCCCGGAGGAACGGAGTAGAGCCATAGTGGCCGCTTCACTAGCGACAGCTAGTTCCTTGGGGACCGTAGCCGGGTACGGGATACGCGCCACCATCTGGAAGCCATCCCGCATGGTGATGAGGAAGGTACGGTTGAACCCGCCCTCGGCGAGTTTGGTCAGGTCGATAATGTCATCAGGACTCCGGTCGACGGACTGCGCTGCGAGTCGACATAGCCCATCGACGTTGAACACACGTCTGCGCTCTGCGTGGCGAAGGGCATCGTTGATGCTGCACATGTTAAGATACAGGTTAGACATGTACACCATTGAGTAACATGTACGAGACTTACATCCACCGGCCCGAGGTGTAGTCGAAGAGGTTGTCAGGAGAATGCGGGATGGTCGAGAAAGCGCGACGTGGCACCGAACGAGCGATAGAGCTCAAGGCGTAAGAGTACAATGAACGCAGTGAGGAACGAGGACGGCGCAAAGATGGCGAGACTGAAACTGTCCACAAGCCGGAGATGAGCCTCGCCCTTCCAAGACACGGCATGTGGAGACTCTGGAGAGTGTCGCATTGCAAAACGAATTTACGAACAACACACCTGGGAATCTCCCAATAAGGTAATCCAGCGCCCAGTCGCTACGAGCCGTCCATGGGTTGTTGCTGCCCTGCCACTTTCTTCCTCGACACACTCAGACCTCTATTGATGTCATGGTATTGAGTCACAACATCGATAGTTCTGAACTATTTCTGCGCTTGCGAGGAGGGATGAGCGAGATTGCACCATTTGGGTGCCTACGTGTTTTGCGGGCACGCGCTATCGTTTTGCAAGGCGTTGGAACAAAGCGGTAGGAATCAAATCTCAGTGACCAGCCAGCGCGAGATTTAACTGACCAACTCCCCAGTCAGCAACAACCTACAGATTTACAAACGGCCTCAAATTCGAGCACTACGGTGATTTGCATACAACTTTGTAGGCCGCGTGCGCGGAACCGACATATATGCGCCGAGTTGTATGTAGCACTGTGGCCCAGCATCTGGTCGTGTGCTCTAGCTGAATCGGAGAAACAGAGTGAAAGTCTTAGTTTATGAGATATCTCGGCGATGGATGGGACATATCGTAGAAGGAGATTCGATGAGCGCATCTCGTATCTTGGTGACCTCAGCAGTCATGACGAAGGACATACAGGTGTACAGCACAACTTCCGTCTACCGTCTGCTCCCTAGTCTGTTCAGTTACCGAGGTATCCTGTTGTACCTAAGCGTCATGTGTCAAAATTGCTCTGTTCATGGGTCAGGCACACAAGATCACGAGTAGTGGAAGGCATCTCACCTTGCGAGCGAGTCTACCGGATTCAGGCTCAGAATGATCTCCATCTCCGTCATATATGTCGTCTCCAATGTCCATGGATGGAGTGCTGACATTCGATAGATCCGAGGAAGCTATGAGTGCCCGACGACGCATGAGACTCAAATGCGAGCTCCGATTCTTGTGATATCGACTGAGAGCGTCGGGCTACTATGCGCTCGACCCTCTGTAGATCAATGAAGACTCTCGACGTGAGGATAGAAGTCAACCTAAGCAGGATTGATCAATGCATTGCGGGAGATTTGGTGAGCACGCACGGTTCCTCGAAGAGAGTCACGGCGCTCGTTGCACTGAAAACGGTAGCAGTGACATGATGGAATATCAGAGGAGGATCACGGAGAATTCGAGACATACTCCCCGTTCACCGAAGTCAAAGTGAAAGCAACGTGAAGAACGTTGAGGATGAGCATTGCCCTGTGAGTAACGGTGAGAAATGCTGGGATCAGATGGATGAGTACGTCTACTGACAAGAAGTAAGCCGTCCCTGAGGCCAAATGAATCACGATCTCGAGTCGCGCGAATAGCAGGTCTTTGACGCGCCATCGTGCAACAGAATACTTGCACATCCGCGTTGGCCCAGTCCAGCCAGCCGGGACATCCTGATGGTCTGATAGGTTGAGCGCCAAGTGACGCAAAGGACCATCCAGTCGGCTGCAATCAGAGAGAACCGCGACACTGCGGTTACTGTTTAGACGCGAAATGAGCAGGCGTACATTGGCAAATCGAGGTATAACGTTGTGCAATTTCGACCCACATCTGACAATCACAGCGTGAATACAGATGCGGTAAGCCGTGCGCGATGAGTGCACTCGCCTCGTGATCATGTCAGTCGATAAGTATATTCAAGGCCACTATGCCCTGTCCTGGGTCGTTCACGAAGGTGACCCAACGAAAATGATCCTTTAGGAACGAATCATCACCTTCCCGCTGTTGCTGAAGTTGGCATGACCTGAGCTACTTACAAGCATGTTGAGGATGAAGGGCGCCGAGGAAAGGGCAAATACTGTGGCCGATATCGGTAATCTGTATCTTGGTGAGCATCAGCTGTAATGGACTCGCCGACAGCCGAGGTGCCTGACATCCTCAGCTACTCTCCGGTCTGATGACGCGGAAGACCTGAAGAGAGAGAAACGTCGACGATGATATCGGAAGTGACCCAGCTGCCGATATCTCAAGACCTCGGTAACGACGTTGCGGCAGCAATAGTACACCGATCCCATGCCGAGACTCGGCGAGCGCGATTGACACTCCGCTCGTGAGTACCTGAGTCGTGAGAAACTCCGAAACGGTACACGAAGCCGATCATGACATCGATACATACCGAACAGACGGCTTCGACGCGCTCAAAGCCTTGGTAGCGGCGGTCCGAGGCAATCTGAAGCAACCAGGAGATACCTTGCTTTCCACCCTCGCCGAGAAGTATCCTGATAGGACCAACGCTTAACTACAGTAGTACTCGAGCAAGTCTTCGAAAGCCCGTGTGGGAGGAGCACGGACAGTGCTAGGAGAAGCATTGGTACGGACTGTCCCCAATATGTGGCGAATGGAAGGTTCGTCTCTCTCGACGAGCGACAGTATGCCGGGACATCATGGTCGCCTCGTGTTTCGGAGGTACGTAGACTTCTTAGTTTCTACGGCTACGTCAACTAGATTCCACAAACGACGGATTGAAGCCCATAGTACATCACGACTCAGCCTTTCTAAGGAGTCTCAGCGGGACGCACGACTAACTTGACACCACTGACTTCGCCTTGATGCAGCCTCTCTAGCCCTACTGGGATCCCTGTGAATCCGCCCGGAACCACCTCGACCCTGTTTGGCTGCAAAAAGCGAGAGACGTCAACATTGCTCTGAAACACACAGTAGTCAGGGAGACGTACCACAATGACACCGGTAGCGAGCCACCCGGGCAGGCGACTGTACACCTCCAATCCGAGCTTGAAATTGCCAGGAACATCGAACGCGCCATATACACGAGTGACAGGCTTCTTTTCCGTCACCAAGTCCTCGATGTACTCATGGAAGATCGGTTGGACGGTCACGAACGCGCCGCCGTCCTCCAAGAGCTCGTAACTGAGCCGCTGCTCATCCCGATCACCAATGGCGTCGTAGACGTAGGTGATCGGCTTGCCCGCGGCGAACGTGCGAACCTGGGCTTGTATCTCCGCAGGCAGGAGGTGGCGGTCAATGACATGAGTCGCACCGAGCGACTTGAGGAATTCCGCATGCTTGAGAGAAGAAGTGGCAATGACCGCCGCGTACCCTTGCAAGCGCGCACACTGAATGGCTGCAAGCAAGATGTCACAATCAATAATGGAAGGTGAGCAAAATGTTGACATTCACTGCGTACCGTATTGACCTACGGAAGAAGAACCGCCGATGATGAAGGCGACGTCTCCGGCGTACTTGACCTTGCCGCCTTCCTCCCAAGGGGGCGTGAGTTTGGCGGACCTCGCGCCTTCTTCCTGTGCCCAGATACCAGTGACGACTGTCGCTAGGCACAGTGGAACGGATGCAGCCTGGTCAAAGGAGATGTTGTCGGGAATCTTGTAGGCGTTCATCTCAGTATCACTTGACAGTAAGCAGAAAAGCTAAAGATACCTTAGCCGTATAAGCAGCCGGGCCTCAGTTGAGGGTGTACTCCTGGAAGGTCGCACGCGTGTTATCGAACGCGCCCTCGAACAACCTACATATACGAGAAGAGGGTCCAAGTCAGATAGGGCAAATGTGCGGACGATATAGCGTTAGCGCAGCTTACACCTTGTCACCCTTAGCGAGGTTCGTCACCTCCGATCCCACTTCCTCGACGATACCTGCACCATCGAGGCCGCAGATGAAAGGATACTCCTTGACGAAACCCGGGCACCTCCGGATTGAATGCGCCAGTCGGCGGGGTTGAGCGCGATGGACGCAAGCTTGACTAGCACGTCCTTGGGACCGGGCTTGGGGATGGGCCAGTCGTTGACGAGCTTGAATGGAGCTCTCTCGGCGGGAATGACTAGAGCTCTCTGGGACGGCATCGTAGTAGTTTCTCAATTGGGCTCTTGGGAGGAGTGGTTGTACGCTTCGGACATCTGCACAAACGCTTCGGACATCTGCACAAACGCTTTTATACTCCTACTGGGACCAAGAAGCGTGCGAAATACAGCGTGGCGGGCCACTGCATCTTCTGAGGTAGAGGTGGCTTGACCTGGGACGAAGGTTTGGTTATCGGCATCTCGGAATGTCGGAGTCCACCATCGCTATCGAGCGATGGAGGGCATCGTAATGTTGCTGAGCAGGTTAACTTGGCGGTTGTAGTCCTCGGGATCTTCCGTCGGGATCGTCAGTGGGTTGCCAGAGTATGCCGTGATTGATGGCGGGGTTATGGACTCGGAGACGGAGACGAATAGCTCAATGAGGAGACTGAAGAGAGTAGAAACGGTAGAAATGCTCTGACACTTACTGGCAGCCACAGCACGACATCGACCTCAATACGCATGATCGATGCGTAGAACCAGAGCTGACTTCCTATAGAACCAAGGAAACATGTATAATTGTCATAGCAGTCATGCCAGGAATGAATGTGACGCACCGTAGAGATTGCGACTAGAAGCATCAATGTGGTGGACTCGTTGATTCTGACCATGCTCAGACCATAACAAAGGAAAATACCACCCGTACTGCACGGATGGATCCATACAGTCTCCGCGTGAGACAGGTTTGCATCCCTTGCCACAGGAGAGGAGTCTTCCATAGCACAGGATACAATGCCGCTCGTCCGCTCAGGATGTACCTCTAGAGATAGAATTCGTAGAGTAACATGTGATGTATAAGATACAGCATGACACAGATCGACAAATACAGGGTGCGTCGTATACAGAATGGGCCTCACTTACTTGGCCTTGCACTCCACCTTGTGCTCTGACCAGTGCTTCTTCTGGCACTGTCCATCACAGTACCTATCAGAGAACAGACGTGAGCAGACCATTGGTATACTTCCCATGTAGTAGATGACGCACCTCGTCTGCCCACACCCTCCACACTTCCTCAGCACCGCACTCGGATTCCCGCACCACGAGCAGCGGTAAAGCGCGACGTTGTTCGTGCTAATCGTCGGATGGGTGCACCGGTGAGCATGAGCACTGTCGTCCGAGCCATCGTCGAGCTTGATGTTGTCAAGCCATGCAGCAAGGTCGTCGTCCGCCTGCGTCGACGAAATTGACTGGTGCCTGTCCCTGCGCGTTTCGAGCTTGTCGAAATGCTTCACCCACGCGCCCCACTCCTCCACCGCCTTGGGGTATAGCTTGAGAACCAGCTGACGAGCGAGGCGCATCTGCGTGTTGTTGATCGCCAACCCGAGGTGGGTCATGAATTGCGTGGAGATGTCCAGCTTCCGCTTAGCAGCCTACGTGCACATCGTCAGTCCAAGTGGAGAAACGAACGCAAGGCGAGACTGACATCAAGCTCCCGCAAGTCCTCGCTCAACTCTGGGCCCCTGATCGCAATTGTCAAGAGTATATACCAGTTCAAGATTGTCTTCATGTGCCTGTTATCCGGCGGCGCCTCCGCCGTGAACGTTTTCGCGTCCTCCCACGCCGACACCAAGAACGCGACGCCCTCCGCATGGCTCGACCCGCCCGCCTTCGCGTCCTGCAGCACGCTCACACCCAGGTCCCCCGCGTGCTCCACTGCGCGCCACAGCATGTAGTTGCGCACGAACGGCGTCACGTTCTTGCACTTCAGCCCCTTCTTCACCGCGCGCAGGCCCTGCTCGTGGTCCGCGCCCATCGCAATCGCGTAGTACGCATATGCGAGCTCTGGATTGCGGTCTACTGCCCGCTGCCCGTGCGCGATCGTGTCTGGGATCCTCCCGCGGATGATGTAGAACTTGAGGTCAAGCACGTCCGCCGCGTCCAAGTCCGCAGGGCCGCCACGCGCACGGAGCGCGCGTGCGCAGTGCGGGAGCGCGTCCGTCCACATCGTGAAGGGCAGCCCGACGTCGATCGTCTCCGGCTGGCCGCGGGGGCCGTCCGCCTGGAACATGCCCTCGGCGATCGCGAACTCGGTGCGCTGGATGAGCATGGCGAGCGTGCGCCCCAGCGCGTATAGGTCCTTGTCCTGCGCGCAGCGCATCATGGCACGCTGATAGTCTGCGGTGCTCCGGAGGGTGAGCGTCGTGTCGCAGCGCTCGGGCCCGTAATCCATCATGAGGTCGGAGAGGTTTCCGGGGAAGCGTCGCTGAACGGCGGCGATCATCTTGTGCGGGTCGAAGTTCTGCCGGTCGGGCTCGGACTCTTCTGCGGTGAGGCGGAAGAGTCCACCGAGAGCGGTGCAGCGCGCGGTGAGGTTCGTGCTGCGCAGGCACGATACGAGGAGGGTGAGCATCTGGGGCACCGCTTTGCAGTCTTGAGGACAATGTTGCGTGGCACTTGTCAACAGACTGAGAGCGTGGTCGATCATGTAGTGGGAGGCGATGGGCTTGCGGACATTCTCGACCGTGGTCTTGAGCACGGAGCGTACTTGGATCTCTTTGACGAGCCCCTTGTCTGGTGAATCTTCTACCGCGAGCACGGCGCTCGTCGCGTGTGCCATGGTGACCGTGGCAAGCTCTATGACCTTCGCGTCGTCGGGATGTGCCTGAATGAGGCGTACGAGCACGGGGTTCTTCCGCGCGATCTCGCGGCGCGCGAGCTCACCCCCATGGTGCGTAACAACCGAGAGCGCGTTCAGCGCCATATGTCGCGTCGAGTCGTACTCGAGCAGGGGCATTATCTTCGAAAGCAGTCCTGTGCACATGTTATAGGCTGCGGAGCTGACAACTTGAGCGCATGTATGCACGCACCTTCGTCAAAGAGCTTGTCCCTGAGGATCGCGTCTGCGCACATCTTGGCCCAAATGCCGACAATGCCGCCCATGAGCTTCTCGTTCCCTCGCCGTTGCGCGCCAACGTATGCCGAGTCGAGCTTCCTGTAAATGTCGTTGAAGTTGGCGTGCACCTTCTTCAGCCCGCTCCGCGTACCAATGTCTGATAGTCCGAGGTGGGCCGTTTATCTACCGAACTCGTACGTGCGAGATTTCCCGACGCACCTGGTAGCTCAAGGTAGTTGCATAGATCGTCCATGATGATGCTCCATGTTGCGGCGTTGTCAAAGTCGGCAAAAAAACCATCCGGGATGTTGAATGTAGGCGTTGTGGTCGCCGACCCCCTTGCCGCGGACGTTCTCTGCTTCTGGCGATTGTTTCGACGCGCTCCTGGACCGAGCATTTGCGCTTATTGTGGGGGAGGCAACCGAATTCTTCGAGAGAACGAAGCGATTGCAAAGCGGGATGCGAGGGACGTCTGAGAGAAGGGGAGCTGTTGAAGGTCGGGCAGCCTGAGCGCCTGCTGTAGCTTGCCTGGTGCCAGATTCGCGAATCGCGAATTTGAGTACAGATCGATTGATTCAACCTTATCTAATCTCTCTGGGGCGCGGTGCGTTTAAGATTAACCTTGTCTTCTCTCCCCGAGCGCATTTCTCAGGCCCAACGATGGGAGTCATCTCGTCCTCTGTCGCCAGAGTCATTCTCTTGTCCTTACTGCACCCGGACGTCTCCAAGGAGAACTGCAAAGCCCCCTGCTAGACGTTGAAGACTGCCCCGCTCCTGCAAACATGCCCATCCTCGGCCTCGCCCCCGACCGCTACCCGACCAAGCCCGCGCACTTCGACATCGAGCGGGTCATCCGCCCCAACATCCTCTCGCTGCACCCCTACCGCTGCGCGCGCGACGACTACTCCGAGGGCATCCTCCTCGACGCGAACGAGAACGCGCTCGGGCACTCCATCCCCCCCTCCGCCGCCTCCGCGCTCGAGCCGGAGGTCCAGCCCGCGCTCGCGCTCGACCTCCACCGGTACCCGTCCCCGACGCACGACCCCATCAAGGCGCGCCTCGCGGAGCTGCGCGGGCTCCCAGGGACGGAGTGGGTGTTCTTGGGCGTGGGGTCGGACGAGGTCATCGATCTGCTCATCCGGGTGTGCGTCGCGCCCGGGACGGAGAAGGTGCTGATCACGCCGCCAACGTACGGGATGTACGCGGTGTGCGCGCAGGTAAACGACGTGGGCGTGGTGAAGGTGCCTTTGGTGCTTGGGGGGGAGGAGGGAGAGGGCGGGGAGAGGGGGCGGTTCGCGGTGGACGTCGAAGAGGTGTGCGCTTCGCTTTTCTGGCCGTCTTCCCACACTGCTTGCTGGGATTAGCGTTTTGCTTGGCCCGTGTCGTTCAGCGAGTTGATGCCACTTCGTGTAGGTGAAGAAGGCGATCTCTGCCGACCCTTCTATCAAGCTCGTCTTCCTGTGCTCGCCAGGGAATCCCACTGGTACCCTGATTTCACTTTCATCGATACGCTCTATCCTTGAATACGAGGACTTCAATGGCATCGTGATTGTTGATGAGGCGTATATCGACTTCGCGGATGAGAAGGCGAGCGCGGTCACGTTACTCCAGGAGTATGGCAACCTCTGCGTAACGCAGACTTTGAGCAAAAGCTTCGGCCTTGCTGCTATCCGGTAATCCATGTCTTCAGCTTCCATAACCAGCTCTTTACTAAATCATCAGTTCCCTAGGCTGGGCATCGCGTTCGCCCACCCCGCGTTGGTGCAGATCCTCATGAACACCAAGGCGCCGTACAATGTCTCCACTCCCACTGCGTCATTAGCGCTTTCTGCGCTCTCGCCAGATGCTATTGAACTTATGAAGAGCAAGGTGTCGACGCTCGTCAAGTCGCGCGGTGAGCTTCTCCGAGGTCTGGAGCAGCTCCGGCCTCTGGGACTTGGTGCGGCCATCGGTGGGAACGACGCAAACTTCGTGATGGTTCCTATCTTGGAGAAGAACGGAAGCGGGAGGCCGGACAACGTTCGCGCGCAAAAGATCTATAAGACACTCGCCGAGCATGAAGGCGTCGTCGTGCGGTACCGTGGCGGGGAACCTGGGTGCGCCGGGTGCGTGCGGATCACTGTGGGGAGCGATGAGGAGATCAAGGTGGTATTGCAGAAGCTAGGCGAGTTGCTGAAGTCATTGTAGATTTCGTGAATTATGTAGACATGTACAACTATATATAGGTCAGCCTTTGGTTTGCACACGTTGACCTATGAGAGTACAAGCTGTCAAAGCGCCCATGAAACGGTAGTGAAGGCACTAGCATTTTCTGTCAGTTTCAGGAATTGATCGATGGTGGAGAGCCGCCAGCAGTGTGGCTCACGAGCTTGTAAGTAGGTCGATGACGACTGCGGCGGTCGGTTGGTAGACCCGCTATCTTGATCGAGCGCTTGTGGACGCGTCATGGTGAACAGGCGCCCCCAGCTTCTTCCTGACTGAGCTGCAATTCTGCACACTGCCCCCGTGTATTTGCACTCGTTCCTCTTTCCCTTCCAGCTATCTGCATAGCCCTCCAATAGACGACTTTAGAGCATTTGAAGCAACCAGTAGCCACGACGACACCACCTCGCGTTGCACGCTTCAAATAAGCTCCGTACTCCACATCTGGCAGGTGTCTCCACCCACGACTGAGACCCACCTTTATTGCTCCAGTTCCCAGAGCCCAGACGGTGACGCGCAAGAGCGCCAATACCAGGCACCGGGCCCGACGCATGACGCCTCGCGCCGCACGAGAGGGAACGAAGCTGCCAGGCAGACGCGATCGGGGGAGGTTGACATCATCGCAAGCCCCGTCGCCTGGCCAAACAGCCTGTTGGCCGTCCGTTTTCGGAAATGGCTGGCAAGCGAGAGGATGACGCCGTGGTGTTCGTCATAGGACACATCGGTATATAAAGTTCGCGGGCGCGGTGGACGGCTCCACCACTGTCCCCTCACGTTTGTTGTTTACGACCCCCACCTCGCTATACACACTTTACATTCCACTCCCGTTAATTTCTTTCCATCTCATACGACTCTCGAACGATCTGCACGATGTCTCTTCCCCAAGCTCAGAAGGATATCGCTAACAAGCCGGCGGCGGTACGTCTTCCCTCCCCTACCGCAACCCCCCTCGAACATGTCGCTGACTTCTCGTGGCCCCGCAGAACTCCGTCGTCGACCCCGTCGACAAAAAGACGATGGCCGCGGACGTCGACCGAAAGCTCCGCTTCTATGGCGTCGTCAGGGCCTTTAGCGAGTCCCGTATGCCCTCCAACGAGCAGATCGACCGCTTCCTCAAGTACTGCCTCGAGCACTCCCCCGTCGACACCAACGATCTCTCCCCCGAAGGCTGCCGTCTGATCCAGGACACGCGTGACATCATCGAAACCGCGCGCCTCATGGTCCAGCAGAAGAACGCCGACGAGCTCTTCCAGAACTTCATCTGGCATACGCGCGACGTCGACGTCGACCAGGCCAAGAAGGACCCGAACGAGGTCATTCCCGTCGACAAGGAGAAGGCCAAGGGCGACGGCCGCCAGGCGGTCCAGCACCTCCGCACCCTCCTCTCGCTCGTCATGACCAACGCCGAGGTCCGGAAACTCCTCTCGGACTTCTCGGTCATCGGCCGCGACATCCTTGCGCGCACCGCGAGCAAGGTTGCCGACAAGGCGCGTCCCGACGAGGAGCGTCTTCGCCAGATCGACGACACCGCGCCACGGAACCAGTTCGTGTCCGAGGGCGGGCGTGTTGTTAGTCCCGATGAAACTCCGGTGAGTATATGCGCGCACCTCGCTCGAATGTATGCTCATAACGGTGCCACCAGGTGTTGGAGGCTCGCATCCCTGGTACGAACACCACAGTCGCTCAGCATCCTCGTGAGGAGTTGGGCCACGGAGCCAAGGTTACGACAGGCAACGGCGAGACCTTGAGCGGCGCTCAGGCGAAGGACGAGGCTCAGAGACGCGCCAACGAGACGACTGATCGAGCTAGGGTATACATGATCTCTCTTGCGTATATATAATGATACTGACGTCTACGCTCAACAGGCCGAGGGTCAGCGCCAGGCGGACGAGCTCAATGACACCGTGAACGGCGATGCTGTTCCTAGCGACCGCGAAGATGCGGAGGCGAAGAAGTCTGGCTTGATGAACAAGCTTCGTGGGTACCGAGTACGCATATATACATATAACGCGCGATGCATGAGATGCTGACATCGATGTATGCAGGACAACCTCACCGACCGCATTCCTCAGGAGCATAAGGACCGTGCCAACGATCACTACGACCGCGCCAAGGGGGTCCTACTTGACGAGTACTTCCCTGAGGAGCGTCGGGACCAATTCATTTACCGGGGCAAGAAGATTATTGTCGAGTGCCAGAATCACAAGGACTACCAGGAATCGATCACATGGCTGCTTGACTTCTTGGAGGAGTATGCCGCCCACGGCAAGTCCGTGGCTGGTCACGGTGGGTTGCTTTGTCTAAGATTTGAAGACGTCCCTCTGACATAGTGCGCAGGCAAGGATTCTCACCAGCAGCTCACCTCCGACCCTGCTGTTCAGCAGGCTACCACGGAGCTTCGCACCCTCCTGGAGCGATTTGCCAATGGACTAAGCCTCAGCATTATTGGCGATGCCATGCAGGCGCTTTACAACGACGCTCAGCAGGATGAGGACCTCAGGAACTGGTTCCGCTCTGTAGATGCCTATGTTCGCAAGGTACGCAGATCGTATTTATCCAGTATCTTGCGCCTTGCTGACCTTGCGCCCTTGCGCATATCAGGTTTTACTGGAGCCCGGTTTCGTTCTCGAACCGAAGTGCAACGATGACGCAAACAGCCTGCGCGAGAGCGGTCGTCAGTTCTACGATGAAAAGTACAAGGGTCACTTCGACAACCTCTTCAACGCCGCCGGTGACTGGTTCCGTGCTCTGGGCGAGGACCCGCTTAACAAGAGGTTAGTTCACCGCCCGCGAGAACGTTCGCGTAGTGTGTATTAACGCCTGGACATATAAGGTTCGGAGAGGACTGGGCGCGCCTCACGAAGGACCTCCTGTTCGACAGCGAGGGCAGCCTCAAATTCAAGCCCGAGCTTTGGCTGGACATCCGCAAGGTCATCCTCCCGAGCATCATCGATCAAATCGGCTATGTCCCCATCCCGCGTATCGAGTACACTGACGATGCCCTCGATCTCGTCATTGAGAATCTCGCGCTTTCCGGCCGCAACCTCTTCCCCAACGTCGTCAGCATGGAGGCGCATAACTACATCCGCTTCAGCCCGTATAACGCTATCACGTAAGCGTGTCGTGTCTTCCTCGTATTGGCATATCCTCACAAGATCAATTAGGGATGAGCAACACCACGAGTTCATTTTGACTTTCGGTCAGATCCAGGCGGACATGCGCGATGTGGCCTTCTACTTCAAAAAGAAGAGTGGCTTCCCCAAGTTGTCCGACTCGGGTCTCGCGGACGTCCTTCTCGGTGGCGAGGGCCTTACCATCACCGCGCACATCGCGTCCGCCGACAAGGATAAGTCGAGCGTCTTCAAGGTCAAGAACGTGAACGTCAAGGTCGGCACGCTCAAGTTCTCGATCCGCGACTCGAAGCACGACGTGCTGTACAAGACCCTCCGCCCGCTCGCGACCGGCCTCGTCAAGAAGCAGCTCCAGAAGGCCATCGCTGACGCCGTCAAGACCGGGCTGGAGTACATCGACGGACAGCTCGTTGGCGTACGCGACCGCATGGTAGAGGCCAAAGCGGACGAGAACAAGTCTCAGACTCAGGTTCTAGCCGAGATGTTCCAACGCAACAAGGAGCAGGCCGGATCTGTCAAGTCAAAGGGTGATGAGAAGGGCTCGCACTTCAAGGTCGTGTCGCGCCGCGATTCGGCTTTGATCCCTGACAAGGGTCACCCTGCTGGTTGGGCGAACCGCACTCAGGAGCGGGAGGAGGCTGCTCAGCGTGGGACCGACTGGCGTAGCGACGCGTAAGCTCCTCTTCCTGTCCAGGCTGATTGTGTTCGAAGCTCACACGTCTCGCGTTTCTCTAGGTTCAGCGTCGTCTAAGCCACGTATATCCTTATTCTCGGACTGTAAAACCCACGATTCCCAAGCGACGCCTCCTGCGATATACCTATCTTTCCTTCGCTCCTCATCATGTCTCTCCATTCATTTCGTCTTGCTTTGGATCCTTCGCGCAGTCACGACTTTTGACGACTATGCATGCACTACCTTTGTTGTATCATTGTACCCCATCTAGTCTGTGATGGTTTGTTACCATATCCTACCTGTACCGTTTACCTATGACATGTCGTAATCGAAACTTAATCGTGTTCTCACTTACTCAGCAGGTCCGTAGTCTGTCTCACTCCGGGCTGGCTTGAGGTTGCCTCAGCAAGCTGCTTGACGAACGTCTCTACCCAACAAAAGTCGTTCGTCACAATACATCTCGAGTACCATGCAGCGTACAAGTTATTTCCCAATTCCCTCTTACAGGCGCTTATTCCCCTTTTCCCAGTACCATCATGACATGGTCGCTGCGTCCGGCAGGCTCGGCGTGTCGATCCTACATGCTCACAACGGCAACCTGTGGCAACGGCCTGTGCATCTATGCGTACCGCCGGATTGCCGTAACTTGTAAGCCACTGTCCCATCGCATCTGCCATGTATTGCACATATATCCGCTGGTGGCTGAGAACTTCTCAGTGAACTGCCTACTTGGCGTAGTGGCTTCGACGGGCGGGTTTGAACCACGTTAGGAGCACCTGCCGTGTCGGTCCCTTGTTCGAGACGATCTCGAAGGCTCTGAGCTCAAGACTTTCACTATGGTGCAGGCAACGTTATCGACACAGTGCCTGTGGCCTCCCGTGGCGAATTTTCAGCGGCTTACAGTGCTTTGCAAAAGAGATTGCAGACCGAAGCGCGCAAAATTCGGTTTGGCCCTGTCTGGCCACCCGGGCAAACGCCTGCGATACCGGACGCCTCTTTGCAGCATGGTCAATGATCCAGCTGCAACCCTACCGGAAATACTCAGAAAGTTGTATTGTAGAGGCACAGAACATGGTTGTGCATTTTGGCAGCAGAAAACGGGGCTCAGACTCAAGCACGGTCTTGTCGAACCTCCGGGAGCCCTTGCGAGCGCCCGGTGTCCGAAACAGGAATTCTCGCCATGGCCGTGAACACTCGGGCGAGCACGAGTCAGGAGAAGACATCCTGTGAAGCGTAGCTATAACTATTGCCTGTGCGGCGGTGCCGAAGGGTACGTCACTTGGACTACTAGTCTATGTATGAGGGTCGCAGCCCGAGCCGATGTCAATTGTGACTAACTATCTATCTCGGCAAAGCTTCTTCTAGGGCCGTCGACTGGCCGTGGGCGACGGACTATTGGCCGAAGGGCGAGTATCAATGTTGATATGCCCGACTCCGCGGACTCCGGGGGTGCGCCATTGTACCCTCCCACTTTCCTTGCTACGACGTATGGGTCAACTCGCGCTGGGACGTGTCGTTTGGGAGGAGTGAGTCTGTCCCACTGTACATCATGTGAAGTACTCGCTGAGAAATCTCTCTCTCTCTCTCTTATGTAGTTCGATTCAAGAGGCCCACACTGGCGGGCTCAACACAGTTCCACAAACGTCTGTAGCACAGCACTCGCAGCTGGTCAGCAGCAAGGCCCAATGTCGTCCAATGCCTACGGAAGTATGGGAAAGGGTGATCGACCTCTGTAGAACCAATTGGCGCCTGGACGGCACTCGGAGCACGCATCCGCAAGTCGAAACACAGCTACGCACCGACGGGACGTACGAGACTTGGCAAATGTGCGCTCTCGTTTGTAAGTCCTGGTTGCCTCGTAGCCGCTACAATCTCTTCGCAGAGGTCTGTATCTCTCGGCCCGAACAGATCGATCAGCTCCTGCGTACCCTTGAAAATCACCCGACCTTGGCAGAGCACGTCGTGAGGCTCACGATCACCCTCCCACCGGATGCCACTACTGGCTACATCCCATTCAACCGGGCGCCGCTCTCTCAGATCCTGAGCAACTGCCGTACCTTGGACTTGCGCGGCGTTGATTGGCGGCACTACCACCCTCGCTGGCATTGTTTGCACTCCGTTCCGCACTTCTCCTGGGCACACGTCGTCGAGCTGTTTCTTCCTATCGACTACCTCACGCCCGGTGGCGCCGCGCGTCTGATATGGTCTCATCCTGCTCTCGCTTATCTCACGCTCTTCCATGGCCTCGATTACTATGGTAAGCTGCGTGCTAGTAGCATCCCTTCTATCCACCCGTCATACCAGACTCTTGCCTCTCGGAGGGAACGGCCGCGTGATGCGTGTCGCTATCTCAGCGAGGTGCACATAGTCACAGTGAGTCAGGTCGCGATCACCCGCTTCGACAGCCCTGCACCGTCTGATCTTGGCTACAGCGGTCAGCGGTATCTACCACCATCTCGTTTCCCCTTCAGCACCTGCTCGGTCACACAGTGACGCGGCTTACCTTGGCCATGAGCAGAAGCTCTATTGACTCACGTGCGTTGCAGGATGAGGTTTCTCCTGGCGTCCGTTCTGACGAAGGTCGCTCGCAGCTGACCTCTGGAACTATATTGCATGCTTGGAGCAGCTTGAAATCCTCAGCGTGTCCATTTCCGCTAGCGAATACGACCCCTACAGCGCCTTCGAGGACACATTGCCCACTCTGATGGCACACGTGAAGTCGGGAACTACGCTCCGCACGCTAGTGTTTGTCGTCTCGGCCACCAATCTCACCTTTTGTACCCAACAGAGTGCGCCACTACTCGAGCTCTTAGGCGGAGACGATGCCCTTCAGAGATTCAAGGGTCTGCACGGTGTGCATCTGCAGATCCATGAGTCCATCACGACCCTCCCGGGAGTCCGCCGCTCGCTGACCAGCTGCACTATCGCATGCCCGGCGAGCGAGTGGGCCACTTGCCAGTGGGACTGCGTGGCCGCTTGCTCGACGTGCTCAATCACTATGGCACAAGGCAGTGTCAATTGGCAAGAAGTCCGGAGAGGTTCCTAGAGGGGGTAACCGTCCTCTTCAAATACCAGGGGCGTTCTTAGACGTCGAAACTCAGGTTTTGGCGTCTGTCACTTATAGTCGACTCGTTCTTCGCGCAATCTTGTCACATTTGTTCCTTGTTGTCTGAGACCCTGTGCCCTACATATCAACTTAATCATGTATAATCCTCATACGCTGCAACCCCTTCTGCTGGCCTATTCACAGCTACTATTGCAGCTCGATGTCGGAAAGCCAACAATACCGGTGAATACTCGGCGTCCTCCGGTGCTTCCCAGGACCCTCTACAACAGGGTATTATTGGGGGGCGCGACAGTGGTTCTACAGTACAACAAAACCCTACAGATTGACTTCTAACAATACGTGCTCGCATTCGTAGTGTTGTAGGGATAAGTTAGGTATACATTGCTGTTAGAGTAGCGTGGTTGCTGTGATTGTAACTTAATCAAGCATCGTCCCCCAGGATAGTTGCTGATGGTATGCTGTACACGCAGAGATGATATATGGTGTACGGCGTAGAAGTCGGCAATGACGAACATGGTCTGAGATGAGAGCGAGCGATAGTGTGCAAGGCTAGTGGGTATCGGGGGCGAATGCAGTCCAGAAAGAATGGGTTATAGTGGGGTCAATCAGACGCGCTCGTACATGCAAATATAGGCCTTGGCCTTGAGGACCTCCTCGAGCGTCGTCAGTTTTACGGTAGAGTCGCTAATATACGCCCACTTCCGCGTCGGGCGCTGAGTCTCCGACGTTTGGCTTACATGCGAGTCAGAGCTGCCCGACGACGGCAGGACAGGTTTGTCTAACTCAGAAGAGGGCGTTGTGGGACCGGGTGCAGGGACACTGTTGGGAAGTGCAGTGTATGCGATGTAGTGTCCACCGAGCTGAGCAAGCATGGTCAGCACACTTCATCAGTCGAATAGCACGGGGAACATACCATGTTGCCAATGTGCACGACCACGGCATATAGCCGGTACATACACTTCTCTTGCTGCTTGGTCTTGCCCTTGCCCGCTTTCCCAACAAAATCCTCCCGTTTCGGAACGAGGAACGGAGCAAGATCGAGGTACTCCGGAAACGACACGAACTCGTCCAGCTTCTTGAACCCGCCTGAGAACGACATCGCATGCGACTTGTTCGTCTGCTGGAAGCGCTTGAGATGGATGACGAGGATCGGGGGAGGTGTGCTGATCAGGTAGCGCTTGTACATCCTCCGGGGCACGACTTGTTTTGATCGCGGAACCTTCTTATCCTGGACGCGATGCGCTGGTTTGGGCGACGGGAGCTCCGATGGCGGGTTAGGGTCGGTTAACTTCTCCACGGACGACCTCGGGGAAACAAATGGGGAAGCCGAGCTTTCGGAGGCGGACGAGGGTGCGGAGGTATCACTCGCGGAGTCATCAAAGTCGTCATCTGAACTCGACCCGCTATCGTCTAAGCCATCCTTCCTGAGCGCTCTTCTGTGTCGCCGCCGTTTCGGCGTAAGGAGAGAGTCATCGGACAGTGACATGCCAACCACTGCGCGAGTCGAGGGCCAAGTCTGTGTCCATGAATCCCTGGATAAAGCAGGGCCTAGTATGCCACCGTCGGGAGTGTCAGGTTCCGTCGTAGATATCTGGGGAATTGGAAGGCCCCCGTATGTCGAAGGCTGGGGAGACAAGAGGCTGTCTTTGCGCGCATGCAACATAGACGTAGAAGACTCGGATGGAGGTACGGTAATGGTCGTCGGAGCGGATGACACTGACGCAGTGTCTCCCGGTCTGCTTTGGGCCTGGGTGACAACCGTCGAGACAAGAGAGGTCGATGCCGGCGACACTCGACCACTGCTCAAATCTGGTGACGAGAGCACCCCGCTGTCCTCCGTCTCGCTCCTGCTAGGTTCAGTCGCCGACCGTGCGGGATTGACGGAAATGGGCGCCTTATCGGCGCTCTGGTCTGACGAGTCGTCACCGGAGGATTCGTCGCTCTCCGTGTCAGAGTCTGCATCGAAGCCATCCTTGCTCCGCAAAGGCAGTATGTACAACCCGTTGGCAATCTTCCAGCAACGATGACAGCCAACCATATTCTCCCCGTCCAAGATCTCGACGGCTGTGAACATGCGCAAGCACTCCTCGATGCCTGGTAGGTGGCCAAGCTTCGCCCATAGCACCTGCGTAGCCAGCGCCGCGGTGTTGCCGACCTGTCCAGCGCTGACGGGCCCGTTCCCTGAGAACGCGGTCTGGAGGATCGACAGAGGGTTACCTGTGACGGGGTGCACGTCCGCTAGGATACGTCGGAGGTACGCCATGTCCTCCTCGGACATCTTGGGGTCGACGGAGACGGCTCGCGACTTGATCGGTGGTTCGTGATTGCTGCGGGCAAATGGATTCGCCGACGATCGGCGCGAGTACGGCGGTCGCAGAGGCGAAGAAATCCGGGGAGAGTTTGGTGTGGGCGAGGTCGCTCGCTTGGCCACCTCCGACGCGTCCGCTGCCTCGGGAGCAGGCTCATGCGCCGAAGCACCGGGCGCAAGAGACGTCATTCGCGGCGAGCGTGTCTCGCTACGCTTCACACGGAACGCGTCCTTGATGTCAGGCTTGCGACCGCGCTCACTCGCGCGACTCGACGGGCGCGAGTCCTTGTCCTTGTCCTTCTCGCGATCCTTCTCCCGCCCTCCGAGCTTCATCGACACGCTGATCCGCCGCGCAATCTTGCCCCACGCGTCGTCCTTCTCCTTGCCCTGCTTGTCCTTAGGCTTCTCCTCCGACCCCGCGCCCGCTCCCCAGCCAGGACCGTCCGCCCCTACGTGCGTCCAGTCGGTCCCGCCCTCCGTCTCAAACGCGTCGGTCTCCTCCGCGCGCTCCAACTCCGTCTCCTTCTCCCGCTCCGCCGCGTCTGTCTCGTCGTCCTCCGCAATCGCCGAGTCTAACCCAGAAGGCGCAGACACAGTGCTCACCAGCCTAGCCACCGCGTCCCTCCTCTCGTCTTCCCCCGGATGGTCAAAGCTCCTCCGCCTCGGATCCACGCTCGTCGGCGGCTCCTCCTCGTGCAGCGCGAGCTCCGAGCTCCGCCTAACGGGACTCGTAGGCACCGACGACGCGCGCGCCTTCGCGCTCGAGCCCGCACTGTCATTCGCACTACCGCTGCCGTACGCGGCAGGGGGCCGGATGCGGAGCTTGCGCGCGATGCGCTTGATGCGGTCGCGCTTCCGGTGGTGCTTGTTGACGTAGTCCTCGGGCTTGATGCTCAGGCTGAGGTCGTTGAAGTCCTCGTACGTCACCGACACCTTCTTGCACTTCTCGCAGACGAGGATGCTCGCGAGCTGGCCCCCGAAGAGCATGTCCACGAACGACTCGAGCTTCTCGCCCCCGTTCGGTACTGGGGGCAGCGGGCGGTCGAGGTCAGGTGTTTGTTGGGGTAGCTGTGGCGGGGTTGACGGGATGCCGGGACTGTGCGCTTGCGCTGGCGGATCGGACTGTGACAGAGCGGGGGAAGGGAGAGGTGGTGGTGTGGATTTCGGCTCGCTCCCGCCGCGGGCGCGTTTCCGTTTTGTACTGGAGGGCGGGGGCTGGCGTTTTTTGATAATCTGCATGAACGCATGTAGTCAGTATCCGGCTAGCCCCATGGATGCGATGGAGTCGCTCTGGCCAAGAATATCGCGGTTCTATATCCGGGGTTGTCGCGCTTCGCTGCCGCTGCGCGTCCTCAACCACATACGGGCACCGCACGAGAGGCCGGACTAAACGGCTACAGCCCTACGGCCTCTTTCACCCCCAAAGCTGAACAAAGGCAGTTACTCACATCAAGCTCCTCCATGCGCATGGCGTCCAGCATATGTCGTAGGAATTCGTGAGCATCCTGTTGCCGGAAGTCGAGGTATTGGTCGTATTTGCGGCCTATAGTGGTGAGGATCTCCCTGAGAGCCAAAACAGTCAATATCGACAATACCCCCCACGAAAATAGTAGTAACGATCATTCTCCGGCAATATAGGACGAATCATGACGGCAGCTCACAATCCTTCACAATGATGATTGCGAAGGTGGGCGCACATGGAATGGAACGCATGAAATGCATGTTGAGGAAGCCACCCCAAACTTCCACATTCTGGGGTTGGCCACCGGCTCCTGCCCAATGCCCCAACAGAAGTATAGCCTACCCATAGGTAGTGTCGCATCGCACATTGAGCGTTGTGCGCTGCCGCAGAGTCCGCGTATGACATGAATGAGAGGAAGATTACTCACTTGGGACTCATAGTCTCCCGTCGCTTCGCATCCTGGATGTCCCAAGCCTTGCGCATGATGGTGGTGAAGATATCGCCGAGCGGCATGCCCTCGGTCCACGCAAGCTCGTCCGCGCCCCCTATGCCATGGCCGTTCGTAAGCTGCGGTGATCGTCTGGCGAGAATGGAGGGGCCCTCCGGAGGCTGGAGGGATGTGGGCACGGACTGGAAGTGCACCAAGTCGTGTAGTGGGCGCGTCGCGATGAGCTGTGCAGAGAGACCGTAGTCAGACACTCGCATACCGATTGAGGGACGGAGGAGACGTACGCCCTGGAGCGTCGAGTTCATGAAGCAGGTGTTCCCGTGGTTGACGAGCCCGGGCGGCAGACTGGCATCCTTCTCCTCCTCCTCGCGCCTCTTCTTCTCCAAGTAGATCTCCCGCGGGGTCGGCTTGCTCTTGTGTCTGATCATTGTGGCCGTCTTAGAGTCCAGAAGTGTAGGTGGTAGGGTGAAGGGACGGTGCAGAGTGTACGGGCGGGGAGCCGAAGGGATGGACTATTATAGCAGAATGGACTCAGAAGTGCGCAGCGCGCCGGGCGCGAGTGTCAAGTGGTAGGCGGGCGAAGCAAAGCAAATGCGGGGTCGGAGCGCAGCGAGGCAAGTACGGTGCTCAAGACGTCGCTGCCGGCAGTGAGACGCAGTATAGGAGGCCCGGAGGGGGAGCGGTGGAGGGTAATGGGGACTGGCGATGGACGTTCTGCGTGCAATCCCATCTCCCCTGCATCAGGCACGGACCTCTCCGCCTCAACTCTTCTTCCCCTTCCCACCCTCATTCTCCCTTTCGCACACGTATCATCGTTGAGCAGGACGCTATCCGTAGCCACTCTACTTATCAGGATGCTAAGTACTTGCAGCTACCTGGAGGTTTACCACAGCCGCTCGAAGTTCGCTGGACCGGTATTTCTTGAAACACTCTACAGATCTCACCGCCGTTTCTGCTACTTAAGACCTGAAGAGCGACAACGCAAGGCTTGTCGTCACAGATCTATGCCGTCTTCCTCGGACCGGGCCGACTCGAAACCAAATCCTCGGCGTGTTCGACGTTAGAGGCCCTCCCCGTTTCCATCGCCGACCACACACTCAGTGAGGCTTCTTTGACCTGTTACTATCATATCATGCATACAACAGGCTCAGCCTCAGGACGCCGAGTCCTTGTTGGGAAGTCCAGGACAACGACACGGGGCAATAGGGATGCTCTCAAACTCTAATGCTACTACCGCGCACGCAAACGCTTTGGCAAGTGGACCCGGCCCGCCTCACGGCACGGGCCAGTGGATAGAGCCGGCCTTCGATGGAAAGCTTCAGAGCACTTGGCAAGACGACCCCGGGCATACATGTGGGCATGCATATACCCTTGGCCGGAGATGACCTCGCCCGAAGCATATCACTGTTTGCGCTTTCTGACCACGCTCTGGGGCGTCCGCATGTCATTCGAAGGTATAACTTAAGCTACAAGACGTAAAACGACCCGCCCCGCGCGCCCCAGAGCACTTCGGCAGCGTAGCGGGTGCGGGCGATGGTGGTGTACGTGTACGTATACGTGTCCATACATCGCGATGTGAAATGTCCGTCCGTCCGTCCGTCCGTCCGTCCAGCGAAGCGAAGTGCAGAAACGCAATCGTGTCCCCCCTCTCTCCAGGGCACTACTCACAGCCCGAGGGGCCGGGTCAGCTCACAAGCGGTTGAGAGCGAACTTCGAGCGGTGCTTGGACGAGCCCGAGTCTGCGCCAGAGCCCGAATCCGAGCCAGAGCTCGCGTTATCCGACGCCCCAGTGTAGCTCGGGAGGGACGCGCCGTCCGTCGCGGACCCAGTGGCAGTCGCAATGGACGCGACGATCGTGTCGGTCGCCCCGGCCCCAGTCGAGTCGGTCGCAGTCGCAACAGAGGTATCGGTGCCAGTCGCGACGGCAGTGTCGGTCGAGCCAGCGCTGCCGTCCGTGGCGGAGGCGGTCGAGATGCCCGTGTCGGTCGAGCCGACTGCGGTGTCGGTCCCAGTAGCGACGGCCGTATCAGTCGAGCCAGCAGCACCAGACGTGTCCGTGGCCGTGGCAATGGAGGTGTCGGTCGAGCCAGCGGCCCCGGAGGTGTCGGTGGCGGTCGCGACGCTCGTGTCCGTCGAGCCGGCAGCGCCAGACGTGTCCGTGGCGGTCGCGATGCTCGTGTCGGTCGCAGTGGCGTTGCCCGCACCGGCGGTGACGGTCACCGTAACTGTCTGCTGGGCTGCGCAGTCCGTCGCAGTCGCTCCGGAGCCGACGCCGGTGTCCGTAGCGGTCGCGACAGACGTGTCGGTGGAGCCGACGCCAGTGTCCGTGGCGGTCGCAATGGACGTGTCAGTCGCCCCAACGCCAGTGTCGGTCGCGGTCGCAACCGAAGTGTCTGTGGAGCCAGCAGCACCGGAGGTGTCCGTGGCAGTCGCGACAGAAGTGTCAGTCGAGCCAGCCGCGCCAGAGGTATCGGTGGCCGTAGCGATCGAGGTGTCAGTCGAGCCGACGGCGGTGTCCGTAGCGGAGGCAATGGAGGTGTCCGTCGCAGTCGAGTCGGACGACCCGTCGGTAGCCGTAGCAGTCGAGCCAGCGGAGCCGTCCGTGGCGGTCGCAGTCGAGCCAGCGCTGCCATCGGTGGCCGTAGCGTTCGCCCCAGTGTCAGTCGAGCCCGAGTCGCTCGAGCCCGATGACCCAGACGAGCCGGAGGACGAGCCGCTGCCGCCCTTGCCGTCGACGCCGCCAGACACGCCTGCGGCCGACATGCGCGCCGCGGCGTCGTCGGCGCTGTCGCAGGCAATGGAGGTGCCCTGCTTGTTGACGAGGGGGAGCGCGAAGCACTGCGTGCCGGCGGAGCAGCCCGACACCTGGAACTTGCCGCCCACGCACTGCGCGAAGCCGCCGTTCACGCATGCCTGGTCGCCCTCTGTGAACAGGGAACACGTCTCGTCAGCAACTGAGTGCATAGCAAGTAGAGGGGCTGGAACGGGACGTACCCTTGCAGGACGAGTCCGCGGTGAGGGACGCGAACTTGGCGTTGAGCTTCTGCGCGTCGAGCGCGTTCTGCTTCTGGAAGTCGGCGGGGGCGGCCGCTGAGAACGCCGCGAGGGCGAGGAAGACGAAGGTGGAAAACTTCGCAGAGATCATGGTGAAAGATTATGGAGGGATTGGCACGGACGTGGAAGTGGAGCGTGAATGGATGGACAGTACACGATACAATGAGTGGAAAGCGTCGAGAGCAAACGGATGACGTGAACGAGACGAGAGGCAGGTGGTAAGCAGCGAAGGGAGAAAGGGAAAGAAACTCTAGCACCGGGCTCAGAGGACTGTGAACAAGGTATTGTTCTGAGGGAACAACCCAGCTGGAGAGCCCATGCATTATATACGCCCGGGCTGGTAAACGCCCCCTGAGGGCGCACCGTTCCATCGAGGGTGCTGATCTCGTCACATTCGTCGTCCCGGAGGATCGCCGCGCAACACACACAATGGCGCAGTCGCAGCGGATGGGAAGCATCGGATACGGGAACACAAAGGGTGTTGCTGCCGTTGTCGTCCCCCGTTGTTGTGCAAGAGCATCGCAGTTGGAGCAGGTGGAGCCGCGAACGCGCGCGTAGCACAAGCGCATTGTTACAAGACCACCTGCACGATGTCCATGTGCTAAATATGCTCAAGTGAGCATGGAACCGAGCGCAGGTTTCATCTTCTGTCATCTTTGCGCTGGTGTATGCGGTGTGTTATTAGAACCCTCGTCGTGAGTATCTTTGATATGTGCAGGCTAGCGCCGAATGACGAACATACCTCTGAACCGACTACTGCGAATAGAATCCTCCATCAAGCTCAAGGCCGATGATTAACACATGAACCAGGGCGATGACATGTCTTGAAACTGTATCGTTGCAAACCAACTATGGCGCAAGGGCATCGCGGTTGGCATACGCGCATCACGTTGACCAGAGCGTCCCACCAACATACGGATGCAGTAACAAAATCTGAGAATTACACACGGTTCAGAGCCAGTGCTTGTATCTCATAACAACCCGCGCAATACTATCCACAGTCCAGGTGGAGACTATGATCCAGACACAACGGAATTTCACTCAACTTAGCCGTCGACCGCAGATGCGACACAAGCCGGTCGCGACCTCCGAAGCTAGCGGCAACCAACGGTGATGATATGATCGACAGCCTACGAGGCCACGTAAGGCCCGCGGACTTGACGGAAGAGACGATGGACGAAGTCCAAAGCTTGTTTGGCCACGTCGACGAGGTAGCAGCGCGGGCGAATGCAATTTCACCTGTCCATACACAGTGCGATCTATCTCTACCATTTCTGGACCCGCATCTCAACTCGGAGCTTAGTGAGCGTGGTTCTTGTGGTGCTCTAGAGGAAATGGACGGTCTTCATCAAACCGATGTGACGCGACACGAGAAAGAAAAACACTCACTCAAGTGCACTAACGACCCAAATCAGACCCAGAACAACAATGTCCCCGCCCTCGTTAGCAATGCTGGTCCTCGAATTCAATCAGAATAGCGAATCGGACGCACTCTGGTAGTCAATGGTGTAGCCCAGAGAGAAGATGGCGAGGATGCCGAACAGCAGGGGTGCTGCAGACGCGTTCTTGCCATTGAAGAAACGCGCTTTGATGCCCCCCGCAGAAGTAGGAGCGGGACCCTTGGGGAGCTTGGAGTAGAAGTTGACGAGCGGGCCAAGGCCTGCGCCCGTACCAGACGACTGGTTGAGAATCCGCGATGAGCAACAACGGGACATGGCGACGAATGACGGTCGGGAAGAGGACGACTTACGAGGAGGGACGGGGTGGCGACTTTGGGGGGAACGAGGCCACCGAGCTGACGGCGAATGAGAGTAGGCTGCATGCTGAACGCGACCCGGCGAAGGAGGAGGGAGAGCAACGTCGACTTTGTCGCTCTCGCCCAATCCGTCCCTCCCCATGTGCACCGAAATTCCCCGTCCCACATTGCCCTTGATGTCAAGGTGCTGTCAGAAGTGTGAAGCCTAGTGGCTGAGTTGGTTACAGCGTGGCTGCATTGAAGTCAAGGGCCAGTCGCCGTGAGTTCGAACCTCGCCGTGGCAGTATGCATCTGTTTTCGGCGTTTTTAGTCTTGCTTCACCACAGACACATTGAGGTGGATCAACCTGTTGCCCAATCCTCGCAGAACATCAGCCCAAAACTATGGCTTGATGTCACGAGGTCGTTTCCCCGCTGTCCACTCAGAGAACTAATCGGGTGGGTCCCAGCACTGGCAAGGGGCGGGGAGAATGCCCAACTGCCCCTCAATACTTGAGCTTGATGAATCGTGTTCGCCGATCATCTCGCTCTGGGTCCTCTCAACCACGCTCCACCCGGTCCACTCACCGAATGCGAAGCCTGACCAACATTGGGCAAGAACGCTGTTGAAGAACGCTGTTACAATGTGCATTGCGAATTATAGAGTGGAATCTATTGATACATGAACAACCCAGATATGTTGAAAGTCTGGGAAGGCCGGGGCGTGTTGAATACCCGACACTGACTATTTTACCTCTACTGTCCTAACCGGCATGATCCAAAGCAAACGCTACCCTCTCTCCTCTACACACATATGATACAAACAGATCGACCAATCGCCCCCCTGACATCTCTAACGCGAGCAAGCCAAAGTGTTCGACCCCTAATCATCCGCCTCGATGCCGGCAGGACGAGTGAGCGTCGAGACGTCGACGCCGGGGAGGGGCCACCTGCGCGCGAACTCGCGGACCTCCTTGCGGAGGCCGGCGACCTGCTGCGCGCCCACCTTACCATCCGCGGGCGTGGTCGCGACGCGGACGAAGTCCTTGAGGAGCTTGCTGCCCGCCTCCTTCTGGAGCGTGAGCGAAAGCTGGACGGCGCGGTGGAGGAAGTCCGCAACGACCTTCATGTCGTCCTCGGTCATGTTGCGCGACGTGAGCGCGGCGGTGCCGAGGCGGATGCCGCCGGGGACCTGGGCATTCGTGTCACCTGAGACGGCGTTCTCTGCAAGGGTATCTATGTCAGGAAGCGGAGGCGAGAAAAAAAGCTAGGGAGGACGCACTGTTGATGGTGATGCCGACGATGTCGCAGAGCTTCTCAAGCTTCGAGCCAGTGAGGCCGAGCGGGCGGAGGTCCCAGAGGACGAGGTGGTTGTCCGTGCCGGATGTCTGGAGCTTGTAGCCGCGGGCGACGAGCTCCTTGCCGAGCGTCGTTGCGTTCGCAATGACCTGCTTCGCGTACGCCTTCCAGGTAGGTTGGCATGCCTGGTGGAGGGCAGTAGCGATACCAGCGATGGTCTATCAAAAAGGAGTCAGATCGTACACTCCTACAACAACGGTAGAAGATGTACGTTGTTATGAGGACCACCCTGGCACGCAGGGAACACAGCGTCATTCACGCGCTTCTCGAGGTCCTTCGCCTTGTCCGAATCCCTCTTGAAGAAGATGAGACCAGCACGCGGACCGCGGAGAGTCTTGTGCGTAGTGGTGGTGACGACGTCACAATACTGGAAGGGATCCGCGAGCTCCCCAGCGGCGACGAGACCGCTGGTGTGCGCGATGTCAGCCATGAGGTACGCGCCATGCTCGTCGGCGATCTCGCGGAGAATTTTGTAGTCCCAGTCGCGGGGGTACGCGGAGGCACCGCAGATAAGCAGACGGGGCTTGTAGATCTTGGCCAGCTTGGCGACGCCCTTGTAGTCGATAAGCTGCGTCTCGGGGTCGAGTGAATAGGGTAAGGACTGGAAGTAGATGGAAGACGCAGTCATCTTCTTCTTCGCGGTCTGTGATGAGGCCGCATTAGCCTTCTGAAAGCTGGAGTGGCCCGATAGGAGTACGTACGTAGTACCCGTGCGTCAAGTGACCGCCATCCGGAAGACCAAGACCCATCAAACGGTCCTGGGGCTGAATGAGAGCAGTGAGGGCCGCAAAGTTCGCCGTCTACAGCAGCGAATATCACGCGCAGCAGAACGCCCATCAGTCAATCTCGGACGGAAGAACGGAAGAGCGAGATTACGTACAGAACCAGAGTAAGGCTGGACGTTGACACCCCACTGAGCGGGGTCGAGGTGGAACGCCTGGAGAGCGCGCTTCTGGCAGAGGAGCTCGAGCTCGTCGACATACTCGTTGCCGCCGTAGTACCGTGCGTTGGGGAGACCCTCCGAGTACTTGTTAGTGAGAATCGAGCCGTTGGCCTCCATCGTCGCGCGGCTCGTCAAGTTCTGCGCGTGCGCTCAGCGAGATAAGCAGCGGTATATGAGGTCGTCGGGACGCACTTCAGACGCGATGAGCTCGAGGCCAGAGAACTGCCTCCATGTCTCCTTGTCGATGATGTTCTGCACCTCAGGATCAATCTCTGCAAGGGGCGCGTAGAGGCCCTTGTTCTGCGGAGAGGGGTAAGCCAGACGTGGACGACAATTTAACCGCTACGACTTACGAAGTCCGGAGTGTTGGCCATCGTTCTGTGTATCGGGGCGCGGAGTAGGGTGGTGGCACGGAGGGGGCGAGAGAGAAGGCGGAACATCGAAAAAAATCGACAGCGCTGGTGCTATAAACCCAAGTCAGATCTGCTCTGCCAAAGGCCCGCCACGAGGGGTTAGTCACGTGCCTCGCGCTCTTGACTCGAGCTTCGAACTTCGCGTCAGCCCATGCTCCCACCGACTTTTAGCCTCGTTCATCCCTCTTCTGGCAGTCATGGGAACATGCACACATTTTGGAAGGCCAATGCACCCGGGTAGAAAGTGGTTCGATGTGTATGCGATTACGCCAGTAAATGCAAGGCGAGTAGTGCGTACAACATGCGAGGGACAACACGAGAAATGATCGTACATCGGATGTAGAGTAGCGACACACAAAGCGAGACGACAGCATGCAAATACCCGAATACATAGATGCGCATAAAAGGGGATGATGATGGTGATTGTAATGATGGAGATGCAGCGATGTTTTGTTTTCGCGAACAGCACGAAACCCGAAGAGAAAAGAAACGAATCGGCGGCGAGGTATATAAAGGGTTATCGTCCACCACTCCGTCCTATCTGCACAGAAATTCACCACCGCGGGCGTGAGTCGGCCGGGGGCCCATTGCAGAGCTCGACGCCGAGCTTCTGCACGAGGCTGGTTCCGAGCGGTTCGAGCGCCTCCTTCCATACTTGCGTCCGACGCCGCGCCTGGAAGATGCGCATGCTCCGCTCGCCGGTCTCCCCTTCGGGCCCGAAGACGTACACCTTGTCTTCCCGCCAAGGCGCCTCTCCATACGCGAAGGCAAGCCATCGCTCCTGGATGGTGTTCCGCACGCGCGAGTACGTCCAGTCGTCGACAACCGGCATTGCCCAGTCCGCATCGTAGTCGTACCGGGCGCCGTCTTCTCTTGACGTACACTTGGTGATCATGCACTCGTCATCCGAGTCGTCGTCCGAGGAATAGTAGCAGCCGTTCTCGTCAGGTACAAGGTCGCAGTCGTAGAACGAGGGTGACGAGAGTGAAGGCAAGGGCACGTTGTCGAAGAGGTACATGAGGTCGACCGCGTGGTGTGGCACGCCGCGCGAAGGACCTTCCTGGTCGAACACGTAGCGCCAGACGCCGTGTCCACCACGCGCCGAGCGTAGACTTGACGCGAGCATCTCCGTTGGCCAAGCGAACCGTGTGTCGTTGATTAGCTCCAAGAGGCGGTCGGGGAGCTCGTCTGCAGGTGTAGCGGCATTGATGTCATATGAGCGCAGGATGGTGTTTGCCTTGGTGAGCGACTGGCAGATGGCGCGTATCCTCTTCACGACGCCCGCAGCTGTCCACAGCGATGCCGGAAGAGACCAGAGCAAGGATTCCGCGCCGCAGTCGCCAATGATGAGCGGTTGGCGGATATGGAAAGGATGTGGCGTCCTCGTGTGTGAGTGGGAACGGGAGTCCGTGTGGTGGTGAACGACCTTCAGGTGATGCGAGAGCCCGTTGAGTCCCAAGACGAGATGCGCTTCCGAGTGGTGCTCATGGTGTGCCGCTGAAGAGTCATCCTCAGGTTCCGAGACAAGAGATCCAGTCCAGCCCCGGCGGAAGAAAACGCCATCGTCCACGGCGCGGACGTTCTGGCCAAGTAACACAAGCTTGTCCACCGGAATATGGCGCATCTGGTCCACGGTTTGTACACGGAAGGTCGACAGCATCTTCCCGAGCTCCCAGCCCGCAGAGTGGACAGTGGGCACTTCCAGATCAATTATCGCGCTCTGGATGATGGAGCGATGGAACAGCGGGGCGACCTCGTTCGCGGCGGAGTGCAGGTGGCATAGGATGTCGCCTGCACCCGTCGATTCGCCGAAGAGTGTGACGTTGTTGGGATTGCCGCCGAAGGGCTGAATGAAGCGGTGCACCCACTCCATCGCTCTTCTTTGGTCCCGAAGACCTAGAAGCAGACCTCGTGAGCGATGCAGAGGAGCCTGTGGAGGCGAAGACTCATACCGTAATTGCCCACACCCTCGTCACCTGCGGCTACGTTGTCCTCGCGCAGAGCTGCGCTGGCGGCGAAGCCAAGCAGACCCAAGCGGAAACTAGATACTCGAGTTTAGCCCCCCCTGCTAGCGCCGAGACGGAGGCGGATTCCGAAGAGGCTGAGCAAAGGAGATTGCACGTACTTTATGGATACGACGACGACGGGCTTGCCAACCTGGATGCTCTTCTGGACAATCGGACCAGCGTCGGTGACCCAGTTCGCGCCGGAGCCCCGGTTCCCACCCCTATCATCATCGACATCGCTTGTTAGTTACAGAATCCAGGAGACTCTAGAAGGGGCCTTACCCGTGGATCCAGAGCATGACTGGCAGATACGAGTCGGGTGTAACGTTCGCGGGGCATGTGATGTCGAGGTTGAGGCATTCGAACTCTGACTGCTCGAGCGCCTGGTTGGGAATGCAGTCCTCGGTGAGATTGAACAGCTCCTCTTCGACGCTCTTGAAACTTGGTTGTGGGCATATAGGGCTACAACCAGGACAATGTGAGGTTCAGTTCCCATACTAGGCGAAGTTGTGTATCGTGTGACAAATACACTTACCCGTGTCGCGAGCAATCAGTCACAGGCGGATAGCGCGTGAGGAGATTAGACTGGCGGAAGCGGGCAGGTATCGTCGCGTATTTGATCCCGCGATACTGATGCACGGGAGCATCGGGGGTGGAGACTTGGTGAACGACGCCGGTAAAGGTAGTCTTCAGGTCCTCGTGGAGGACGACCGGCTCCGGAACGTCGTCGAGGATTTTGGCAATCATTATGACGCTGCAGGGGGCGCTAGGACCGGAGGCTGCAGGTGTTGCGAGGCTGATGCGAGTGCGAGATAGGAGGGGAGGAGAGGAGGGAAGGGGTGGGGTCGGGGCCCCGCAGGTCTTGATTTGTACTAACGACGGGACAGCGCATCCGTGGTCCTTCGATCGACCCTTTTCTGGCGGGGAGTAGCAGGAAACTGGAGGCGTGCGCTCGTTTAGGCAATTAGCCCCTCTCCGGCATTCAGTACACGCTCGTCGCCTCGGCGGCAATCGCCGAGAACCTACGTCAATAGACAACGACAGGCGCATCGAACGGCCGCAGAACGCACTGGAACCTTTCTCGTCCATGCGACCCGGTCCTCGCCTGCCTAGGCACCGCGTCTGACACCAACCATGGTCGCCCCACTCACATACCAGTGACCAGTCTCCTCGGTTCCGGTATCACCCGACCACCGCGCAGTTATTCAATTCTGTTCGCATGACACGGGCGGTGCGCGAATGAAATTCTGGCAATGACTGTGGGTATCATAGGCCCCAAAGATCAAGGAGTTAGGAGTTTTACCGAAGGGAAGAAGAAGCAACGCACAAGAAACGTGCCCGTGGGGCAAGAATATGGTCAAAGTTCGGAACCTTGAGGGATATGCCTCGGGGCCAACACAGGTATACCCATGCATGGGCGTTGTCCGCACCTAGGACGTAAATGACCAGCTCTTTGACTACTCAGAATTGTCAGCTGCTGATGGTACATAGACGACTGTAGGAAGATTTCTGTGACGGACCCCATTGGGTACAATCAGCGACCATATGCGGAGAGAAGCTCGAATGTACAGCAACAGACATACATCGACAATCAGTTAAACGTGGACAGCCAGACGATAATCTGCATCTGCATCACGTCTTATGGGTAAAGATGCACGCCCTCATGGGACCGATGATTCAGTCAAAGCAATCATCAGCACTGCGTGTATTAGGTGGCAAGGCGCACAAGAGCGCTTTACGGTACATGATCTAGACTGTAGCATGCTCAGTGGGAGGCCGCGTATTCAATACGTAAGGGACAACTCACCTATCTCACGATATGCTATTGAAGACACTCTGCGTACCGGTCGTCCCGGTTTACGCCCGTTGATGGCAGCGCGATGAGAAGCACGAACGACAAATCCATGACCAAGGCGTCCGTATCAGCATCAATGTATTCCTGCGCGTGAGAACCAACCGATGAATCGAAAACAGACAGCGATCGCACTGAATTCATATCGTAGCAGTCCACATAGCGGTACAGGCCCCACACACCCACTGCCGCAGCGATGGAGCCTGCCTACAACACGAGTCCAACTTCAACCAAAAACGCACCATGGCAAGCAACACGAGGTGGTATGCGCAGCGTGCCAGTCAAAGAGGAGTACATCCAGACAGAAACCAAGGGTCCTGTGGGCTATGGCACAGGTGGTCCAGAAGGCGAAAGTTCTGGCAGCACTCAGCGTTCCCAGCGGCGTCTCCGGCCTTCTGACCCCATAGGAAAGTCGTTGGGAACTTCAGACGCTCCCCCTACAGTCGGCCTATTCTTGGGAGCGAGAAACGAAGGCGCGAAGGCAGCAAGTCCACGGATCCCAACGCATACAGTGACCAAGGAAGGAGGCAGGGGACGAAGTGTATCAAGAGCAAGAACCACGAGAGATAACGGCCGACCTATATAGCGTGTCGGCAGGCAGCGCCCACCCTTCGGAATGTCGCTCTTCTACGAGGCGGGCGAGTATTTTGGGGTGCTTGGTGGCCGCGCTACCGTGCTTGTGTACTTGCGGTGAGTGCCAACAGTGGAGCGGGGTTGCTTCTCGTGATGTTATCGGACGCCTGTGCCGTCCATCGCTGGGTCATGGAAGGTGCACATGGTTCGCATGTGAGCGCATGCGTTAGATTGACGTCTCTGGCCGTCTGCAAGGATGGTGGTGGTTGGTGGAAGAGTGTCAATGGATTTTGGGGGTCATTGCGACGCGATAGCATGAGGCGCCTTTTCGGGAAGGGCGGTGGCGTGCCGCCGATTCAGATCGATGGCGATCGAGGCGCGAGCGACACCTCGGCCGACGCGCACCTACGCACGGTCTACTGCGAATGCTAGGGTGAGTACTGACAACAACGCACACCCAGTAGGGTACGATGTCTAGGTCAAGGAAGGATGAGCGGTATCAGATGGTGCTCGATATGTATCGATGGAAGGAGTAAAGGACCGGGCGTCTCACACTGCCGCGAACGGCACAGACGGCACATGCAGCATCCAAGTACTCACGTTGGAGTCGTGCGTGGCTCTCTAGCTTTGGTACCGCAAAGGTAGTAAAGCAAAGCAACCCCGTACCAGAAAAAAACCCGTCCCCCACTTCCTGTGCTGAAGGGGGCGCATACGCAAAGCGTCGGGGAACCGGTCACAAGTCTAGCGTGAGTCAGGTAGGAGCAACTGTCAAGATAGGCCACCATACACAACTACTTCTTCCCACTGTGCCTATATGCGGAACCGACCCCAGAGAGTATCTGGTCTGCGCAATCTAGTTCTAACACACCAGTATAAGTGCAATGGATCAGAACATGTCATTGAAGTATGTATGAAGAACGGGGGCTGGCAAGCGAACTGATGACCTTGAGCGAGCCGCCGTTACGAAGCTCGTGGAAGCAGGCGTGTAGACAGAGCCATCAACCCGTCGACGCGAGATAGAGTTTACGATTGTGGTGCATTCATCGGGGAGGGCCTGATTCGTACAATCAGCAGGTCAGGAGCACACTTCAGTTCCTTAATATGCTCGGGGCGGTCGCGTCGGTTTCCAGGCAGGCCGAGTGCCAAGGTTATCCTATTCAGCGTACGGGGAACACAGAGTGTCAGAAAGGAATGAACTCGGACTCCCCCGCCAGATCCGCGCTGGGTCTGTCAGAATACTGTGCACGAGACAAAAATAAATCATAGTCCTCCAAAACCTTCAAGCTTGAGCTCCGTCGGGGATGCGTAGGGAAATGTTGAGTAAGTACTTGGTACGTTTGAGATGAAGTGAGACCACTGCCGCGTTCTAACAGGTACAACCATGCCGTATTAGTTGTGAAACAAAGCACTAAAGTGGGCATGATTGATGAGGGACACCATCATAATTAGCACAGTCACCCAGTGAACAACATACTTAGCCGCAAATGACATGTCCTCTCCGCAGCGGTGAACACCCTTCTCCATAGCTCTGCGCAAGCAGACTTCCTAGGTCCTCAATGACGGCTGACATACCGGTGACATCGTATTCACTAAACCTCTCACTCTTTAGCTGAGCATCTGTAAGCACACAGGCACGACATTGAGCATACCATAGCGCGCAATTTTCATCAGGGAATGTCCGCCATTGTCTGTCCGAGGGAAACGATTTGCCAGACATAGGACAGGCATGTTGTATTAGGAAAGTAAAACGAGACGAACAACGTGCACAAAATCGAGGACGGGTACGTACGTGCGAGGACGAGTCTCTGTACGGGTCGTTGCGTCGCAACACTCGGAGATCTGGAGGGCGCGGTTCGAGAGCCGGTTAATTACTATACACTCTTATACATACATACGGCCAGGAACCGATAAGTACGAGACCGGAGGAAATGACGTGATGTTATGAGAGAAGCCAGGCACGTCTGAAGGCCACTAATGCTACATAGCGCGGTTGAAAGGATTCCGAGCAAGAGGGTTCCGATAGAGAGGTGTGTACGGTCGTGCCTATTATCAATGTGTCCTGAGTCGAGTATGTAGCCCAGGGCAGAGTCTGACATGGTTGCATGTGTCAAGGGAGTGTACATAGTACAAAGATCGTGAATCTTCGGCATCTCGGTGCCGTGGGATAGTCTTGATCTCGGAGATTTCGCTTCGTCTGCCGGGATGCCGGGACTTTGCTCGCGGATGGCCGCTGAGCATCAGTGGTGCAATGCCGTCAACGGCCACGGTAGTAGAGCATGATCACGTGGCTCCCGAGCACATGGCTCTCTCGGGCGCTGCTGCTCTTGGGTCCCGTCAGTTCCCCCCTAACTCCGTACTTTTGCTCCAGAGATTTTCGCCTTGCACACACAGCAGCTCATGCCAGATAATTGAAGGGTACAGAACCAAGAAGAATGAGGTTAGTCGAGGGCGCGGGAAATCAAGATTGCCGTGTACCTGAGAGCTACGCAAAGTAATTAACCGAGTGCGCATCTTTGCTAGGTTCGATATGGAACACTGTCCATACGACGTTCGAAAGACATGATCGTGAGTGCCCCAAACAGTTGTCCGCGCACGGGACACCATGTCCTTATAACTCGCGCTCGCTCGCTGCGCTCCCAGCAGAGCCCCCGGTCCGCACGGCTCCTCCGCCACAATGGTCGTCGCGCACACGTCCGCCCTCTCTCTTCCTCTTCTCTTTGCGCTTTTGGGGGCGTTCGACCGAGTGCGTGGGACCGGCGTGGACGCGCTCCTCAACACGTCCACGAAGGGTCTCAAGTCGAACTTTTTCGACGCTTTCGACATTCTCAACATCACTGTGGGCGGCAGGCTACATAAAGCCCTTCCTTTCGAACGGCCCTGCTTTTCTATCGTCGAGGGAAAGCATGTGAACGTCTCCGAAGCTGCATGCGCAGCTCTTCAGGCCAACTATACGAATCCTGTCTACCGTGTAGAACACTTCGGGGCTTATATGCTTGTCTGTCCCTCTCGCAATGGCTCCCACCAAAGTATGCGTGCTGACCTGTTTCCTTTGCGTTGCAGCCCCAGTGGGAAACATGCCAAGCATCTAATTTTACTAACGGGTGTTTGCTTGATTCAAGCAATCCTTCCAACCCATTGGCGTACGAAGGGGTGAACTGCCGGTTAGGCAACGTCCCAACACACTACGTGGGCGCAGTTAATCGCCCTTAGCTTGAACCCCACTGATTGCATTCGTACACCCAGATTGACGTGAAATATGTTGAGGACGTCCAAGCGGCCCTCGCATTTTCCGCATTGACCGGCGTCCGCCTTTCGGTCAAGAATAAGGGCCACGACTACAAGGGTCGTTCCAGCGGCAAGAATACTCTCGCGCTTTGGGTGAGTACTACCGCTGTACATTGGCATATGAATCGACTTCGTGACACGCACTGGGCGATCTTAGACGACAGGGCTACGGGATGTGAGCACACCATAGCAATCTCCGTGTTCTTGCGCCGCTGCTAACCTCGCCACTATACCAGATCTCTCACGACGACAGCTTCACGCCAGAGGGCTGCTCACTAGATACAACATACGATACCATTACAACAGGGGTGAGTCTTACAGGGCCTGGCCTAACCTTCGTACCTCGGGGGGAATACTGAAGCGTCGTCCAAATCAGGCGGGTGTTGTCACGCAAGACGTTTATGAGTACGCCGATGGTATTAACCGCACTATCATCGCTGGGTACCATCAGACCATCGGCTTCTCCGGTGGCTACTTCCTTGTACGCACCTCCTTTCCACCATTTTATCCTTTGTTCAAACCCCGAGCGCGCATGTAGGGCGGTGGCCACAGCATCCTCTCCCCAGTATATGGGCTCGCCGCTGACCGTGTGGTAAGAGGAGCCCATCGGATTTACCCCGTCTGCATGACTGATTAATCCGTTTGTGCACCATTAGGTCCAAGTGAAGGTCGTGACACCCGACGGCATATATCGTACTGCGAACGAGTGTCAGAACCAGGAACTGTTCTTCGCTCTCCGCGGCGGAGGCGGATCAGCGTTCGGTGTCGTAATCGAGTCGACGCACCGGACGGAGCCTAGGTTCCCCGTACAAGCGTATGCCCACTATTCTGCTTCTCGATTCTCTTGGGGGCTGACGCCTCCGGCTTGATAGGGCTTCTTTGAAATTCACGCCGACTGGGACTGATCTCGCAGACTGGTACAGCTTGTTGGTTAACAACTCGCTGCAGTGGGCGAACGATGGCTGGGGCGGACACATTGTCGTAAGTCTCTCCCCTCCCTGATCCCCTCTTCCCTGCTCGCCGCCCGCATATACTTCTGCTGATGTATTCGATAGGGCCCAACGCTCCTACACGTAACCCCGCTTCTGAACAACAGCGCTGCGCAGGCTTCGATGCAGTCTGCAGTCGACTTCGTGAAGGCTCGTAACGGCTCAGTCGTAATCGAGGAGCTCCCCTCGTACCTCGCGTTCTTTAACAAATACGTAACTGCTGCCCAAGCCGTGCGTCTTTATCCATCGTCCTCTCCCTCCGCATATACTCACTCCCATGGATGACAGGCCGTCGGCCCCGAGCTCGAGCTTGGCACCCGCCTGCTCCCCTCTTCCTTCTTCTCCACCGACTCCGGCCGCGCACAGCTCTCCGCGTTGATCAAGGACACCCTCTCCTTCGCGTCGCCGTACATCGTCGCGGGAACGCCCTGGCTGTACAAGCCTCTCGATGGAGCTGCGGGCGAGACGTCGGTGACCCCGGCATGGCGGGATGCGATCTGGCATCTGTCGATCAAGTGGCAGTTCCAGTATAACGATAAGCTAGAAGAGAGGGTCGAGGGGTATCGAACCCTGAGCGCGCACATCCAGAAGTTCAGGGATCTGACGCCGGGGAGCGGAGCGTACTTCGTGAGTGTCCTTCGTGATTTGGACTATTTATATTGGCTGGGGTCGCGTTGACATGGTTGTGGATATAGAACGAGGGCGATGTATACGAGCCGGATCATGAGAACTCGTATTGGGGAGCAGACAACTATCGAAGGCTCCTTGCGGTCAAACGGAAGTAGTCAGTCCAGTTCGCAGTTTCGCTGTCTCATCGCCATGGTATTGACATGGTTCGGCCTTTGCGCAGTGACCCTCTCCATCTTCTCGACTGTTGGCAATGTGTCGGATGGAAGGGCGAAGACGACGACCTCTACCAGTGCCACATCAAACTCTGAATTGAGCTTTGGTGCAAGCTTTCTACGTCTCGTTCAGGATAGTCGTCTATTACGGCCGCCATCTGCACCCTCCGCAGATACCGAAGGCCGCAAAGAGAACAGAAGTCTGTTGCTCGTAGGTATCTTCTCTCTTAAATATAGCCACGTGTTTCTTCCTGTTCGATCATGCACGTATGATGCTCCGCTCCTCCATCTTTGTGTTACTTCGTCTGTCCTCCCCTCGTCCCGGGACTCCGTACTCCGTGCTATTCTGTTTTCATCTTCGTCGTGTTGTGTTGTTTACAATGACGTCCTTGCACTGTTTGCCTTCAACCCTTCTTGTCATTTTCCCTAAGGATTAGGACAGTGGTATACGTCGGGTTATTGTTTATTCTTATGTATACGATCAACTTTATCTTGACGGGCGGAGGAAGCTGTTCGTAGCCAGCCGCGGTCGTCTCGGAACTTCGCCCGTTACTCAATTCTCCGCCTCTGGTCCCGCTCCGCATCATGAAAAGACGCAATGCGCAATTCATGCGAAGTGTCAAATGTACGTCTACCTGCTGCCCGAATCGTTCGCGGATTGCGCCTTCTCCTATGAGAGGCAGGGGGTCCCCTATCGAGTGCTGGGAAGAGCAGGTTATTACTGTCTGTCGGGGCTATCAATCAGGTTCTGGCTCACACCATTGAATAGTATGATAGGCCGATAGGGCCGCTCAATTCTTGAGGACGCAGGACGCGTTCAGAGGCCATCGATGGAGGTGATGGGCTAAGCGAGACTAGCCGACGAGCTCGCCTTCGAAACCCCTCGAGCGACGATAACACTCATCCCCCCTCACAAAGTGCCTCAAGGGTAATGTCAATCGACGCGGAAAGCCTTCGTCTTCAACATACTCGCGATTCATATTTTTCTGTTAGGTTTGGGACACGACAGACCCCTTGGAAAACAACGGGCACAAGAGATGAGGTTGGTACCTTGCCATATGCGGCAGGTTCGGCTAACCCATCACATCCATCAGTTGTGCTCTGAGTGCGTCCTGCGTCCTCAAGAATTGAGCGGCCCTGATGTCATCTCAGAATGTGTCCGGTGCGGCAAAGTTTGTTGAACGGGGCCTTCGCTGAGAATGCGACATGTGGCTTCTGATACTTGGATCTAAGCCATTCATTCGTCGGCAGCATGCCACTATTGCTCAACAAGGTTCTATCTCTCCGGTCATTGAATCTAATCTGCCACGTTCTGTCTCTCATCGCGACTATAAACAGATCCCAATGCACACTCAAACATATAATAGGAACCTCTATCTGCTTCCATGAAACAGCCCCAGGTTTCTCTCTACCAGGAAAGCGTCGCCCGCAAAGTAAGGTAGTATGTCAAGCTCTTCAGAGTCACAGGCTGTCATAGTTGAGGCTGAGTTGGTCTCATCTCCTGCTGCGTCACTGTAGGCTGACCCCTTGGCTTAGTGTGGTCCAATTGTATTGCCAAGTCGCGACCCTTGGTACGTGCATCGTCCGAGGAACCATGGTTCTAACATATGGACAAGGAGTTTCCAGCACTCATCGCTTACGAGTACGTCGCGACATTCGCTAGCGAGGTCACGTTTTTCTGGATTCCACACCAAGTCAACGGAGTTCTGGTCCTGTTTCTGCTCAATCGATACTTGACCATGACAACACAAATAATGGCTTGGGCCCCTTTACCGTCGTCCTTCCAGGTGCGTTGCTTCCTAGGTCAGTGTTTGCCGAAAGGAAGCTTAACATCATGAACCTAGAGGTACGGCCATCGTGACAGCCCAATTGGCCTGACATGCATCCTGATGATGTCAAATAAGCATTGTTTCGCAGTATGATGCCTTCTATTTTACCCAATCTGTGCAATATCTCCCTTGGGCTGGTACGTGGAGTGTCTATGATGTTCAGGTGCTCGCTTTGCATCCCCCACGCAGCGTTCTCGACATTCAGGTCATACGCGTTGTGCCCTGAGCCGTACCGGCTCTTTATCTCAGCAACGGTCCTCTCCCTCGCCGCGTTCCCAGGCATTCTAAATTTGGTTGTGCGTACATATCAAGCAACACGTAGTCATACATTTGGTAACTAACGGAGTCTCTTGTCCCAAGACTACGTTGCGTTTTGTATCCTATGTCCGCGATCCGGTGTATGGCGCATTGCCTGTTCATGAGCTTTCGGAGAGCATGAATAAAAGGTTGGTGATTTTACTAGCCAGTCGCCGTAACACTATCTGATGCTCTACCTATAGATGTAAGCAGTTCATCCATGGCAGCGCCGTTTCTGATGATTTCAAGTCCATGCTGATGTTCTACAGTGACGATTATCTCGCGGTCCTTGTTGATCGGAGCCGATTTACTAGTTTTGTGTGTCACCTGGTACCGCACGTATGAGACCGTCAAGTTTTCCAGGCGGGATCATGCGGGCACGAGTGGAAGGACATTCTCTGGTACCCTTCTCCGTGATGGTACGTGGGATGATACAGAGTCTTTTGACTGGGAGCTCAAAACCTCTGCTTCGTGTTGCGGCGTCGTAGGGACCGCGTACTTCTTGTAGGTGCAGCCCCCATCATCTTTGGCTTGTCCAGCGTCGCTCACTTGCCAGGACGCTGCTCGTTCTGAATTGTCTCCACGTTGCATTCACTCTAGCTTCGGTGAGCATCCTGGAAGAGGCACCTCGAACGCACGGGTGTTTGACGCGATCGAGTAGGTGACCCCCAGCGAGCAGGATTCGGATCCAGCCAGCCTGATGCCGCTATTCTCGGAACCGTAAAGATTGATTTCACGTTGTCGCGATGCACGGCGGTTACTGAGATGTCCTACTTAGGATAACTGCTGTCCTCACGTCGAGATTCCTCATCAATCTGCAGGAGGTCAAGCACAAGCTAGCAGGCTCTTCCAGGTCGTTGTCGGGAGGGGAGCTCGAATTTCAGCACAACGCGTCCGGAAACTCAGACGGTTTTATTGGATCATTCGGAAGGGAGCTCTCGTTTGGTGAAGACAACGTCGGAGACGAGGATGTCGCTGAAGAAGCACCTGTGACTTGAGGCGCCGGAGCTTTTGGTGGAAAGCGATCGCAGTCGTACATCGTTCTATATTGTGTCAGTGCGTCGCGCGGGCATGATGCAGTTCTTGGTTATCTCTGACAAGTCAATCTGTGGCCGCTTATGTATTCACGCAGAGTGGCCCTGCTCGATGATTGTCGTCTCCTCCGAGTAAGAGAGCTCTCCGAACGGCTCATAGATAGGCCTTTGGGCAAAGACGGCTGCGAAGACGAACAGTGATGGTCCGTCGGACTAGGTACCACTAGTGAGTACAGACGATTTGCAAGACTGTATTGCCCGGTCCTAGATGTGCGCTGTATGTCACTATTGCACCCGACCGCGAAGTGCTGCAGATAATGCACTGACCTGAGCGGGCGCCTTCGACTCGTCAACATTGCACAGCAGCACAGCGCTGCGCAACGGCGGGGGGACGGTGGATGGTGGTCTCCAGATCACCCCGGACGCTTTCGGCGCGCCCGATCTTCTGCATACGAGAGAATGCACGGGATAACATTGGACGAGCAGGTTTACAACGTACAAACGCACGAGTTTGGATGACACCGGTGTTGTCTCCTACCCTCGTACACGGACGACCTTCCGTTTTCCTTTCCCTCCTCCTCCACCACCTCCGCCGATGCCTGGTGCAGCTTCTGCGCTCATCCCCGCCTTCACTGTCTCTATCAGTACCCCCGAAGGGAGAGCAGGGGAGTACGGCGAGACCCGACTGGTGAGTTGTGGCCAAGGTTGGGGCGGGGATGGGACCTTTGGGGGGCGCTTCGTCCCAGGGGAGGGTGAGATCGTCGTATTTGCCACTGATGCCTTCGAACCGCCCTTTGCGGGCTGCTTCCCCTTGACTGGAGTCGAAGGAGCGGGAGGCTCCGCGGTCTGCGGAGTAGGATCGGTGTCGTATGGCGGCTTTGGGACGTTATCGGGCTTGAGCATCTGGATCTGGATCGAAATCATCTCCAGAAGTTGCTTCTCTGGACGAAGGCCGGGCATCAGTAGCAGATCACTCCCGAAGTGAGCAAGCTCGCTGCAACAGAGCTAGCGCACGACGGAACTAAAGGATACACACTGGTCTTGATCGCGGGGTTAACCAATCGCCCATCCTTCTTCCACTGCACGCGCACACGACCAGGGTTCTCCCAATCGCGAGGATGCGCCTTGTGTACTTCGTGCAGCGTTCCCAGTCCTAGACGGTTCGTCGCGTCCGCGATGTCCTTGCTGAGCGGCCACCATACGCTCTTGCCTCGAGCTATCCGCCGCTCTCCCCTGCCACCAGGACGTTTGGCGTCGATATAGATGGGATAGATACACGTCCACCTAGAAGGACCATCCAGTTGTTGCCCTCTTGCATACGCACGCGCGCACGACGGGGTGGGTGTTGCACAGATGATGGGGAAAGACGTACTTCTTGTACGGCGTGATGTCCGTTATTGCGTTACCCGCTTCCGTCCCTGCTCCTGGCCTGAACTGGGGCAATGACGGCGACGCCGGGCCTGCATGGGGTTCCCGAAGAGTCGGCACGTCGTCCTCGTCCTCCGAGAAGTCTAGCTCTTCTAGGAGGGCGCCCTGTGCGCCGGTGTTTGGTAAGGGTTTGTTCGGGAGGGGGAGATCTGTATCATCGTCGAACTCTTCCTCCACGATTGCGGTGCGTCGAGACATTGTGTCTTATGAGAGTGCGGCCTAGCGATGCAGTAATTGTGCAGTTCCGGGGCCGATAGGGAAGGCAGCGTGTGTACGGTAAGGGTCGTAGGGGCAAGAAGACAGGCGAATACTGCGCCAAGTCTCACGTCCCCGACGGCGAAGGCGCTGGCGGGCGCCGGTGAACGGGTATGCACCCTTCCATCCCTTGCAGCTTCCCTACTTGCTCTGACAACTTGCCTGGAAGATGTCCCCGTCGGAGGTCTTGTGCCATTCCAATTCACGCCTGCGGTCAAGGCGACTGTTCACCTCCGGTCGGCTACCCTGGCGAGTGTCCCAGACCCCGTCCGAAAGATGCATCAATGCCGTGATGTGGATGCCGTACCTGTCTCTTTCTCCCTCTCTTTGTTATAAGTATACCGTCCACCACGGCGTCGAGCTAAGTCCGCTCTCAATCTACTCCCTCATCCCCTCACGTCAACAGCACGCTCAGACCTACCTAGATTCACGATGTCGACTCTTGTGATCAGAGAGGTGAGGAGTTCTATAACGTTACAAGCAGACGCGAGGGGAGGTGTGACATTCAACGCGTATCTTTCAGGTTGCCGAAAATGTATGGACATTCTCGAGGTACGGGCAGCACTACTGCATGATGTTCAACTAGGATCGCCCTGACGTTCTCATCGTCCTACTGCAGACCTTTTACCCTACTGGGGTTGTTCCCTACAGGCGGGCGGTCCACTGCGATAAGACTGCAGTCAGGAGATGTCTGGATACTCGCTTCAACTCCTTTGGACGATGAGACGAAGCAGAAGCTCTCAGAGCTTGGCAAAGTCAAGTACGAACCACCCCCGTCACGTTTCACATGATGTTCACCGAAGGAACTTAGGTATATTCTCGCTGGCAATGCTTTCCACTACCTGTTCTTGAGTACGCTCCTCAGTCGTCCCACCTTAGCCTCAACTGATATCGTCCCCGTTCACCAGAGGATTACAAGGCGGCATACCCTGACGCCAAGCTTATTGGACCGGAGGCTTTGCCCAAGCTGAAGAAGATTGACTTCACACTGGATGCTGGTGAGCAGAACGCACCAGAGGCCTTGTCCCGTAACTGCGCCCACAAAGCTTCCTTGTGCTAGTATACAGCGCGTCAAACCCAGATGCCCAGTTCGGCTACGAGGATGAGGTATAGTTTGTTCTTTCCAAGCGATTCCTGATAACGGTTCTCATGTGATGAACTTCACTGACGCAGATCATCGGATGGTTCGTTCGCCCTGCTTGCTCCCCCGCTCTGAAGCAGCTGACGTTCGATGCAGCTACTTCTCGTCCCACGCAAACAAAGACATTGCGTTCCTTCACAAGCCTTCCAAAACTGTAATCGCTGCCGACCTTCTCTTCAACAACCCACCCAACGAGCAGGTTGGTGACGCGCCATATCATATTGCATATCCTTCCTCTTACTCTGTATCATGCCCTAGTACTCCAAGTCAAAAGACTCGCCGAAGTCGTTCCTTCTTTCGGGCCTAGTTCCCACCGGCAGGACCATGCGCTTATTCATCTGGCAGAAAGAAGAGAATAAGGCGTAAGCCGTATCTTACCTCATGTTAACGAAGCGATGCGCTGACCTGGGGTTCGCGCTCGCTAGGGGGATGGTTCGGGATGCAAAGACGGTGGCTTCGTGGGACTTTGTCCGTTATATCCCTTGTCATGGAGTGAGTATTCATTGTTCCATATCCATTACATCACCTAGGGTCTTTCCGATGCTGACGGCTTGGCACGGTCCTAAGGACGTCATCGAGCATGGTGCGAACGAAGCATGGAGGTCCGCGTGGAGGAATTACCTCGCATGAAGGCTCGGCGGTCTCTGTATGTGACGTAGTGCGTTTCTTTTGCCTTGGTCTTTCCTTAGCTTGTTTCTGCGACAACGATTTATCGGCCTGTCCTATCGCTACGCTCTGATAAACTCCTACCGTATTTCAGCCGGCTTCGCACATCAGGACGCATCCTCAGACTTGAGTCGACCCGGGAATTTGCATCTACCTGCTATCGCGTCTAGCTCTCCTATCGCCTCGCGTAATCGACCCTCACCAGTCTCGGTGGTGCCGCTCTTGCAAGTGAATCTGTTCTATGCACATGTGCCTCAGAACGACCCGGCATGGAGTTCAGAGTGCGGGTGATGTCCAAGTGATAGCGTTGCTGTCATGGTCGCTTGGTCCTCGCCGACACTGGTTGACCTGATCGCAATCGAAACCCGGGTTGTAAGCAGTTCACAAGTCGAGTCCGCATACAGTCGACACCCTCATAACCCATACCTCTCATAACCCATAACCCCTAATAACCCATAGGATTGGGGCAATCCCGGGTCGGTATAGGGGGGATAACTATTAACCAATAATCCTGCAATAGCCCATAACCCATGCCTTTTCGGGCCGGTATAACCCATGAATCAGAAGGGCTAGGGCACATTACACGGCGGGCAAAGCGCCAGGCTCCAAGCAGGGAAATCTGTGCAGCATTTATAGGCAATGCAACCTGGCCCTAGCATTTCCAGTGGGCCTTTGTATCCCTCTTTGTCATTTGGGTAATCTTATGGGCACGTTGCATCGCCCGTATGTTCAGCGTAGATTTCCTCACCTGGACCATCGCGCTTTGCCTGTCGTGTTAGAGAGTTGAGGGGGTACAAATATGCACGTGATTTGGGCGCTTGTTACATAGCATTTCGTACTCTCGAGTCTATCGGAATTCAGCCTGTCTCCCGCTCTAGGATCTCGCCCCCTCAACTCGAGACGACGGTGGGTAGGAGCCTGTCTTATGCCATAACCTCCAATAACCCATACTTCGAGGCTTATCCCGAGGGCTATGGGTTATGAGGGTTCCGGCTGTAGTATCATGCACCGTATGCCTAGCCAAGCACGGCGTCGCTGGTCAATGGTTTGGGAGCGCGCCCCATCAGCCCGACGGTGGCGGTGATCGCCCTCAAACGACCATCAACTGCCTCAGCGCAATGCCAAGCCTCCCCCGTTGCTTCGCACTGTAGACTTGGCGCCGGCCCTTCCTTCGACCATCAAGCTCGGGGTCTAGAATGAGGCAGGCGGTGAAACTTCAAAGGACGACGGCGCGTCTCCCGCCTTGCCATCAGCCACCATGGTGCGCTCGGGGATCCCGGGCGCTCTGGGATGATGCTCCACAGACGAGTCGGCATTGCTGTGCTGTTCACGGTCGGCGGCAACGGTGGGTATTAGCAGATCTCGAGCTCTGAACAGTGAACAGGATTTGGGCGCTATCAACAATTGTATCGGAGGAGTATCTGCGTGGAAACGCCTCTAAGCGTTGGCGAGGTACGGAGAACAATTAGTCGGGAATTCGGGCAAGACTGACACACTCTACCAGGAGGAGCCATCCTTCTAGGCTGACGTCAACTAAGTACTGACATCCTGTGCGGAAGTCAACGGCTTACCAGGGAAGAAGGTTTTGGTCCACGGTAATATCTCGCCTTGGCCTTGGTGCTGTTGCTTAATGACACTGCTCTTGGCACTCCTCCTATGATCAAAGCGCGTTTGGGGTTTCTACGTGACGGAGCAACCATGCGCTCAAGCGCGCTGTGGTATGACCTTTGTGATGGCCAGGCAGTCATATATAAGACGGGAATGATACGACGGTTTGTCTCAGTGCTCTTTCCTGTTCGCACCACTACTCGCACACAGGTTGTGTGAAGTCTTTATTGTCTGCCACTCCCTATTTCTTAACTCACCGCTTGCCGCAATCATCAACGACTTTCACCTTCTAACGTAGGTGTTACCTGAAGTTCAGCTAAGCCGTCGACCAGTCACTCACGTAAATGTTTGCATAAGGACCCCACGCTCCCTCACAAACATGAAGCTCTCCGTGCTCTTTGCTATCGTCCTTGTTAACTGTGAGCCTCGCCATTACCAGAGTAGTGATGAAATTTACCTGACCTACATGTCAGTCGCTGCTGCGACGTACGTCCCCCGTGCGGCGCCTGGCACGCAGTTCATTACTGGCCCCTGCTCTGGCGATATCGACTGTGCCTCTGGCTGCTGTGGCTTCAAGAGTGGCAAATGTGCCGGTGCTATCGTCGCTCAGGAGCGCGATGGAGGTTGCGGTTTCGGGGACCCACAGCCCAACGATAACGCCGCTCGCAAGCTCCGGGGCGAGGCTCCTGCCTCCTCTGCTCCAGCAGTGTCTACCTCGTCCTCATCTGCGGTTTCAGCCTCCTCTGCCCCGGCGGCTGTGTCTACCGTCTCTTCTGCGCCTACAACGCCCGCGCCTTCCGTCGCACCCGGCAGCCAGTTCATCACTGGACCCTGTACGAGCGACGCTGATTGCGCGTCGGGCTGCTGTGGTTTCAACACGGGCAAGTGCGCCGGGGCCATTGTCGCACAGGAGCGTGACGGCGGTTGCGGCTTCGGCGATGCTCAACCCAACGACAACGCTGCCCGTAAGCTGCGCGGTGAGGCTCCCGCCTCTTCCTCCGCTCCCGTGGCGTCTTCGTCCTCTGCTTCTGCAGCCTCCGTTTCCTCCACTGCGGTGGTGCCTTCGGCCAGCTCTGTTGCTCCTACTACGCCTGCACCCTCGGTCGCTCCTGGAAGCCAGTTCATCACCGGTCCGTGCACCAGCGACGCGGATTGCGCGTCGGGTTGCTGTGGCTTCAAGAGCGGCAAGTGCGCTGGCGCCATTGTTGCGCAGGAGCGCGACGGTGGCTGTGGTTTTGGCGACGCTCAGCCCAACGACAACGCGGCTCGCAAGCTCCGGGGAGAGGCATGAGTTGGTGTGTGGTCATAAGTTGAGGATCTATGCAAGATGTGGAAGGATAGGAGTAAATTATTCGCAGACACTGTAGACTGAATACATCTTCAGTTCATCGTCGCTGTAGTTAGTGTAGTAGTATCAGTTGAACGAGCTTGCGGAAGCACTGAGCAAGGGTACCTAGAGAATGCGCCACAGCGAACTCGTCCTGGCCGACATTCAGCAGCATGCTCGACTATACCCCAATGCGCCTTGCAAAGCAAAACAGGAGTCGCATGTAAGATAAAGGCTGCAACGAGGTACTTGCCGACTGTTTCTGCTGAATTTAGTTGCTCTCGTGCGAGTCCACAGCCGGACAGAGGCAGATCGCAAATTGAGCGCTAGTTGAGTTCGTTCCCGTTGCTGTGACGCGCTCCCGTGTGTCGTGATGATCGGGGAAGTCACGGCGTCACATCTACCAGAGCTGCAGGCTTCAGCCACCGCGGACCGTCTCATCCTCATATCCGCCAGGTTTCTGTCCCATCTATCTACTTCGAGTTTGACCTGGCACAGACACTCCGCAGTCAACAAGATCCTGCGGAGCTCATAATACGGCGGCGAAGGAGTGGTCGAGTCAGGTGCGAATCTCTGTTTCCAAATCACTAATGCAAGAACGCTGTAACTTTGCGTCTGTCTATGCAGGATTCCACTGGTAATACGACTCAACGTAGATCGCACATGGACACGCACGAGATCCTAGCTCCCGCGGAAGGGGGATTGACCGTCGGTCGTGCTACACCTGCTCTGCGTAGCAGGCCTCCCTCTCCGCATCGACTTCCTTCCCAATCCATGGACGCCGATCCTCCCAACCAGCCTCTTGAGAGTCCAACCTCTCTTGGACCTGTAGACGGGCAGATACACGCGGCGGTGGCTGGTTCTCCGGAACAACAGGGCGGAGGCGAGCGACCCCTCAACGTGAGCGACGCGCTGAGCTACTTGGACTCCGTCAAGCTGCAGTTCGCGGAACAGCCAGAGGTGTACAACAAGTTTCTGGATATCATGAAGGACTTCAAGAGCCAGCTGTGAGTCTCGCTCTGTACCTACTCGTTGACCACGTTCCTCTCCGGACCTGGCTGCCGCTCCCCGGCCGGGTGGCACTTTCCCTTTCTCTATAGCTTCTTACCCCTCTCGTCCTGTTCCCTTCCTAACACACCTCTGTCTCCGTGCAGTATTGATACTCCTGGGGTCATTGAGCGCGTCTCAAATCTCTTCCACGGTCACCCGGCCCTCATTCAAGGGTTCAATACCTTCCTTCCCGCAGGATATCGCATCGAGACCGGCGACAACGCCGATCCAAACACCATCACCGTCACCACTCCCGCGGGAACTACCACCCAAGCCACCAACGCTGCCTTCAAGTACGGCAAGCAGCAGACAGTCACCGAAAGAGTCGCAGAGACGGTCAACCCCGAACCGGAGGCCCCAGTCGTTTCCCAGGAGTCCCTCAAACCCGCCCTGGAGTTCGTACAGAAGCTGCGTACGCGGTACGCGAACCAGCCCGCGGTCTACCAACGCTTCCTCAAGACGCTCGCAGAGTCGGGCAACCAAGGCCAGTCGGACATAAGTCGCATGGAGTCATGGTCCGTCGCGTGTCTCTCTGCGCGGTACCCAAAGGGCGAGGTCATGACGGAGATCATGGACCTGCTCAAGGACTCTCCGGACCTGATGCGCGACTTCGTCCAGTTCCTGCCCGACGAGCGTGTACAGAAGGAGGAGCTCGCGCGCATTGCGAGGCTTGAGGAGTCGCGCAAGGCGAGCGAGTCGAAGCCCAAGCGCGCGACAAAGGAGGAGAAGGAGAATCCATCGGGCTCTGTTGCAACGGGTCAGAAGCGGAAGCGGAAACCGGCGGGCGACAAGGAGAAGGAGCCTGTCACAAAGACTTCTGCCAACAAGGTGCGTCATCTTGATATCTCAGCGTGGCTATCTGACTCATGACAGCGACAGAAAGCGAAGGTGCAAACGTCGAGCGAAGCTCCATCGCCAGCGTTGGCGCAACGCCAGGCGGCCGCTGCTGCACCTCCTTCACCGATCCGTGCACCCCCGCAACCTCCGCCTCGAGCATTCTACCTGCATCCTCAACAGACTATCTCCCTCGCTCCTCCCATGCCAGTCCCCGTCCAGGCGACAAGCTCTATTCATCCAAGTGATGAGAAGCACTTCTTCGAGCGCGTGAAGCGCGTTCTGGACAACCGTGAGACCTATAACGAGTTCCTGAAGCTCGTCAATCTTTTCACTCAGGATATCATCAATACCACACGCCTCGTTCGAGAGGCCAGGTCGTTTATCGGTGATGGAGAGTTAATGGCACAGTTCAAGGATATTCTCGGATGGGACGCGAACAAGGAACGGATGGCTGCACTGGAGGAGTCATGGACGCGACCGATGGGTGTCCTCGACCGTCCGAGTCGGCACCAGCTGCATAATCGATATGGCAGCTACCGCAAACTGCCCGCCCATGTATGTGATCTACCTACATGCCGGGTATCTCCACTAACGAGATCACACTTACAGGAGGTCAACGTGCAATGTTCGGGGCGAGATGAGATGTGCAACTCCGTGCTCAACGATGAGTGGATCTCGCAGCCCACGTTCCAGAGCGAAGACGCTGGCTTTGTTGCCCCCAAGAAGAACGTCTACGAAGAGGCGCTCCACCGCAGCGAAGAAGAGCGCCATGAGTATGATTTCCACGTCGAGGCCATCCACCGCACGATCCAAGTTCTCGAGCCTCTGAACAACAAGATCCTGCAGCTGACCCCCGAGGAGCGCGCGACCTTCAAGCTCAAGCCCAACCTGGGCGGCGTCGGGAAGGCGATCCACCAGCGCGTCATCAAGAAGATCTACGGCCGCGACCTCGGTATCGAGGTGTGGGGCGCGATGCAGGAGGTGCCTGCGACGGCGATCCCCGTCGTCTTGGGCCGTCTGAAGCAGAAGCACGAGGAGTGGAAGCGCGCACAGCGCGAGTGGGACAAGGTCTGGCGCGAGGTCGACGCGCGCAACTACCACAAGTCGCTCGACCACCAGTCGGTGACGTTCAAGGCCGCGGACAAGAAGGCGATCACGCAGAAGGTGTTCGTCACGCAGATCGAGGCTGCGCGCGACGAGCAGCGTGTGAACCGCGCGGCGCTCATAGACCCGCTGTTCGCGCGCACGAAGCCGCGGCACCAGCTCGAGTTTGTGGTGGAGGACCCGGCGGTGCTCCAGGACGCGCTGAAGCTGGCGTTTTCGTTTCTGGACCGGACGCAGGCCCAGATCTCGCTTCCAGACCGGAGGAAGATCGAGACATTCTTGCGATCGTTCGTCCCGCTGTTCTTCATGCTCGACGCTACCGCATTCAACGCGGCGTTCGTCCCTCACCATGAGTCCCTTGACAGCGATTTCGAGCTTGAGGCGGTAGGCGAGGACGTGGAGATGGGTAGCGCGAACGGCAGCACTTCTTCGTCGAGGTCACGAAGCAACAAGAAAGGCAATGGCGCAAACGCTGCTGGAGACTTGCGTAAACGGTTGCTGAAGAGCGAGCAAGCGAAGTCGTCAAGGCGGACCAGGGCGCAGGAGGCAGCGTCCCCAACACCATCGAGGTTCGCGTCTCCGGTGCCGTCTGATGCGATGCAAGTGGATGGAGACGCTGCAAAAGTAGAGAATGGTATCAGTCGGCTCGACAAGTCGACGTCGCGGAGGCGAGGGACGTTCTACACAAACACGGCATTCTATGTCTTGTTGCGCTTGCTCGAGGTAATGTCTAGCTTGTCCCTGGCATTCTTGTTCCGCCGCTGACAGCGAAATAGCTGCTCTACACGCGATTGCATCTGTTCAAGAATCTTACGAAGGAGATGGCGGACCGCAGCAATGATCCCTTTGAGCCCAATCCTTCGTCTATCAGGTCGACCATTCAGGCCGATCTCGCCAAGCTGGGCAATAGACTCGATCAATCGTCTCACTATTACGAGCTAATGCTTGAGTCCTGCGAGAAGCTCTTTGATAACGAAATTGAGCAGCCTGCCTTCGAAGAGATGATGCGATACATGTTCGGGTTGAAGGTGGGTCTTTCTATGCCGCCCCACGAGCTAGACAATTTGTTGACTTGCGGTGTAGCACGCGTACAAGCTGTTCACTGTGGACAAGGTCATTGGTGCGCTCATCAAGCAGGTGCAGACCATTCTATCAGACCCGAAGAGCCAAGACTTGTACGAGCTTCTACGGCGCGAACGGGAGATCACTTCTCCTACGACTCAGGACCTCATTAACTGCCGTCGGAATACTGAACGTGTTCTCGGACCAGACGAGAACTTGTTCCGCATTGACTGGGTACGCCCAAGCGCCAAGTTGCTACCTTCCATAGAATTGACCAATATACCATAATGCAGCTTCCCGAGCCGAAGACTATGACAATCCAATTGATAGGCAAGGACGATGTCACATACGACGACTCGGAAGCTATGACAGGACGCTGGCAAGCGTACATCGAGTCGTTTGTTTCGGTATGTCTGGAGGATACATTTGATGGGGAATGTTGTGCTAACTGCGTTGTAGCATCACTATACTGCGGGAGTTCCATCGTCGTCCACCATCCGACGGCCGTTCCTCCTCCGGTGAGAACACACTTTCTCGCGATATTCCACCTGAAGCTAAGAGTTGCTTTGACATGTTATAGCACGAAGGTGCCTTCTCCCTCCGGTGCCATGCCGGAAATTGTTGCCCGGGGTGGTCTGCAAATCAAGGTCTGCGTCCGCACCTATCGCCTCTTCTTCGTCTCGCGCTCGGAAGATGTTATGGTCCGTCTCTCATCTCCTCAGGAGCGTGCCAACGCTCGCAAGGCCGTTGAGTTGCGGAACGGGAAGCGGAAGAAGTGGCTGGAAGACTATGCTAGTAAGCACGTGAAGGATGAGCCCCAGAGCGCTACTATGGAGGTCGCTCCCCAAACTCCGGCGGTCGGGCCAACGCATCCTCTGACTGCGAGCGACTCTTCGCCGAAGCCCTTAGCTCAGCCTGCACATCCACCAGTCACGAAAGAAGTGGATATGGAAGTCGTTGGTAGGGCGAGGGAGAGGCAGCCGGAGGTCAGCGTCTTCACGTCCCCGCAGGACGATCCGATCGAGGCTGCCGCTGCCGCTGCAGCAATTGGTTCAGCACCTGAACCCGACCCCGACGATGTTGCGATGGGTGACGCGACATCTGCTTTAGAACGTCCTGTACAAGAGGCTGCACCAGTTGCGTCCGCCATGGAGATGGATAGCGCCCCAGATACAACGGCGCCACCTGCAGCAGCCAAATTGGGAGAGTTCGGATCATCGCCCGGACAAGCTTCGTGTGTACCCAATGCCCAGCCATCGCCTGCGGCACCTGCGTCCGCTTCCTCCTCTGCGCCTGCTGCTGCTGCTTCCGGGGCCGCCTCCAATATCCCTGTGTCTATAATGGCTACACAGTCTATACCCGCGGATAGGCCGGTCTCAACAGCCCTTCCATCCGCTCACGCTCCTCCTGCTTCGACAACACAGTCTTCCAAGGTCCTCTCGGAGTCTTCACCTTCTACTCCGACACCTGATCCTTCTACGACCAGCCCGGAGCAACAACCGTTGCCAGCTGTGTCCGCTCGGCCGTCTAGTTCTGCTTGGTCCGGCTCTGCTCCTCGAAATACTTCGTCTGGATCGTCGTCCGGTTCTATCGCGTCCTCATCGGAACCAGCGGCAGTCTCAGCATCAGCTGCGCCTCCTCCACCTACTCGTGCGCCTCCACCCGCATCCACATCTGCTTCCGCGCTCGTGGAAGCCTCATCAGCGCCAGCAGGTACGACTGCTGCCCCTGGTCCCCCGTCTCCAGCTCAAGCACCAGCGGCAGACACAGCTCCCCCTCATCTCGAAGCGGCACCAAATCAAACCACGTTGGAACCTCCTCCGCAAGGTGCCACAGAGGAGCGACATCCGCCATCTGGCGCCCCTTCAGTTCAGTCTTGATGATCATCCTTGGAAGTCAACGCCGTCCCTGTATACCTCTAAATTCCGCCCTGTATGTACACATCCATTCCAAAATCTGTTGCGTCGATTGCAAGGTCTCCCATTTGTGTTGTATCGCTGCTACATTACAGTCTAATAAATATGTATCTCGGACCTGAGCAGAACTTCGATTGCGGAACAAGATGGCTACAGTGGCATGCAGGTGTCCGGGCTTTACTCCAGTTTCAGTGTCGTCTTCTCGCCTGACATCTTCGACGTGGCGACGACCGTGCTCGTATAAACTTACAATATCTCCAGAACTAGAGGATCTTGCCCGCGTCATGAGACCTAGACCTCTCCTCAACTACGTTGTATTTGCGCGTGCCCCGTGTGTACGGCACTCAGCACTGCACGCCCAGCAGGGTGCTCGGGATTACGAGCGCTTTCCGCGCCAGCCAGAGCCAAGAACGCCGCCACCGCCCACGCCAAACCCAGCGAAGGCACCACCGGGCCCCCCGCCAATCTGTGGACCTTCGCCAGGCCCAGACACGGGGCTGTTGAACCCTGGCGGCTTGCCGTGGAAAGAGGTGCGGTATGACGACTGAGGGACCGCTTGGATGGTGAGGAACTTGTTCGGGACTGGGCGGTCATCATTGTTGTACTAGACGCACACCCGATCATCAGCTCACGCGCGCAGAGGCACACGGGTCGTCGAACGACGCACCTGGAACTCGAGACCGATGCCGTCCGTCTCGGAGACGTCGAGCAGCTTGACCATCTTGCGCGCGATCCCGTTGATCTTCTCCACGTCCTCCTTCGTGCGCGTCCAGAGCTGTATGCGGTCGACCTTCGAGCGCAGGCTGACGACCGCGCCGCAGATCTCGTCGCCCTCGTCGAGGTCCTCGCCGACGAGCGCCATCGCGAGCCACGACCAGCAGCGGTCGAGCAGCTGCGGGTTGTTCTTCATCGTGAGCACCCACTTGCCGCCGTTCGCGTTCGCCTCGTCCTCCCACATCGGCTTGATGCCCGACTTGAAGAGGTGGTAATTGGAGTTGCGCTCGAGCTTCGAGGGCGGCTTGAGCCAGTTGAAGTACCGGCAGAAGGACTCGACCGTGTCGAACTCGCCGATCACCGTCAGCCCCGCCTCGTACTCGTCCGTGTCGGGCGCCATGTAGTGGACCCCGGCGGACGCAGGCGGCGCGACCTCGGAGGTGGCCGTGGCGGGCGTGAAGGGCACCTTCGTCTTGTTGTCGTGGTATAACGTCCTTGTGACCGAGCGGGGGTGCATCAGCATCCGAGTTACGCAAACGAGAACGGGGAGACGGGCAGCGTACCACGTGTGCTCGAGAGGGTGCTCGGGAGCCTTGATCCGCAGACCTGGGGTCTTGGGATCCTCGATGGTCTCCGCCTCGGGAGGCTTGGCCGAGCCGTCGACGCTGAGCGTCCTCGCCTTTGCGAGGCGTGCAGTGATCGCGTCGAGGGAGGGGATGTTCTTGTAGCCGACGGGCATCTTCTGCCTCGGCTTCTTCTCGTCGGCGGTCACCTCCTGGTTGTGCTTCTCGACCTTCTCCGTGGTCAGCGGCTCGCCCGGGTCTGCCTGCTCTCCCACCGGGGTGCTCCTGTCGCTGTGGGGCGGCGAGACGGAGAGGGCTCCCGGCGACTCGGCGCGCGAGGTCGGGGCGTTGACGGCCACGGAGTCTGAGGCAGACGCGGCGGTAGACGAAGTCGTGGAGGCGGCAGAGCTCGTGCGGAGGAGCGAGGCGGCGAGGCGAGGACGGCTGCCCGCTAGAGCGGGCGTAGGCGCATTCAGGTTGATGCGCGCGGCGAGCTGGTTGAGGGAGGGCATGCGAGGGCCAGCAGAGGGCCGCTCGGGCTTGGCGGGTGCATCCTGGGCAGCAGTGGTCGTCGTTGGTGGCGGGGACGTGGACATCGTCGGGGTCGGAGGTCAAGCACACTGACACAGGGCTGTGGCTCCGCGCGCTCGACCCAGCTAAGTATGTACTTACTTACGGCTGCTGATTGCATCACCGTTCGATCCCCGCTCACTGCAGTCGCGTTTCTCTTTTCTGTCCCGGACCACCATGTGCGTGCGGCTCCGTCTCCACACTCGTCCGGGGCCACTTGGCCTCGAGGACACTGGGAAGATACAAAGTAAGTTGGCTGTGCAATTGCACAGCCTAAAGCGTAAGTTAGATGTGTTTGGCAGCCAGGTAGAAGAGGTAAACGACTGCTTATTGTGGGCTTACACGCGCATACCACGTTCGATTGTTCTCGGGCGCGTGCCTTCTGCCGCTCAAGTCCGCCTCATCTCAGTGCCGTGAGCACAAAGAACATGCGGACCTATCTCCGTCCATGGAAGCGGCTGACTTCCACCCACAATCCAGCCCCAAGTGCAATATATAAATGAGTTCCCTCGGGAGGCCCGGTCTCCATCTCCCTCGCCCTGTGCGTTACCTCTTCTTCTCTACCCCTACCATGCTTTTGCCCCTTACCCTCCTGGCTGCTCTCCCCTTCTCAGCAGTATGGGCTGCGCCCATGTGCTCCTTGAAGCCTCCCCAGTCCGCTGCTGTCACGAGTTCAGCCTCGGCGCCTAGCGGAACGCCCGTCGGTGCGACAGGAACTTCTGGTTCCAGCGGCAACAGTTCCTCCCTCGGCGACGAGGTCGTCGCAACAACTTGGTACGCTGGATGGCATGGCACCGACTTCCCTCCCGAGAACATCAGCTGGTCCAAGTACTCTGCTGCGACATATGCCTTTGCGTCAGTCAACTTCCTTCGGTTCTCATCTTGCTTAGGCTGACTCCGTAAACAGTGTCACGACTCCAGACGTAAACTCCGTATCCTTGGCAGACTCCGATGAGGAATTACTTCCTCGCTTTGTCGACCTGGCACACCAGAATGTGAGTAGCAGTTGACAATCTCACGTATCTAGATCGGGTGTACTGAAGTGCCTGTTCGCGTTTAGGGTGTCAAGGCGATGCTGACCATCGGAGGCTGGACCGGCTCGACTTACTTCTCTTCAGCAGTTGCTACTGAGGCAAACCGGACCGCATTCGTCAAGACAATGACCGGCCTCATCTCCAAGTACGACTTGGACGGTCTCGACTTTGAGTGAGTCGTGTTCATCGACACCAATTCCATAGCATTACTAACTCGATGACCCAGCTGGGAGTACCCCAACAAGCAAGGAGCGGGCTGCAACATCATCTCCCAGGACGACAGCCAGAACTTCCTCTCCTTCCTCCAAGCCCTCCGCTCCCAAGTCGGAGACAACATCACCCTCACCGCCGCCGCCGGCATCACGCCCTTCGCCGGCCCCGACGGCACCCCCATGTCCGACGTCTCCGGCTTCGCTGACGTCCTCGACTGGGTCGCAATCATGAACTACGACGTCTGGGGCTCCTGGTCCACATCCGTCGGCCCCAACGCGCCCCTCAACGACACCTGCGCTAGCGCCGCCGACCAGCAGGGCTCCGCCGTGTCCGCCGTCAACGCCTGGACCGCCGCCAACTTCCCCGCGAACCAGCTCGTGCTCGGGGTCGCCTCGTACGGCCACAGCTTCAGCGTCCCGAACTCGGCCGCGCTCTCCGGCAGCGGGGCCGCCCTCGCGCCCTACCCCGCGTTCGACGCGAGCAACCAGCCGATGGGTGACTCCTGGGACGCCCAGTCGCCCGAGAGCAACATGTGCGGCGTCGTGACGCCCGCCGGCCCGTCGGGCATCTTCGACTTCTGGGGGCTGGTCGAGGGCGGGTTCCTGACGACGAACGGGACCGCGGCGAGCGGGATCGACTACCGGTTCGACGAGTGCTCGCAGACGCCGTACGTGTACAACCCGAGCACGCAGGTGATGGTCTCGTACGACGACAGGAGCTCGTTCACGGCGAAGGGCAAGTTCATCAGCGAGCAGGGCCTGCTCGGGTTCGCGATGTGGGAGGCGGGCGGGGACTACAACGACATCCTCCTCAACGCGATCTCGGAAGCGATCGGGATTGATGATGTGAGTTGCTGATCGCTGCAGCTTCGGTCCCTGCTTTCTCCCCCCTCTCCCCCCCCTTCGGTCTTCCTCTCGCGGTCTCTGTCCGACCCTACCTTTATGCCCTCGCCTGCGAGGGTCTCGCGGCTCGATGCTTCGTCCATACCCACCTACTTCCCATGACAACGACAACCGCTCTGGCTTAGCCCGGAGCGACGCACGGTCACGTCACCACACGCCACAATACGCGGCGGCTCACCATATTGTATCGCTATACATGTCCCATCATTCCCTCATGTCTCTCTTTGGGCGCACTGTGTTTCTATTGTAGCGTTATGTTATTGACCGTGCTTGATGCACAGGCATAGACTAATGTATACTATCGCTGCATCGGATGGTGTACGTCACGCCGTCCTCTGCGCGGTGGCCCCGCCGAGCGGGGATACCCATTGACCGCTCCACGTTCGGTTACGCATCGACAGACTAACGAAGGTGACAAATGTACCAATAATCAACATGATTCTTGCATATCGCCTCACTCCTTCCTGAATGGCATGGAAACGCAGGCTTCAGGTAGGTGTTTCATCTTTTGTGACCCATGCTCCGCACTTGAAAGCAGAGAATGCAGAGGGGTCACCCGGCGCACGTTCTCAATTGTCGGAGGCCGCCCTGGAAGTCGAGTGGTAGTCGCGTTCAGAGGGTAGGTGCGCGTGTGCGTTCTGTATTTCGTCGTCGTTCACAGGGAATAAAAGGTGAGTGGATAGAGACCAACCACCCCAACTTGAACCTCCAGATTCTCAGCTATGTGGCTTCAACTCTCCTCATGGGCGGCACTTGCGGCGCTCTTCTCTCCTCTTCCCGCTAAGGCGACTAGCCTTGCGAGGGATGCACCTAGCGATTCCACGAACTCCCCCAGTGCGGCTGGTACTTTCGCCGGGACATGGTACACTACCTGGCACAATGGAAGAGTTCCTATTGACAATATCGACTGGAAGAAGTATACCTCGGTCTCATATGCGTTCGTGTAAGTGTGCACTGGCGGACTACCACGGTATCGGGATCATCTCATGATGTTTACACAGGACCACCGATCCGGATCACATGGTGAGCCTGACGGCGGATGATATCAACGGGACCATCTTCAAGGACCTGGTGTCTACAGCACACAACCAGGTAAGCGATTTACCCGCTCCTATCTGACCGAGCGTGCGTCTCAAACTAGGAGACCATGTACTGCAGAACACCAAAGTCATGATGACGGTCGGCGGCTGGACTGGCTCAAAGTGGTTCTCGCTTCTTCTTGCCGAAAACTACACCCGAAGCAACTTCATCAACGCAGTGGGTGCCATGGCAAACAATTACGCTGTGCAGGGCGTCGAGTTCGAGTGCGTACCATCGTTCGTGTCCTGTATGGTCACGAGCGTGCTGTGCTGATCGATTCTTTCTGCTCTGTCAGCTGGGAATTTCCGAACAAGCAAGGTGTAGGATGCAACACCATCGACAAGGACGATGCTGCAAACTTCCTCCTGATGCTCCAAGAGTTCCGTCAGAATCCCGCCACGAGCTCCTATATCCTGTCCGCCGCCGTCTCCGACAAGCCGTTTCTTAACGCGACTGGCCAGCCGATGGAAGACATGTCCGAGTTCGCGAAAGTCCTTGACTACGTGACGATCATGAACTACGATGTCTGGGGGAGCGTAGACGGAATCCTGGGCCCGAACGCTCCCCTCAACGACAGCTGTGCTCCACCCCAGTACCAGCATGGCTCCGCCGAGTCCGCCGTCGATACATGGACCAAGGCAGGCTTCCCTGCTGACAAGCTCGTCCTCGGTGTGCCCGCGTACGGACACAGTGCCGCTGTCCTCCCTAACAACGCCTACAACAACTCGGAGTTGTCCATCTACCCTCTAATCTACAACAACGCTTCTCAAGTCCCCGGAGACTCCTGGGACGGAAAGAGCGGGACCGATTTGTGTGGGGTGCCGTGGGACTACTCGGGCGTGTGGTACTGGACGAACCTCGCGGACGAGTCGCTGACGAGTAGCTTCATCAACGCCAACGGCACACCGAGGGACGGCATCGACTATCTCTGGGATGACTGCAGCCAGACGCCACGCGCGTATAACCGCTCCAGCCAGGTAATGCTTTCGTATGACGATGTGCGATCGTTCGGGCAGAAGGGTACGTTCATTCAGGAGAAAGGGTTGCGCGGGTACGCAATCTGGGAGGCAGCGGGTGCTACTGACGTATTGATTGATGCCATAAATTCAAACATGACGGGCAGTAAGCGTCCTTGAGGAGCGCCTCAGACATCACTACGATTTCAGTTTCTCGTTGGGCCTATTCTACTATGATAATCATGTGATGTAATACTGGAATTGTAATCAATGTCTTGGGATTCATTTCTGTCGCTGACAAGATAATGGCAGAGGTTGTCTTCACGGTCACCCGAAGTATAGATGTATTGCCGACATTATTCTGTCAAAAACATGCAAGGGGAGGACTAACTGCACTATAACTATGTGCAATCAGCAATGAAACTTGCTTTTTTGACATGAGGTAATGTATAGGTGTTTGGTTCGCCAACAAGGCGATTGAGGTTCAGACGTCACGTTCACTTTACTCATTCGTCCTACAATTGCGCTTTGTTGGCGGACGGAAGGCTCTCCAGCCAATGCTCCAGCGCCTGGTTAAGCCGGTCGCTCTCCTCGAGCAGAGCCCAATGCCCACAATCGAGCTCGATAATCTCCGCATGCGGCACTGCTCGTTTCATCGTCCACTTGCCAACCTCCGCATGGCAAACGTAGTCGCGCTTGCACGCGACGAATAGTGCAGGCTTCTTGACCTGCCTGTTCTCCTCCGGAATAGCTGTCAACAATGAGCGGTCAGAGGTTGGAAGCGAAGACTCGGGCCTTACCCTTGTTATCATCGATGTTCAAGTTGAATACTACCACCCTATAGTAGTTCATGGGCGACTCTAGACTAAACTTCACGAATCTTTCGCGAGCCTCCGCGTATTCCTGGGATTGTGATTGTGGAAGTTGTCGGTCGTCTACAGAAACCATTGTCCGTGTACTTACCTGTTCGGAAAACCAAGCCGGACGTTCACCTCGACGATCACTGGCGACCCATTCTTCTGCTTTGCCGAGAGGCGCTATCCAGTCTTTCCAGATCTCCGGCTCCTTAGGATACACGAGGGTGAGGAAGCTATCGATCTAGTTGCCATATTTCGTTTGATGCACCCCACCATTAGAACGAAAGTCTCACATTCTTGTCCGCAACGACATGCGAATCAGGTTTGATGAAGAATGCCCAATACCCATAGGTGTCGCTGCCCGTCTTCTCCCGAAAACCGACGATGAACTGGTCAAAATCCATTGGCTCAGTCGCTGCGGGTGTATAGGGCACGGCGATCCAGGCGAACGCCGTGAAACGATCCGGATACCAGTTCGCAAGGCGCGAGAGAAGCCCAGAACCCCTGCGACAGCCGTCCTCCATAAATATTCTCTAATAAATGCGACCATGTATATGCCCAACCAGCTCACCAATCGTGACCGATGCCGATGACCGTCTCTAGGCCTTCGGCGTCCAAGATGTCCACGAGATCCTGCGCGATGAGTTTGTGGCGGAATGCGTTCGGGTCCGTCGGTCTGGACGTCCCGCCGTACCCAAGGCAGTCCGGAACAACGATGCCATAGCCCTTCGGCTTCAAGTGCGCTACCTGGCGAGCCCAATCGAAAGAACTCGAGGGGAAGCCGTGGATCAAGAGCAACGTGGGCTTCCCAGCCGACGCAGGAGAGTAGTAGTAATGATACGTGTAGCCCCGCTTCACTTGGAGGTCCTTGAATGCGGTGGGATCCATGTCGACGATGGGCGAGACGCGGATGTATGAAGGTCGCACCTCCTGATCTGGAGGTTTATATATAGCTGATCAGAGGATGTCTTCTCACAAGAAGTGACGATCCGATGTGAATGCGCGGGCTCTTGCAAACATGCAACGGGGATCTCCGGCTACCAAACCGTCCGTTTGCCGGTGAGGTATTGAACGGCATTCCCGAAGCCATCACCTCGAGATTCCGAGCTTCGGCCTTGGTCACGGCGCACGGAATCAATCCGATAGGGAACTTGCGAATGCTATAGAGTCAGTCATATGAATCATCCAATGAAGCACTGCAAGCGACACTCGAGGCCGTACTGGCGCTCAGCATACATACTCTCCAGTACAGACATACCGTCCTCTGCAGTGCGACTCGTCGATTCATTCTAGTCACTCAATGCCTGACTACAAGATGTTCGAAGGTACGTGTACTGGCATCAACGTTCTCACATCGTCACCTTGTACAGTCCGCGACGTTTGCGCGACCTCTCTTGCCCTAGACCCGCACATTTGTCATCGCAGCCCATGTGAGTACACTTTCATCTGACGACTGTGCAGGGTTTCTGCTCCAGAGGCTGAGCGAGGCGATGATCTACAGTGCGAAGTCAGGCACCCATTAATGATGCCGCACGCACCTTTCGTGGCCATGCCGCCCGCGAAACCCTTCTCCCCGATGTTTGCGCACCTTGGTCACCACGCTGGGTGCGCAGGCCCTTACCCTTTCTCGAGAGCAGTAGTTCATATATAGCGCGGCGAACTTGCTGCGGGAGTCTGTACGCAGCTCTACTGTGACTTCGCGGAGCTTTGCAAGCAGGGCCAACTTGGAGGCGAGAAGTTTAATTGAATATAGATCATGAGCTTGTGGCGTGGATGTACCGTCGCGCGTCCGAGACACAGCCAGTGCGTGATGCCTCAGACACGACATGGTAAATGAGCACGGGGAGATAAACACTGGGCCTAAGTGGGTTGAGATATGTTCGCGAGGCGGAGTGTGGGCAACCTTGAGGCTGATGAGAAGTCGGTCACGTGGGAACAATTTGCAAGAGACGCGCCGTCCAGATCCCGTCGCACTGAGCGTCCAGTTGCGGCACGTCACGCACTGCCCACTGAAGTCAGATTTTCAAAATCTACTTGCGAGGCTCCCTGCAGCACTAGGCACATGTACTGCTGGTAACACAGGTGTCAAGCCATCAATCACGCCTCGCAACATTACCGGAACCTTCAACTTGAAGCGAAGCCGAACAAGGGTATGTGTCAATCTACTCTGTGCGGTTGAACGGCCCCATGACAGCCGATTGGACTCGCCATCTCGTTTCATTAATAGATGAGGCCAAATTCTGCAGCCTAGTCGGTCTACTCAGTCAGGAGTGCAAGATGGCCTACGTCCAAATACTTGGTGCAGCTCACTCTCCAACTTAGGTGCCTAGGGACTCGGCTAATGAGAGGAACCAAGCAACTGAACCCTTGTCTGTGATGCTGTCGAGCCTTTGATTCTCGGAAGGCAGCCGCTTTTACGTCGGATACTAACGGTGCAATGTGGACGCGCTCCAGGTTCTCTTCCTCCGGCGGAAACGTCACACAGTAAGGGCTAACATGGAGACGCCATCTGTCAGTATTCGGACGCCGTGCTGTTCGGGCCTAGGGCTTGATACGTTGCAATCTGTCTCAGGACAATCAACGCTAATGTCGTTAGCCCACTCACCGTGTGACCGAATGGCTAATCTACATATGCGGTGTATCTGTCTGTCTGGCACCCGAGTACGAAGAGCTCCTTGGCGGGCACTGGCCATTCCTTTCCCTAAATAAGGTAGACCTCATAGAACCTAGCAGCTGTTCTGCGAACGCCCACATCGCTTCGAATCTCTTCCCCCTGGGTATGTTGGGTTCTTCGGAGGCACAGGCTGCCACAATTGTCGCTGAACACCAGTATGTTATAGCTTATATTTTCGTTTCGCTCAAGCTTGCTGACACGTGGGATCAGTGCAACCACCTTCACTCTTTATTGCGCAGTTGCTGGGTCAAGTACGTCCATTGCAGCGTAGATCAGATGATGGTCAACTGATACATGTTTTCTCCACACCATTGCGCTGTTCATGTACGACTACGTCAGTACTCTCGATAGCGAGGTGAGGTAATTCTGTACGGCACGCCGCGTCACGGGGCCCTTGGTCCTGCCAGTTCTTGCTCAGCCGATATCTCACTTTCGCTGTTCAGATCTTGGGCTGCATCCCGTCTCCTTCATCATTCCAGGTACGTTTCACACTGCCATATATTCAACACATGCTCAGCAAATCAATAGAGGTTGGATGTTCCAGACAAGCTGGAACGAGGAACGTGTATCTGACCCTCCTCTAGTGGCCTCGCGATTTATGTTGTCACGTCTGTGATGCGTGCCTTACAGTATTTTCCTTGGGCTGGTACGTGAGCATATGTTCCCATATATCCTCACGGCATTGACGGTGCCCTTTCGTAATAGCATTCTCGACCCTCAAGTCCTACGCCATGTGCGCCGATTCATACCCAGTGTACATTGCGGCAGTAGTCTTCGCGCTTTCGTCGGTACCACTGTTTATCAGCCTGCTTGTGCGTACCAGTTCGCACATATACCCTTGGAGACCATCTAACGGAGAGTCCGCACAAGCTCAAATTGCTCTGGACGTCTTTCTCAAATGTTCCAGGAAGGGGCTTCGTACCGGTCCCGGAGCTGTCAGCGACAATGGTCATGAAGTGAGAGGCTTCGTTTACATCAGCTTCTGACCGACTCCTGTGACGCCCTCTCTGATATTCAATGACAGGTGCAAGTTTATTCTTCACTTTCGCACTGGACGCACGTTGACCTCGGACCATTCTGGTGACGCTGGCGTCGCGGTTCTCTCTCATCCTTGCCGATCTGGTTCGCCTCTACATCACGTGGTACCGGACCCACGAAACCATCCGGATAGCCCACCGTAATCGCATGTCCGGGGGTCATAATAAGCCGACCTTTTCCTTCACGCTTCTTCGCGATGGTGCACTGTATGACCAGGGCTCAATATCCTTAAGTATCGCTTAGGCATGTGTTTGTGACAGGAACAATATACTTTTCGTAGGTCACTGCGACCATGTCGGGCTTTTCGACAATCTCATCACCGTCCAAATCACAGAACGTTACTGATACTCAATGGTCTCAACGTCGCGTTCACCATATCCTCAGTGAGTACACCGTCACAGTACCATCGGACTCGTCCGAGTCCAGTCAGGTCGCAGGAAATGACGCACTTGAGCCATCGAACCTCATTAGTGTCTTCGAGGAGCCGTACGTCCACACTTTCATGCAACATCATGGCTGTAGCTGCTCACTATGCATAGGTTGACCGCCATCCTCACGTCGAGGTTCCTCATCAATTTGCAGAAGGTCAAGCGCAGGGTGGAAGACTCATCTCGGTCGCTCTCCAAGGTATCCGAGATCGCGTTTCAGCCCTATCACTCGGGGACTGCGGACGGTCCCATCGAGTCATCGCGGATCCAGCAGTTGTCTCATGAAGATGATACCGAAAATGGTACCGGAGACGATGTTGAAGAGCTGCCTTAGGCGGACATCTACGACTATGCGCTTAGCATCATCGTGAGCGTCGAACTCCTACATCTCCGGCATCCCTCCTCATTTTCGAATCCACCGACTCACCAAGTTCGTCGACGACACACAAGAAGCTATGATGCAGCAATGTTGCACCTATGATACAGGCAACCCATAGACCAGAGGAATCGCGAATCTGAGCTGCGAACAACCGCCAAGCCACCCAGTCCGGTGTCCACGCACGGCCACCAGAAGGCGGGCAACAGACGTAGACCACGGGACAAGCTTGTCCCGACAGCGCCTAGGAGGCCGGGCTCGGCCAGGTCGAGACGAGAGCGTAGGGCCGGGCGCGCACGCACGTCTCGCAGCCGCGCAGGAAGCGACGCCCACGTCTCCCACATCCACATATATCCAGCCACCGTCGTCTTGGTCGGTTGATCCCGCGCGCACACGCACGGAGTTCAACTGGTGTCCATGCGCCGGTCGCGCGGGCCCTCGCGCGTGCGCGAGAGCAGCAGCTCGTCGAGCAGGGCTGCGACCTTCCGCTGCGCGTCCGTCTTGTCCGCCTGCACGCTGCGCAGCTCGGCGTCGCGGCGCTTGGCGATCTGGGCCTCGTCGGACAGGAGGAGGAGGAGCTTCATGGAATGGATCGTCGACATGAGCGAGTTCGCCGCGCGGATCTGCCGTGGTGGGTTGGAGGTGGGGAAGTAGCGTAGCGCGTTAGGACATGTCACAGGACATTGGTGCAAGCCATGGAGCGTGGTCGGACGCGGTTTGGAACGCGTGTGCGAGACGGAGTGCGCGTGGGTGGCAACGATTGGATTGGAAGCCGTGAGGCGCGAGATGCCAGGAACGAGACGTCGGACGTAAGACGCAATGTAAGGCGTTCAGGGCGCGTCAGACGACAGCAGGGAGTGTAAGATGAGAAGATATGGTCACGCAGCCGGGACGGACGGACGCACCATGGACTCCGCGCGGCACTGCGCCTGAAACGCCTCCTGCGCGATGCGGAACTTGTCCTTGTCGCCAATCTACCCCACCGCACCCCCACGCACCCCACGCCCAGCGCAGCAACGCATTCCATTCAGCCACGGTGAGAGCAAGGGTTCGCTGGATGAAAAAGAGCACGCACCGAAGCGAGGCTGACGATGTCCGCCATACCGTCGACAAGGGTCTCGATCTCGACGTCGACGCGCTTGTTCCACTCCTCTTCGATCGCGTCGAGGTACTCGCTTGAGTTCTGGTCAATCGTAGGCTGCGAGGGGCGTTGCAGGAGCTTGGCGGTGGGGAGCGCAGAGGGACGAGAGACGTCTGTCTGGGGTATGTCCGACATGGCGGTTCGTAGAGTGGGCTTGCAGAGCGTTGACTTGGGTTACGTAGAGTTAGACGCTGCAACCTGACATGGAGCTACAGACACGTTTGACGACTCCCGTTTAGCTCAGTTGGTAGAGCGCGTCACTAGTAATGACGAGGTCAGTCGTTCGAGTCGGCTAATGGGAATGCATAGGGGTTTCCAGCTTTTGTCACAATCACACAGAAGACTGCATTGGGTCCACCGTTTGATTCAGACGAATGTCGTTCATAGTCATAGCGACGCCTGTACAGTTGATTGAAGGAATCCACGTGTTCACAGCTCTTCACGGGCGCTGGCATTTTGGGCGCCAAGCGGCGGCAACTCCTTGACTGCATAGCTTCCTCATCTCCGCGTTCCTGTACAGAACTTGGTCCGGCCACCGCCCCTTCGCGAGCTCTACCGCGAACCGTGCAAGCTCATGATTCGGCGTATAGTACGCTGGCAGGAGCGTCGAGATCAGGGGCGTCTGGACTTTGTCGATGAGGCGCTCGATCGCGCTGCGCTGGTGCAACCGGTCTTGCGGGTAGTCTTTGGACGGGAAGAAGTAGGCCGGGCGGAAGACGTGCGGTTTGATATTCGTGCCTTCGAACAGTTCCGGCAGCTCGCGCTCGACGCGGCCCTGCGAGGAGAATCGTGGTGAGCCTCCATTCAGCCCGTTCTCTACAGCCGACCACGCACGCACCTTCACCCTCGCCCACATCTGCCGCGACTTCCCCTCCGGGTCCGCGAGCTCCCCGCTGATGAACACGAACCGGAACGGCTGCTCCAGACTGCCCGCGCCCGCCGCCTTCAGCGCCTTCGCGGCCTCGATGGTGTACGTGTATGTGAGCTCCGTGTACGCCTCCTCGCTCATCCCGACGGAGCTCTTGCCCAGCGCCCACACGAGCGCGTCGTGCTCCGCGAGGCGCTGCGCGAGCTCGGGCGCGTACCTCTTGAAGTCGGTGTGCACGATCACGTCCGTCTTTTCGGTCGCGTTTGCGGGGAGCTCTGCCCATGCGGGGACGGCGCGCCGGGTGAGGAGGGTGACGCGCTCGACGGCGGGGTCGTTGAGGGCTGCGCGGTAGATCGCGAGGCCCGCTGGGTGTGCGTTCGTGCTCGGGTGAGTTCTCTGCGAGCGAGGACGGGGCGAGTAGACGTACCGACTCCAGTGACTCCGGTGATGATGAGGCGCATGGCGGTTGTTGTTACGGTGGGAGAAGTTTAATCGACGCCTTGTCGAGTGCGGTTATGTATGTCGTACATGTTCAGCACGCGATCGGAGGTGTGCCTTAGCGCGGAGGTGGTGGCGGTGCGTTCGTTAGCTTGCGCGGCTCGACGGCAGGGTCGCAACGAGCACAACAGCAAGCGCATACGTATGTGCGGTAGTACGGCACGGCGTAGGTATGCACACCCGTACGAGACTCTCCTGTCTTCGTATAGGACAAGTCTCGGGCAGGACACATCAACATGCAGCCCGCGTTTGATTCTGTAAGTATGTTGTCGTGATGCGTTGACTGTGTACTGATAATGGAACACGACGTAGGTTCGTTGAGGCTATCATATACATAGTCCGTACTTGTGGCGGCCATAACCATATACTTGGTATGTCCGTCGTCTACCTAGAACGGCAGGACGCAAAGCACGGAGCCGTGTTACAGACGCGACCTGTGTACATGAAACGGTACCTACGGGAGCGGGCTGGTACGGGAGGAGCGCTCAGAGAAGAATGCCGATCGGGAATCCGTAACGGTTCAGTCAAAGTCCACCGGGATATACTCAGTCGAGATCTGGTTTGGACAGCGTCTGCAGCTGGAATGGGACGCCTGGGGTAGACCTACGATGCCCAGACCTAGAGCACTAGCTGAAGCGGACGCGCATGGATGGCTGGAAGACATCATCGCGCTGCACATGACCGCGATGGGGGCGCGTCGTGGGACCTGATCGCGACTGTTCTGCCCGCACTGGGGTGAGCCACGCCTTTATCAATGACCATTGCGCGGCTCAACGGCCGGCAAATACGTGCGCACATCCGCTCTCTGCCCCCATCGAGGACTTGCTGACCGTGTGCGTGTGCGTGTATCAGAGGACGTTCGACGGCCTCCCTGCGGATGACTATCGGCGGACGTATCAGCCGGACAACTTTCCGAACATCGTGAAGCTCGCAGACGGCCTCGCTGCGCTCGCGAGGAAGCGCCGCGCCACTGCGGGCCAGGTCTCGCTCGCGTGGCTGCTCGCGCAGGGAGAGGACATTGTCCCCATCCCTCGGACCACGAACATTCCCGTGCGTGCTCCGAGGCAGACGGTCGCGTGGCAGGTACTGACGACTTTGGTGCGGCTCGGGTACAGAACCTGAAGGAGAACCTTGGGGCATTGGACGTCAAGCTGAGCCCGGAGGACGTGCAGGAGGTGCGGCGGATTGCGCAGGCGATGGATGCGACGCATGGTGATCGCTACCCGACGGACCGCATGCAGTACCTCTTCGCGGACACCCCGCCGCTGCAGAAGTGAGCTGCGCGTTCGAGTCGGCGGCTGTGGTTGTTGATGTGTAAAGTAGCCTTCTGTTTGCACGGGCTTCTCTCTAGATCTCGGGAATCCAACCACTTCAACTATGCGAACGAACCTGAAAGTGTCGACGGGTAGTGAAGCGTGTGGGGGGCGGCGAGCCTTCTGCGCTGATGGGTGTGGCGTCTTCCATCCTGAACGTCGCGCTTGTTTTTGCTGGTAATTGGGGGTGCAGCGGAAACAGTGGCCACATACCGTGGTTTGTGATGCAGGGGCGGTCTTTGTGGTCCTTGGAGGACGAAGTAGCAGGGGGAGGGGTAAGCACGCGAAGGTATGAATCCGAGCTCTCTAGACCTGGACGTCATCGCTATCGTTGAACCACTGGTATGTCTCTTACCCTACATACAGAAAACGTCCTGACCCCCCACGAGGTCTATCCTTCCACAGCTGACCGGACAATCCCGTTGGAATGGGCCACCACGGCCAACTCCTCGAACAATGGACCAGGCGTCACGACGAGTGCCGTGAGATAGATCGGCGCGTTGAGGCATCACGAGCATCCCTTTGGCCCGTTGACTACCGCCAAGCGCTTGTCAGGCTGGTAACGTTGGCTCAACCACAACCCCGAAGCGGTAATTAAACGCTTTCCCTTGATGCACCTGCCCATGCCATCAGGGCTGATACACGCGGTTAGCTCATATTCCCTTTGCCCACACTTTGCCCCATTGTCGCTCGGCGTCGTCATCAGCCAAGGTAGCGTTGCTATGTCTGGCGTGGCGAACACCTTGGATTGGGGGCACGTTGAGGCTGGGGCACTGGCAAAGACAATCATCCATAATCTTCCTTGTATCCGTGACGTAGGCTCCAGTCAAGGCTTACACCGTATAAAAGCCCCCCCCCCCCATTCTCACTCGGTGCACCATCACAACGCACACTTTTGCATCCACAATAACCCTCAGTGAGACTGCTCATGCGCTCCTCATCTGCAATTCGCTGACTAGAAGGATCTTTCCGACAGCCGTAACCACCAACATGTCGTCGACTCAGTACATTCCTGAGCAGGGTAAGTATGGCCTGAGGAACAAGGAAGGACCGCTCAACAGCGACCACCTCTATCCTGACAACGATGTCACGCGCCCAGTCTTCCTCCTCGTCTACCCACCCGTAGGGACCAAAACCCAAACACATCGTGATCTGCACTGGAGTCTCGGCTGGGAAGTCAGCAACCGCGGGTTCCGCTTCGTCCACATCCAGATTCACAACGACCCGCGCGATCCTCCACCCAACCCGCGGTACGTCTACTGGGGCGCGCAGACCAAGTCTGTAGGGGCTGCAACACAGAGAGCCAAGAAGTTCCTGCTCGGAGAGCTGACCCTCCCGCAGCGTCAGAACATTGAGCGCCTTGCCGAGACGGTGCCGGTGGCTTACCCTAATGGCAGATGGAACTGCCAGAACTGGACCGATGTGTTGCTTCGCAAGCTGGTAGAACATGGCGTGATCACATCGGCGGAGTGGGCGCAGGCGATGGCTAGTGCGAGGAATGGTACGTGGTGATTACGTCGAGTTCTCACTGTGACATGCTGACTCGCAAGATTTTAAGCCTTTCACGAAATTCTCAAAACTGAGTAATGATCCCTTGTGAAGAGTTCGCTGTCACGCATCTTCACTATCGCCCGTTGTGCTCTCACCAGCCTCTCTTGCTGTCATCTACCACCTTCCGCTATCAGCTACGATTTCTACAGTAACTGTATAACACGAGTCAGAACGAAGCCTCCCACATCTCCATTGTCATTTCTCCTTCTCCTTCATTTTCTACTCACTTCGTATCTGGTATGCACGGTTGTCAGCAATGCTATATCTCTAATAACATGGGTGGTCGGTACTCACCGGTGCTACCACGGTAAGCCCAAGCAAGCGTCGACATACAAATACACCTGCGCTGCGGAAGGCTTCTCGCCGAACACCGTAGTAACTGCCTGACGTATTCGGCTCCCTAAGTCTTCGTTCTCGATCGTCATCCTCTCCCAGAAGTCCGGATACCAGCCAAATGTTTCCCAGTCCACGACGCTAACAACTCTCCCACCTTTCACGAGGATGTTCCGAGGAGCGAGATCACCATGCGTCAGAACTGGCGCATGGTCTTGTGCTTCGCGTCTGATTTGCTCCAAGGCCTCGTATGTCGAGGGGTCTGGACATCTAGGCCGTAAGCGTTCCAGAAAGTACGCGTGGAACTCGTCGATGTTCTTGAATGGCGCCGCAGGAACTGCTTCCCAAGTGTAGCAATTGCTGAGGGGACCCTCTGGCCACGCGCCGAACCACGGGTTCTTTGGAGGAAAGCGGCGACCAAGCTCCCGTAGCTCTTCGACAATGTTCTTCAAGTCTTCGATGATGGTAGTAACTTCGTCATCAGCAATCAAGCCAGGGCCCAAGCCGTAGTTGGGAGATCCATCGGCGTTAGTAGTATGGGTGGCGTCGCGTAGGGAGATGCCGTCGACGAGCTCCATGACGATATATGTCTGATCGTCATGTTCGAAGACCATATAGAGGTCTGGGACGGGAATGCTAGTATAAGAGCGGACAAAATGCATAGCGCGAGCTTCGTAGATCTTGACTGTCGGCCCGACCTTTGCCATTCGACCATCGCCAAGGTCGTAGAATGTATTCCTGGACCACAGCTCTTCGCCGAGTGGTTTCAGCGTTTTGCCGAGCAATCGAAGCACACCATCTATCGCGTCTCTCGAGGGTTTGAAGATTTCATCAGGGAACTGGCAGGCAATCTCGTCGGAGCTGTGTAGTACGGTGGTTAGTGGCTCTGCGGGAAACATCATCGATCGGAATGCTCACGACCCGGTAGTGTTGTCCTTAGATATGGTCTCAGACATCAAGAATGTGGCGGTATGTCAAGAGTAAGGGGAGGGAGTGGCGTGCTAGATCTTCGGATTCTTAGACAGCCTCGATATTCAGTGTGTAAGCCGCTCCCAAAAAAGTCAACGGGAGAGCTCGAACTCAAACGAACTTGAGCGCTCGAGCGTTGGAGCTCTGATGCCACGTGGCTGAAGCCTGACGGCATGCAATCGCTGAGGAGGGCGCCTACATGTTCACTGCGGTTTTGGCAATCAAGACCATAGGCCAATAGCAGTTTTGTTGATAACTGACAATACTCGTATGCCACTCTTCTGGAATCTCCCTAACATTGCATTCTACTTCTATCATGGCTTCAAGCCTCACACTGTGCTCATACGGCGATCAACGTCGTCGGACAAGGATGCTCGTAAGTTATGCGTTGATCGCGACCACCTACCACCATCGACATTATGTCTGCAGGGCGGATGTGCGTGATTTCCAGGTCATGTAGAGTCTACCTACAAACGCGCGCACCAGCAAACTGACGAACCATCTCGACTTGGTGCCAAATTCTGAGCTGGAGCAAAATCACAGGGTGATTACCTCTGTGTGGGCGGACGGCAGTCTCATCCAAGGCTGCGATACGGTGAACACACTCTCGAATTGTGTCTTGGTCTTGGTCTGGGTGTGGTGGGACACGCGACCCATTAGCTACCCTTCTGTATCACTGTCCACTTGAACAGCGTGCTCTCGACTTCCGCCCTCGAGTTCATCTCATCCTACCGGTACCCAAATACTCGAGTGTTTCCTAACGGAGACAATTCAGCGCAAAGGGGATGCAGAAGGTAACCGCCTGCCATTTTTTCAAGACTATTATCCCGCAAGGCGACGTTTCCACGAAGAGTTTTTATCCCGTGCGTCCCTCTTCATCGACTTCTCCCCCCTTGAAACCTCCGATTTCCTGCCGTGCCAGATTGGAATACTACCCCTACTCACGGCTATACAGTAGTACCTTCGTCCGTGAGTCCAACGCAAGCCTTCAAGTTCAACATCGTTTACCGTATAGTCTAGTTCACAATGCCTACACTGTCGCACTAGTATGTCTCTCACTATGGAACATACAGACAGAAACGTCCTCGTCACCCACGGGGTCAGTGCTCTGTGCTATTATTGCACAGCTTGATGGACGTTCCCGGTGGAGTGGGCCGCCACGGACAACTCCTCGAACAATGGACCAGGAGCCACGACGAGTGCCTTAAGATCCGTGGTTTGAGGAGTTGCGAGGATTCCTTTGGCTTGTTACGGCGAAGCGCTTGTCAGGTTCGTAATGTTGGCCCATTCTCAGCCCCGAAGCGGTGATTGAATCCTCTGTCTTGATGGACCCGCCCATCAAGGTCAAGACACGGGGCTCGCTTACCCTTCCTTTGCTCACATTTTGCCCCGTAGTTGTCGCCCGGCGTCGTCATCAGCCAAGGTAGCGTTGCTATTTCTGGCGGGGCGAACACTTTGGTTTTGCGGCACATTGTGGCTGGGGCAACTCGCGGTAAACACAAAGGGCCATACTCTTCCTTCATTTGGCCGGCTGACTACCGCCAAGCGCTTGTCAGGCTGGTAACGTTGGCTCAACCACAACCCCGAAGCGGTAATTAAACGCTTTCCCTTGATGTACCTGCCCATGCCATCAGGGCTGATACATCCGGTTAGCTCATATTCCCTTTGCCCACACTTTGCCCCTCGGCGTCCATCAGCCAAGGTAGCGTTGCGATGTCTGGTGCGGGGAGAACGGTGTCGTATGGCAGCACGCTGCGGTTGTCCCCTGCGGCTGGGACAACTCCCGGTAAAGACAAAGGGCCATACTCTGCCCCGCGTCCGTTACGTGGTTTGCAAGCCAAGGCTTCGCAAATCCCAACGGCGGGCAGTATAAAATGCCCTCACCCTTCTCGCTCGGTACATCAGTGCAACACCCAGTAAGACCGCTCATACTCTTCCCATTTGCAACTCGCTGACATTGAGGTTGTCCTCGTACAGCCGGAACCACCAGTGATGCCGGCGACTCAGTACATTCCTGAGCAGGGTAAGTATGGTCTGAGGAACAAGGAAGGACCGCTCAACAATGACCACTTGTGTCCCGACACCGACGTCACCCGCCCGGTTGTTCTCCTCGTTTATCAGCCCATCGAGGGCCTCATTCAGAGGCACCGTGATCTGCACTGGAGTCTCGGCTGGGAAGTCAGCAACAAAGGGTTTCGCTTGATCCACATCCAGACGCACAACGACGTGCGTGACCCCCAGCCGATCCCCCGTTATGTCTATTGGGGCGGGCAGACCAAGACTGCTGGGAACGCTACGAGAATGGCCCAGAAGTTCTTCATCGGCAACCTCAGCCTGCAGCAGCGGCAGCAGATCGAGCGCATCGCGCAGACTGTCGAGGTAGCGTCGCCCAACGGCCAGTGGAACTGCCAGAATTGGATAGATGTGTTGCTTCGCAAGCTGGTTGAACATGGGGTAATCACATCGGCAGCGTGGGCGGAGGCGATGGCTGGTGCCAGAGGTGGTGCGTAGTGGTTACGCGCTGTAGAGCCCGGCGCACACTAACATGACCCTTGGTTCTGTAGCTTATCGTGATTGTCTTGCGGACTGACCCGGTCAGATCCTCGTGGTCACGTAGCCATTGTCCTCTTCTCGTTCGTCGCTCCTTTCTGTCGTCCATGACGTTCCACTGCTATCGCAACCCTCTCCTATATCTGTATTCATGACACGAGTTCCTATAATCAGGGTTGCGATTTATTATTCTCTGCACTACGTATCGTATCACGGCTGGACACTTGCACATCCTGCGTGAGGAAGGAATGTCCCGAACATCTACTGTGCAATCATCAGCGCCTGCTGTGACATCGATGACAGGATATACTCACTTGGCTCAGTATGGGAAGTTCAAACAGCCTTCGACATAGAAGTATACTTCGGAGGCAAAAGGTCTCTCGCCGAACACTGCAGTGATTGCCTGGTGAGTCCGAGGATCCAAGGACTCATTTTCGATCCCCATCCTCTCCCAGAAGTCCGGATACCAACCGAACGTCTCCCAGTCAACGACGCTAACAACTCTTCCACCTTTCACCAGCACATTTCGAGGAGCAAGGTCACCATGCGTCAGGACTGGTGCATGGTCTTGAGCTTCGCGTCGGACTCGCTCCAAAGCCCCGTATGTCGAGACCTCGGTCCATCTAGGTCGTAAGCGTTCCAGAAAATATGCGTGAAACTCGTCGATGTTGTTAAATGGCGCTGTAGGAAGCTCATCCCAAGTGTAGCAGTTGCTGAGGGGGCCCTCTGGCCACGCGCCGAACCACGGATTCCTCGGGGGGAAGCGGCGACCGAGCTGTCGTAACTCTTCGATCACGTTCTTCAAGTCTTCGATGATAGGGAGCATCTCGTCATCGGAAACTAGTCCAGGGCCTAAGCCATGGTTGGGAGATCCGTCGACATTAGTGTGCGTGGCGTCGCGTAGAGAGATGCCATCGACAAGCTCCATAACGATGTACGTCTGACCGTCGTGCTCGAAGGCCATATGAAGCTCGGGAATGGGGATGTTCGTGTGCGAGCGGACGAAGTGCATCGCGCGGGCTTCGTAGATCTTTACAGTTGGCCCAACCTTCGCCACTCGACCGTCACCAAGGTCGTGGAACTCATTCCTAGACCACAGCTCTTCGCCGAGCGGTTTCAGCGTTTTGCCGAGCAGCCGAAGTACATCATCTATCGCGTCTCTCAATGGGTTGAAAATTCCCTCTGGAAACTGGCAGGGAAACTCGACGGAGCTGTGTTGTAAGGTGGTAGCGTCTCAGCGGGGATCATCCTCGATAAATGGGAACACATACGATCCGGTAACGTTGTCCTTAGGAATCGCAGACATCGTGAGTGTAGCGATCCTTCAGCAAGAGTAAGGGATAAAGTGGAGGAAATGGCAATCTTGGTGACCGGTTGATTGATAGCCTCGACATATGTGCGAGCCGCTCCCAAACAAAGCAAACCCAATCTGGGCTTTATCCTTTCGTCATCGATCAAGCGACGAAGTGCGACCTAGACTGAACGTGTAACAGAGTGGACGTGTAACAGGTAGACTGACATTCAGTGAGAGCTCGAACAGAGGGACTAAGGACGCAAAAAGTAGCGACTAAGCACCGAGAGGCATGGCCCACCGACTGACTTGGGCTCTCTAGCTATGCCACGTGGCATGCAAACGTTGAGGTGAGCGTCTATATACGTCAACCACCGCCTGCGGTTTGGACTATGACCACTGCTGGCCGATGGCTGCTTTGTTCAACATCGACAACACTCGTATGCCACCCTCTTCCGCATTTTCCCTTTCATCATGTCCGTCGTCGCTACAGGCCTTACACTATGCTCGTATGGCAATCAACGTCGTCCAACACACGTATTTGTAGGCAGACTTTCAATGAGCCGGATATCATGTACGTCCATCCGTAAGCATCTTCCAGACATTGTGGCAGGCTGTGCTCGCGAGCGACGCTAGAGATGGGCATCCTTCTTTATGAGTTTTCCGGCGTTACCTTTGCCTGCACTACCAGATCCCTCTCGACTTGGTGCCGAATTCTAGAGCAGGGGCAGAGTCACACAGTCAGTACATGTATGCAGGCGGACAACCGTCTCCCCGCGGCTGCGATACAGAGCAACACTTATTCAGATTGTCTCGGTCTTGGCCTGGGCGTGGCAAGGCGCGGCGGGACACGCGACCAATTAGACGCCCTTCTTTGTCACTGTCTACTTAAACGGTGTGCGCTTGACTTCAAGCCTTCGAGTTCATCTCAAACACACTCTCCTCGTAAGCTCCGTGACACCTTGCATCTAAGACTCTTTATCTCAGATTTCTCCATTCCAGATCATTGCATTGACAACTATGCTCGAGGTAGCTCGCATCCAAGAGATTTCCGTCCCGCTAACCACCACCTCGCCAGACGACTGGCTCGCCCGAGATCACGATGTAGACAGCCATGTCTACCTCATCCTCCACAGACCCCTTGGCTCCAACGCTCCCTATCGTTGGGGCATCACCTGGGCCGTCGGCGGCCTCGCGACGAACGAGGTGCCGGCGTGGAGGACTGTCCAGCTCGAGACGCTCGCTGACCCATACGGCGGGGAGCTCGAGCCACATTACGTGTATCTAGGCGCAATTACGAGGACAGTTGCACCTAGCACGTTGTCGACGAGGCTTTATGATCTCGGTATGTTGAGCTTGGCACAGCGGCGGGTGGTTGAGCAAGTGGCACAGGACGTGGAAGTCGACGGGCGGGATTCTCAAAGCTGGGTCACAGAACTATTGAAGAGGTTGACTTCTCTTGGTGTTCTCTCAAAAGACCGTTGCGAAGGCGTCCTCTCGAGAATTGTATCTGGTGCGCAACTTGCTTGTGCGCCTTTACATATGTATCTGACATACCGGATGACAGCTTAGTCACGACCCGTTGAGAACGCGGGGAAACCGTGCTCTACCGCGCCTTAACTCAATAGCCTCATAATGCTGTGTAGTTATATCTGTATATCCGTGTATCACGCCTTCTGACGAAGTGGGATGTAATATAGCGCTTTGTTCCTTGCAAAACAGCCTCTGTTCGGAACGCCTGCTCCAACCTATGTGGCGGTATGTAACGAATGTTAATGATGGCTAATCCATTATGTTGGTAGATCCGTTCCCGCCACGCTGCCGACTGAGATGTCCAAACTGATTATATGCTGGGATCAACGTGGAAGCGTTGTGGCTTTTGTGCGCTGGGTCGCCGACTCTGTACGGCATGTAGAAGCACGACATCGCCTGACTTCGAGGTTGCACGACTCAATCCCTTCTCGGATCTCCCTAGAACTCGGCGTACTTGTAAGTTATAGCTCCGTACCACGGACCCAGTCTAAAAAAGCACTGCTTATCGCAGAAAGGTGCATACCGTACGTCGATTCTTTCGCGAACGGCAAAAGCTCAAACGGAGCTCCTCAGCTGCGACGATGCTTACTGTGCGTCCTTGCAGTCGCATCACTCCGATGGCCTATCCCTTACTCACCATTAGTCGTCAAGCGTATCTATCGCAGCCTGTCAGCCCCTGCTTACGGGCCCGGACGCGGCTGCAGAGATGCACCCGAGTCTATCTGCTACGCTCACCTCAACGTAGGAAACACGTCTTCCGTCTCGGATCTCGTACACGGCTCTGCCCTCCCGGACATGAAAGCTTGTCGGCCATTTGGGAGGATCAGCAAGAAGGCCGACGCCACCGCTGAGATGGCGGACTTGATATACTACACCTTGACGGAAGTGGAGAAGGTCTGTCTCCGCGGGTCTGCTCAGTCATCCAACAGACTCTCGATAAGCTCAGGAGGATCTCCGCACGGAATCGAGGTGCGTGTGGCGTCCCTGGCCCTGCCCCTGGGCCGTTCCTCCGTTCATTGATCGAGCGTGCTGCAGCAGGCTGCAGCGCAGCCTCGTAGCCTGGCGGAGTGTTACGTACAATACCAGTAGAAAGCGTGGATTTGAACGAACTGTACATCTTGCCTTCGCATTCTGGTCACCCTGTAGGGGCTCCAGTACATGACCGGCGCTTCCACAACACGCGGTCGACATCCATGATAGTAAACGTGCTCCCTGCCATCTGCTAGTGCAACCGTTGCGGGAGCCCAACAAGGCTATTCATGAAGGTCAACGCGGATGCTACCGTGTGCACTTACCAGACACGACGCGCCTTGCACACGTGACTGCTGCAATCGGCGCGTCTCCGTCGTTGACAACGTTTGACCTCAACCACGAACCTCCCCACCCGTTCGCAGTTGCCTGTCCTTCGGAAGACCATTAACACCTGATTTACGTGCCAAGAGCTTTTCAACCATGCAACAGCGCTGCATCGAGAAGAGCACCGACAAGAACTCACAAGATTTTGCCACGTTCGGCTGGCGGACTAGGAAAACCGTACGGGAGCACAACAGAAGTGTTTGTGAATACAACCTACCACTAGGTGAGGAAGATTTATGCTGTAGCAAATCTAGGAGAGGCTGACAGCCCCCTTACGATCACAACCCATGTTTTTTGGTGTGGCAGATAAAACCTCCGTCAGTCTTGGTTAGACGCTTCTGTCGCATATAGCACTCTTTGCAGCGTGCTCAAAAATGCCGTAAGTCTACAACCAGTCGCTATCGTGTTACTTCGCCGGTGAGAACCCCTATGACATCTTCCCTGTGCAGCTCCGAGAGTTCCACATTCTTCTCTTAACACGTTGCACAAGAATAATCGTCTGCCCGTGCTTGCGAGGGTATTCCCACTATCCCCGGCCATCGCAGCGGTCGGCAGCAAACACGTAACACTGACCGATTCTGGTTCTTATCGCCCGTGGACCTCAACGAAACTCCTCGGCATGAGGCGGCTGTTCACTGCCAGCGCATGGTTGCTGTTGACGGCGTTCCGACTGGAATAGGAACAACTCGACGCCTCCCCGCTCAACACAAGAGCTGCTACTCCACTAGCTTGGGAAGAACAATGAGCATACGACCATCAAGTTCCGTGCTCCATCGAGGCATCTGGCCAGTATTGTTCTGGCGGTTGAGAGCTTCGCTCGCGTACCTGCAAGATTCACGACCCGCTTCCCCAGTTTGCATCCGGCGTTCTTCTCTGGCGCCGGCCTGCGCCGGTTCTCGTCGCTTCCTATCGCGGACAATCGCCGTTATCGCCCCCAACATCTGTCCCCTCTCGGGTTCCTGCTCGGACTGCCATTGGCTTGTGTGCCATAGATCTCGGCACCGGGCACCTCCCCCACGCCGAGCGTCTGTGGCCAGGCCTGCTTGTGCCTCCGAGCGTCCGTCCAGGCCCCAGGCTGGCTGGTATTCCATCCCACCAACCGTACGGGCTGATCATGGACGCTTCTGATCTTCAAGTCGCCCGAACTCCCTTTGGTAATTCCCCCTCTGGCCGCTCCAACGTCCAATGTTACCTCGCTTCTAATCCTCGCTCGTCCAGGCAGTGACTTCGTGCAGACAGGTCTTGATGCCCGCGCAATCGAATCCGTCGCCCATCGTCCGCAGACTTGCCTCAGTCGTACGATAGGTACAACGTGCACAGCAAGGAGCAGTCGACGCCACCACCTTCCTGGCAGGTGGATCCCACTCTACCGCCGCTCGACCTGTCCTGGGTTTGCGAAGAGTCCAGTCGCTTACTCCATGTTCATGTCCGACCCCCCGGATCCTTCTTGCTCGCACGAGCCAGCTCCTCGCGGCTGCAGGTCCCTGAGCCCTCTTTGGGACTCGATAACCTTCCCGTACATTGCGCCCGGCCATCTTCAGCGCGCCAGCCACAGACTCCTGTGCAGCCCGTCACCACGTTCGCCATGTCCCTGGGCACCTCATGTCGTCTTCCGTCACCATCTGCGGCATTATACCTCGATAGCTTACGTGCATCTCTATTCTATTCCTGTCCGTTGGCCCTCGCCATCATGGTGTCGATATCCCCGCTCCACCTCAATCGTCTTCGCCGCCCACCCTGGGAGTGCGGGCGGGCCTCGTAGCTTTGAGCAGCTCAAGGTCCTTCCGAGCTCGTGCGTTCCAGTCTCTTCACGCGGAACCTTCTGTGACAGAACTATCGTGGGTGCCCGCCGGCCCCAGCGGAGCGCGGCTTCCGCAGCCACCCAGCCTGCTTTACTGTGCGGAGGTTCGGTCCGAACAGGAGCCGCGGGCAGGTCTTGCATGTTCTAATAGGGCAGTAGGTACGTATCTACATGCCCCGCTATCATTGCACACGTATCACACTGCGAAAGCGGACAGCCCCCTTTCCGTTTCTCTGCGTTCCCGCTACGCGTCACCGCGGAGTAGCTTGGACTTAGAAGACCCTGCACGAAGTGTGAGTGTAACTCGCGAGCAGTCCGTTGTGCTCTCGCACTCGCCTTGATCATGGCACGCGGCTAGACGAACCTTACCGCCGCGTTTTGGCCACAAGTCCAACCTAATCTGCGCCTACAAGCGTCATGGATGCCGTACAGCCGTCTTTGCCATCATCGCTTCTCTCTGCGCCATCTCCGCACACGCTCTCGTTACATGAAACGTCGAGGTTGCGAACCGGATACCGCTACAGGTAAGGTTCATCTCGAACGCAACGCGGGGCCATTCTTGTGCCGGCAACGCGTTCGCCATTTCTGACGGACGCATACTTCTTCGACGGACGGCGCGGGCGCCCGAACAAGCTTCTTTGGCACTCCCTTACGTCGTGGCGGCCTACCGCAGGACCGCCGCAACACGCCCGCAGGAAGAGACGCTGCAATGATGAGAAGCAAAGTCCAAAACGGGTGGTGACAGCCAGAGCCACAGCGTGCGAGCGCAGCGCTGCCGTCCGCTTCGGGAAACGTCATACGAATAGAACGCGAAGGCCTAGACGAGCGCAAGGGCGTCAGACTGTCGCCGCGTCCGCGGTCCGCCGGCGCGCCACGTCGTGCGTTTCCTCGTCCTTTCTGCACTTTGTGGCCGCTGTTGAGCCCGCTGCATCTGGAAGCTCGAACGCCGTCTTTCCCGCTTTGCGCCCGTCTTGAAAGCCTCCGCGCGGAGCAATCTGCCGCTCGTTTGGCTAGCGTCCTGCTTGACTCCGTCCGACTGGTCGTTTGTTTCATCTCCTCGTGGAGATGGCTGTTGCAGCATGCTTCTGCTTTCCCCTTGTGGCGGCCGTGGCAAGGATCTAGCCAGCCCCGTGTGGAAGCTAGTCTCCACGTCTCATAGTAGACGGGCGGGTGGCCGAGATGGGAAGGGCAGAGGGCGAAAATGGCAGCAGTTCGGCCGGAGTAGGCTGCCAGCGTAAGGTTTATGGTTCGTGTGCTGTAGGCATGGACGGTGTCCATCTGCGGCTTGCGCCTTGCGTGGCTTGATCGTTTTACTGTTACCTGCCATCCTACGGCACGATGGGTGGCTGCTGTTACCCTCCAAGCTCGATCGCTGTGTGGCTGAAGCGCTGAACGTGTAGGTGGCTGAGCGTGGGATCGTGGCCGATGATTCGTGTCTCGTAATGGGCATCTTCGTCTGTTCGCCGTACGTGTATACTCATATCCCTATCTTCGACTGGGGGAATGATCACGATCGTGTATGCGCCCTAGGGCGGGTGACTAGCGAGAGCTTGAAGATCCGGCCTGGCGTGTAGGACATTGAGGGGGTGCACAGTATAGAATTCAATCGCCTGCCTTCGGGGAGCTCGTGGGCTCATCCGTACGTGTACGATGCCAGAAGCTGTGGGGAAGCAGCGCAATGTGGGGAAGAAGACCCCGGGTACTTTGTTATAGTACCCTTGTGCCACGCGCGCTACATGCGTCTCGTGGTTCTACCGCAGCTCCACATATAGCGAGAGTCCTGTGTTGTGTAGTGACAATAGTGCGACTTATATACTTCAAGAGGGCCTATTGGTCGATTTATGGGTCGCGAGGTGGTCGTTCGGGAATTACACAAACCGCAGTCGTGATTTGTATATGACATCTGGTGGTTAGTGGAGCATGCAAAGGCAGGAGATGGGGCGTCGGGAGCCGCACATCTAGGCTATATTTCGCTGGTTCTCCTAGCTAAGCCAGCCGTTTACGACACGTCGCCGGCCCACTGAGACCGAGACGAAATATTGCATCGGAGGTCGATACCTTTGTACAATAACTCACCACATCCACTTGACCAGCGGGCTGGTGACAGTGCCCCAGTATCGGCGAACGACAAGCGACGAAGACTGACGGACAGGGCCATTCTGATCGCAGGTGGTATACGCTTTGGTTGTTGGCTGACTGCGAGGGAAATGGCACTGATCAATTGGTCTAGACAAACTGATGACACCCGTTCGTACGTACAACTTGCGTACTGAGAGCCTGAGACATTCTCCACTTACTCTCTAGCCATCAATGTACGTACAGGCTGTCCTTCTCCCGCGCGGGCTCGGACTGAAGCAGGAGTCGTGCTTTCGCAGCCCGTTGCGGGGGACACTTTGTGTCGTCATTCGAAGACCCTTCCTCTTGCTGATGTCTCCAGTACTTTGGGGTAGCGGTTGAGTAGGCAATTTCTATACGCCTACGGCCACTCCGTCCGCGTTCTCTTGATGTTGCATCCAAAGGGGGACCGCATCCTGAAGGTGCGATCAGCGGCGCGATCCGGGGTGGATGTGCGTCGTAGATGACGGTAGTATCAATCCTACATGCGTATCCAGCACAGATAGATGCCGTGCAGCCCGTCATTCTGACGTTGCGCTCGCTCGGACCACGCTCGGAGCTTGCCATCTCTGCTTCGCCTTCATGGGAGCGTGCCGACATGTCGTGCTGTATGTATGCGCCGAAGGCACGCATCTGGCTCCATCCGAAGTTTCCAAACATAAGCAAATGCCGACCGCGTGTCGTTGATCGCTGCCGATCATCTGCACGGTCGTAAGTACACTGGGTATGTACTTGTGCCGAGGACCAATATGCGTACACGGTGTGGCCGGCAGCTGCATCACGGGTCGCTCCAATCCTGGCAAGTCAAGAGGCCGAACGGGCACGCGAGCAGGAAACCCCACGGCGTCTTGGCATATTCGATCCCATAGCATGCACCACCGCCGGAACCTTCCAGCCACAGACAATGCATTGGTAGGGCGAGGCGGCGTGTATAGCTTCCGCAGGTATCTGCGGAATCATATGTCTTCGAGTTATGAAGTCATTGGGCTATCATCATCTTCCGCGGCCGGCGACCACCCATGGCCAGCCACAGCGATCGTAGACGCCGCGGCGAACTTGACGTGCACCGACACGCGCTTTTGTGACCAGAATCTGACCGGGGAGGCTCACTGAGCTTGAATGACCGCGAATGAAACGAAATGAATGGATCGTGCCTATGTCCTGGTTCATGTAAGCCCAGTTAGGGCGGATGCGATCGGCGCGCGGGCCTCGAGTCCCACGTACTACAGACTTCCGCCCATACTTACGCTGTCTCTTTAGCATATGAATCCATCATGGCAGACACTGTGATGGACGTAGGTGCGACACGCGATGCTCCGCGATCTCTCTGCAGCATGCACGGTGGAGCATTCAACTAGATTCTTGTGAAGAGCCGGCTTACCATTGGGCATACTTCGGCGTTTACAGGTACCTACGGCTGAACCGCCCGCGCTTGTACTACCTGTGTATACCCAGCCCGTACCGCACAAGTTAGAACTTCGCTCGAGCTGAAGGCGGCCACGCGATATACCCTATAGTGTGGGATACGAACAGAGGCCAATTAATTGTACGCGTATCTTTTTGGCTCATCTCAGAGTCTTTCTCGACGACACGACGCGCCGGCCGGTGGTATGTCAACTATTGTACACGCGGGCGCGTCCGCCGAGCTGCACCGCGGCAGGTGCCGATACGAATCGTGGTGGGGTGTGTGTGCGACGGGATCGAAGGCCAGTGGGGTGAGGAGAGGGAAGAGAGGGCGCAGGATGGTTTGTACGTACGCGCTGAGCACCAAGAGCACATGAGGCAATATATGAGGGGAAAGCAACGGGAAATTGAGATGGAGAGAGACGGAGCAGATGATACAGATACAGCGATAGACGGCACATCCTACACGGACAGGGATCGGTCGTTCAATCGTCGGAAGCGCGAGTGTGCGTGCGTTAGTAGTAAATAGAGCGAAAGGGATATAGAAGATGAGGAACGAGAAGCCGACATTAGATGGTGTGGAAACAAGCGAGGCGGAAATGAAGCGGGTGAGGAGCGATGAGGGGGGGATAGAATGGATGGAGAGGACGGGGGCACGCATGACATGGACATGGCATGGGGGAAACGTGAGAATGGTTATGCAACACGCAGCAGAACTCAGGTGACGCGAGGTGGGCCCGGTCAGGCAGCCTGGCGGAGACGGACGTAAACGGAACGCGACCATAGAGAGAGGAGGGAATACACAGCGAGGACACGTATACGGGGGCTTGAAAGGCAGGCATGTTCATATGCGTCATAGCGGGGCATAGGCATCGACCTGCGGTCGAGTGTTTTGCGAGCACGCCGAGACGCGCGCGGGGGCAACGATGTTGACGGACGGATAGCAGCACCCACCCTAGGGTGAGTAAACCGATCACGAATGAATGATATGGGCCGACATCACAGTCGACGCCCACCGTCGTCCGCCGGCTCGGAAGCTCATGAGACGACCTCCATCGTGTCCGCGGGCTCGTTCTCCTTCTTCACCTTCACCCCTGCGCCCACGCTGACGCTCTTGCCCTTGCGGCCCACGCGCTTCCCGACCGGCCTGCCGTCGCGGCCCTTGCGCCCGCGCTCGAGCTCCATGTCCTCGTCCCCATCCTCGTCCCCGTCCTCCCCGTCCTCCACGTCGTCGTCGATGTCATCCTCCATGCTGCTCGTGGGGGAGACCCCAGTGCCAGAAGTAGACGGCCGCTCCATCTCGTGATCGGCGTGCTCCGTGTCCTGGTCCATCTCTTCGACGCTCGGCAATAACCCCTGAAACGACTTCCGGACGCTCCCGCGGCGCGGGCGGCCAACTACGCCATTCGCGTTCGAGTCGCCGTTCGAGCTCGGCGTGGTCCCGTTCGGAAGCTCGAAGCCAACCTCGTCGTGGAGCTTCATCTCGCTCTCGACGTCGCCGTTGATCGACGCCGAGTCCGGCACACTGTCGCCGCGGAACGCCTGCAGCTGCTGCTCGAGGTCGCGGTTCCGGTTGGCCTGCACGCTGACGAGCTGCTGGAGGTAGCGGATGTACTCGACGCTCTTGCGGAGGATCATGCCCTTGTTCGCCTTGACGACGTTGCCGTCCGCAACGCCGCCGTTGGCCGCGCTCGCCCCGGTGGCAGTCGTCGGGGTGGAGCCCGGGTTAACGGGATCCTCGGGCTCTGCGCTGCCAGATCCCTCCTTTTTCTCCGAGGACTCCTGGATGGTGACCCCGAAGAGGAGATCGTCGCCCGAAGCAGCGGCGAGGGAAGCGGGGATCGCAATCGTCGCTATTTCCGGAGGCGTCGTCAGTCCCAAGGTGGCCGACTGGCAATGTGCGGTAGGGAGGCACGTACCATTCGGATCGAGCAGACACTCCGGGATCAGGGTCGCAAGCTCAGATATCTTCTCGTTGATGTTATCCCTCCGCCTGCGCTCGACGGCGTTGTGGGACTCGCGCCTTCGGCGCCGCTTTTCGCTCGCGATGATCGCTCTGAATTCCCGTCATACGTCATAGCAAATGAACCAAGATGAGCTGAGTTGTAATGGGGTCGAGGAAGCAAACGCACTGTTTTGTAGCCAAGTCGTCGGGAGGCGTCTCTCCGCCTTTCTGCATGCCCACCATGCCCATTCCGGGGACGTTTACCTCCTTCGGACTCACGCCCAAGCCGACGCTGCCGAGACTGGTCCCGCCATTGAACGCAGTGAAGCCTAAACGGGCGCATGCATTCAACGCGGGCACTACACGAGGTGTTTACTCGAAACGCACCATGCACACTCTCGGGGGTAGGGAGCCCAAAGTCGTTACCTTGCCCTTGGGGCATGAACCAGCCGCTGGTGTGCAGGCTGAGGGGACTGGCAGGACCCCGGCCAGCGCCGTTCGCGTTGGGGATGACGAGCGGCTGAGTGTGCCCGCGATGGAGCGGGGGTGGCGATACGCTCGAGACGCTGTTGCGCTTCGTGCGGGTGCGGCGCGCCGGACCGCCGTTGGTGCTCGGGGGGTTTGCGGGGTCCAACGCGTTCGCAGGCGCGCGCGAGCGCGATCGGCTCCTCGAGAACTCTGGCCCCGCGCCGTTCGCGGACACTGGCGACGGCGTCTGCCGCTGCCCGTTGGGCTGCCCACCGTTCTGAGGCTGTGACAGGTGGAACTCGGATGGGGCTGTGAGGTTCGAGAAGGAAGAGATACCCGAGAGATTAGACATATGCGACGAGAACGATGATGGCTCGGCGCTCGAGAACGGATTGTTGCCGTTCGTGGTCGGTGAGGACGGGTTGTTGGATGGTGGCTCGTAGCGCATGGAGGAGCCGATAGCGGGGACCGTCGAGTTGAAATGGGAGTGGGCAGTAAACTCATGCAGAGGATGCGCGTTGTGCACCGAAGAGGGACCATGAAGGCTACCGGAGTGTAGGGACGACGCGGGGGGAAGAGAGAATGATGGGTTCTGGTGATTGAAGTGGCTATGATGCGATGATTGGTGGTGGGATGTGGGGGCGGAGATATCGAAGATGTTGTGAGTATGGTGGGATCGGTAATCGTCATACGCGCCCGGGGACTGGGTCGAGCGTTCGTGCGAAGAGTTGTGGGGATGGCCCTGGGAGGGCGAGGTCGCGATGAGCGAGGCCAGCTCGTCTGTGAAGTCCATGTTGTTGCCGGACTGCTCGCTATTGTGGGCAGGGAACTTGCGGAAAGGGTCGGGGACGGTAAAGAGTGGGGGGACGAAGAGGTTGTCGAACTGGTTGTTGCCGGCAGAGTTCTGGGCGTTCGCGGGGGGAGACGGCGGGCTGTTGGAGGGAGGCGGAGACGGGAGGTGGAAGCCCTCTGTGCGGGAGAGGACCTGGGGCTTGTAGGACGGGAAGAAGGCAGAGCTCATCGGACGGAGTGGAGAGGGAGAGAGGAGATCCGGACGAGAGACCCAAGCAGAGAGAAGGGAGGGCGGCCGTCGACCCCGCATCCCCGGCTTAAAGACAACCATTGACTTATAATCCCCTTATTATTATTTTCCCTTACCCCGCGTGGCCCCCTATCTCGGACCCTTCCTCTCGAATCTGATCGAGATTGCCCAAACACTCGCACACAGCTCTCCCATCACAGGCCCCGGCCGAGTCCCCCCGCATCCGGCCCTGCCAATTGCCCCGCACCCCCGCATCCCATCCATACTGCTCTCCCGCCCCAGCCAGTCCCGCATCTGCTCGTCGTGCCTCGCCTCCAGCCGCCGCCCAATCATCCCGCCTCGAGTTTCATCGCAACCACCAACACGGCACATTCGATCAGTACTGCGCCCCGTTAGGCTTTCCGGTCGATCGACTACGTCCTCTCATTAACGTAATCACACACTTGCCGTCCTGTCTCTGGATCGTCGCATCCGTCTGCGGCCACCACATGAATGCGCTCCCCTTCAAGGCAGCCAGTCTGCTACATTATACTCGACAGCTGGAGGGCCAGCATTCGCCCACCGGATGCCTCGGCGCGATGTACGGCACCGGGCTGGAGGGAGCCCAAGCGCGCCCGGGGCTCAACAAATTCCCTCTGATTTCTCCGCCCTCCTCGGGCCTCTTCTCACGGCTCGCTGGGCACCGCCTGTTCTGCGCTCACAACCATCCCAAGACGCCTTGGCAGTAACCCTCCCGCCTCGACCAGTCGCCGTGCCTCCTCACTATATGCTGACGCAAAGTCGTACTCCTGACGGGTCTTTTATTGCTCAGTGCTGTCTCTGGAGTCCCCCAAATATGCGCGGCCATCACCGCCACAAAGCCACCATCGTCACCAAGTACGGTTTCGGCGCTCGCCCCGCCCGACACGGCGGTCCCGACAAATGATGACAGCGCCTCTTGACAAAGCGCTCGTCCTCGGTCCGGCTTTTCCGGAGACTGCCGCCCATTGCGCCGCCCTCCATTCTCCTGCCGCCCGTCTCGCCCCTTTCCCCCTCCCACTGGACGTGGTTAGGTGTTCGGCCGATGAAGCTTGATTTTCCAGACGCGCTTTCGAAAACAACCGCAGCTTGCAGTCCCGGTTGAGCACGGACACACACGTCTGCAACCTACAGCCTCGCGTTTACCGCATGCACCGCGCGGGATGCGCGGAAGTGCTCCGCAAGGAAACGTCTCACTTCCTCTAGCCTCTAGGTCTGCGGACGCTCCTGTCCGCTCTGCCTTGGCTCGGCTCATGTCCGACAATCGCGCCTCCGCTCCGCAGCTACAACGTATCTGCCGTCTTCATGCGCGAAAGTCAGCTATATGTCTTGTCTGTCGACTGTCTCGCTGACGTCCGCGAAACGCCGCTTCTGCTTCTGCCAAGCCGCGCCTTTCAATCACTGGCTTCACCTGCAGCACTGATCGTCGGTATCATTTGGACTCCTTGAGTTGCCCGATGCCACGAATTCAATCGCTCGTCAAACTGCACGCGTCGCTATTGTCCAGTGGACTTAACACGCCCTTGACCCTGCAGCAACAACGTTCAATCCTTGTAAGCGTCTTGGCCTCTACGTCCTGGCGCCGTATAAGAGCTCCCTCCCTCGGTTCGTGCGCTCATTGGACGTCCATGACGCCCATCCTCCAAGCTTCATCCACCGTGCGTCTTCCTACTCATCGAGCGAGCGCGCGCTACCGTCCCGCCCCCATCGAAACTGCTCGCCGAACGAAGGGGCGTCAGTCAGCTCGGACTCTGTCTAGCATGCACAGGTGCCCAGCATGATCACCCGCGCAACGCGCTCTTCTGGCCCACCGGCCTGCTTTCCTTCCCTCCTCGTCCCATGGATCCCTGTAACCCTCCCCACTCCCTACTCACGTTTCGACTCCGCCGAGACGGGGCTCTCTGCAGGCCGCCCTTTTCGGCGGCTCGTTCCCTCGGCCTGGTCTCAGCGCGGTCCTGGGTTCCCGTCGCGGAGCAATCGCCGCCCGAAGGCTTGGCCGGTGACCACAGCCTCCCGCTGCTACTGCGCGTCGGAACATGACCTGTTCCGCTCCCACACCCACACAAGTATGTGAGTGCCCCTCGTTGAGGGTAGCGATGCAGGCAGCATGCACGTACTGTAGTAGGAAGGGTATGTACTACTGTACTTGGCATGCAATGATGGACTCCTTCCCGCGATTCGCTCGGTTAAGATGGACACACAGACACGGAAGATGATGGGGACGAGATGGCGCGCGCTGCTGCGCCCGGGGCTGGAAACCACCTCGTCGGGCTCTATTGGGTGTTCGTTAGACGTCTATGATGTCAACGCAGTCGTAATAGCACGACGGGGGGCGCGCGCGCGCGCGCGTCTCTGACGCTGAGTGGTTGACTCGGAGCCCGAATCGATCGCTGTCTTGTCAGGACGCTGCCCTCATCCGAGTGCATCTTTGCGTTCCCTGTGTGCTGATTGGACAGCGAGCACCGCGTCCCCCCTGTCCTTCGCCCCGTCGCTGTTTGTACGTTGAGGGACCGAACCTTCTCCTCTTCGTCGCGCAACAAGCTTTAATAATGGTGATCGTTGATAGAAGCCTGCCTAACTCTGCCTGGTAATGCAGCGAGGAGACGGCGGCAGCATTCTCCCGCCCGCCCCCTCGAGGCGCACGCGCCGTATTCGCGGGGACACGCTGCTCCCTGCAGCTGTCCCGCCGCCAGGTCCTACAGGCAAACACCGCTCTCCGCGCAACACGACCGCGATATGTAGCATAGCACGCGGTCTTCCCACCGGTATCTATATAGGAATGCGAGCGCCCACAGACGACGCGCGGGCGAGCACAACGGGACATCATGGGACCCCTTGCCAGGGACGTACATAAGCATAAGTTGCGCCACCCCTCGAGACGAAGGTCGCTCTTGCAGAAGCGTCAGGCGGGCATTCGCGGAAGCATTAGACGTCCTCGGTTCGGTTCCGAGCGCTGGCGGAGAGTATGCACGCCCACACCAGGCTGGAGTTCCCTCGCGCGCGAAGACTGGCATACGGAGGCGCGTCGGATGAACCGACCGTTCGTTTGGGTTGGATTTGTACGCAGTACATGGGGTGTGCATTGTGTGTGGCACACTGAAGGGGTGCGATTAGGGGTGTGTTAGAGCACTGTACTAGCTAGCATGACGATCTGCCAAGTGAGACTGAGACTGGCTCAAGGATGGAGCGCGTTAGCCACCGTCTATGCCGAGATTGAGATCTGCGAGGCTCGGGGCGCGGCGGGGTGGCCCGTCCGGCTCAGAAGACGCCGGTGCGCTGCCTGGGCTCGGACTCAGACATTGCCATCAACCCGACTATACTGTACCGCACAGAGCGGACGCGCGCAAGCCAGGGTGAGCACCCCAGAGACAGGTCTGGTCTGAGGAAAGGCAAGGGCGCTGAGCCGCCAGCTGAACGAGTCGGATGTTGATCGCTGCTTGTCGTCGACCGCGGTGCAGGCGTTCCGAGGGTCTCTTCGTGCGCGGTTTCCGTGGCCCGGGCTGCCGCGGTGCGTGGCGGGGGTACCTGAACGCATCGCATCTCTCTGCGGCTTCTACCACCAACGGCGCATGCGAGTCGTGAAGAAGCTTGAAGCAAAGCGGCATCCGGCTGTGGACATATCGGGATCCAGCAACGTGGAACGAAGCCCCCAAAGCCTGATAACGACGCGCTAGCAGACGGGACTGCGGTGTCTGTACGGTTGTTCAAATCAACACCAAGGAACGCAGAACGGAGGGCGATGATGCTCCCTCCACCCAGAAGCCATCGACCTTGTCCAACATGGCAGTGCGAATGGTCGCGAGGCGGATCGAGGATCCTAGCGAGGCGTAGGAAGTAGCCCTGGCCATGCGGAATAAGGCAGCGAGCCCGGGCGAACGAGATCCCGAGATATACGCGCGGGGAGGACGTGCGGGGGAACGTCCGCCCAGATATGGGAGCCAGCGCAGATCACCGGCTGCATTCGCCATTCTAGTGGAATCGGTCTGGGGTCGGACGTCCGGGAGACGCGTGCGCAGATCCGTGCGCGCGCGTGCGCGCGAGGTGCAAGGAGGCGGTGGCCGCCTTCGAATCTTCGTCGAGTGCTGCTAGGGGGCGGAACCGGGAAGAAGCGCGCGAAGGTGGGGAACGGGATGCGAGAAGGGAGCGGAGTATCGCAGCTCGGATGATCAGGACGTGTCGTCGACAGTTCGCGCGGAGGGGGAGACCGAGGCAGGGCGATGTAGAAGTCACATCTCAGAGAAGGACGGCCGATACAGGAAGCGACCGACGCGCGAACGCGCTCCAACGCTGGGTACGGAGGTTTTCTGGACCGCGCGCGATCAGGCACAGTGCACGCGCGAAGGGCGCGCAGCTCTTCGTCGAATCCCGAGCTTCTCGCTCGCTAGTGTCTTGCACGTAAAGAGGCAGCTAGCCAGAGGACGCGTCGCGCTCTTTATCGGCAAGAGGCGCTGCCAGTGTAGGATCAGGAGAGTCGTTCCTGTACTGGGTAGACTTGTGACCAGTGTTGCGAGCCGACTGTCATCAGCCAGAAATGATTCGTGCGCGCCGGGGTGCAGAGTGCGGTTCCCTGGAGGGGTGGAACGCACATCTCTGCATGGACAGCGTCTGATCCAGATGTCTTCATGGGTTTCGATGAGCTGCACAGAGACAACAAGACCAACAAGAATTACGCGAACGCATGGTCCTGGAGGGGCCGTCGTCACGTGTGTGTACTGGGTATCACAATGTGAGTTGTGAGCACGACTTGATCAGCGCGTACAACTTGGACATGGACCACGTCTGTAGCGGATCGGCTTACCTGGTATCTCAGGACGACGACTCGAAACCTGGGCTCAGGCCCGACTGCTCCGAGTGCGTCAGCACAGGCTCGTTATGCCACAAAAACACCGACGCCGCACCGGTGACGCTGCCGGCAGCGGTGCCAAGTAGCAGTTCTCGTCAGTGGAGCCTCTGACCGTAACAGCTCACCATGCCACATCGATGGGCGAGCAGCCGTTCGATCGCGCAATGCTTCCACCGGGACGAGTAGAACCGCGCATCCACCCAACATGTTCGCCCGCAACCGCTGCTCATACGTGGCCCAGCCGACTGCTTTTATGTTCCACATCGTAAGAGGCCGTAATAGAAACTTGGAGCGTCTAGAACGCATATACTCGTCCGACCAATGAAGGCGGCTGCCGCGGAACGAGTAACTTAATGCCGAAGACGCGAAGGCGACGATGAGGCTCCAAAGTGGGGGTGAGCAGTGCTCTCCAGTATTCAGTCAGCTAATCAGGCTGACCCTGACCGTCGGCTCTCACATGGAACGAGAAGTCCCCGGCCAGAGCAGAGGAAGCAATAGTGCTGCAATAAGATGACGCGCTGGGCGTCCCACCGGCTCGTTTCCGCACCCTGACGATCCCCTGCCCGATCGTGCATGCGTCCGACTGTGGGGGATCGACGGTGCGCGAAAGGGGGGATCATGGCAGCGGGAGCGAGGATGGACAAGAGCGCAAGAAAAACACACGCACATCTGCACAGAAGCCTTCCAGGTTTGGGCCAGATGAGAGTCGGCCATGGGGATCCACGGCGGCAGCATCAACGCCGGGCTGTTCCAAACGAGTATGCCGGTGGGGATTGCTCGGTAGTCGGAGATGGAGCCTAGAACTTCGGGGGAGTCCAAGGAACGCAAGTATAGATTGCATGCCATCTCGTCATTCTCGAAGTTCTTGGGAGATGGGAGAAGCTTTCGTAGCGACCTGAGATAGATGGACGATGGACAAGGCGCATTTTAAGTGGATTATACCCACGACCGAGACCGTTCTCGTCCAATAGGAACGCGAGAAGCGCTCGACCCTTTTGTTCACGGAACGAAGGCTGTTCTTGATAGCATCTCACACGTAATAGTCGCTGGTGTGGAAATACAACCTTAGCAGAGCGTTACGGCGACAGCTCCCATAGCTTGCTTCAGCCGAGGCGTGCTGGTTGAAGGTGACAACCAATTTCTACACGGGATAGAGATGATAAGATGTTAGATTGAGACGACGGCACTGTTCACTTACACCAAGACACTATCAGCCTTGAGAACCACAAACGCGCGAACGCATCATCAGTAAGAAATCAGAATGACGTAGGACAGTCAAGACGCCTCACCTCCTCCTGGTTCGAGAGGGCCATATATGTAGCCCCGGCCACTCCGGCAATGTCAACCCGACCCCACTCCTTTATGCGCATGCCGTAAGACGCATTGAACGTTTTCGTTCATTGGTGTCGATGAAGCTATCCGGCGGGTTATTCGTGCCCTCATGCTACAAACGAAAGCGCGGGTACTAGTCAGGAATGACGCAAGCGGCTCGAGGAATAAGTATACCTCGGAGAAACCACCTTCAGCTGCCCATGTGCTCGTACTACGCGAAGTCGCAACCAGTAATCGCCCGGCAGATGGGTATGCACCCTAGCAGCAAGAGGGGACGGATTTTCGAGGGCGATGGCACAGATAAGGCAAAGATGGTGTTGTCTGACCTCCCTGGGACGCCATCAGGAGATCATCGATCTTGGCCATTCCACGGGAATACCGGTCGCAGAGGGGGCCAACAGCGGGAAGCGCATGAGTTGTCGGGACCCGACACGATGGATACTTTGACAGGCTACACCGAGAGAAATAGATCAGAAAATAGTGGGCGGCTGTGGTGAGGACGCACGCGGACGAGAAAAGCTTGATGTGAGTTCGCGGGCCCGCATCGCGCCTATAGAAACCCGGAAGGGTACTTGACGATATCACCATGAATACTTTGTACATGGACGCGAGTGGAGGACCACTCATGGCCATGCTGTGAGAAGATGCGGGGGGCGGGTCGCCTTCGGGACCGCATCGCGCCCCCGGTTACGGCAGGACAGTTCGAAAGAAGAGAACACAGAGAGCGCAAGGCCGGTAGGAACAAAGGACTGCCCGTCCTCGGAGTTTGCCTGATCAGAGCGTGTGCTCAAAGTAGGGGGTACAATTGTAACCATCACCTACAAAGGGCTAAGGCCTGAAGGTACGCGTCTGATCTGGGGGTCCTGGAGAAATAATCGACGCATCCTTGGCGCTTCTCAATGTGGGGTAAGTGGGGAACGCGGGACCAGAATTTGCCGATAGCCGCCCTGTAGGTCCTGCCCCATTATGCTTGGGCACTTGTCCTATGGCAACATGATCGACCGAGAGCCCTGGCGAGCCCAGGTGGTAGAGATTACTGTGAGATCACTACTATTGCCCCGTCGCAAGCGGTTCTAATGATTGGGTGGACTGAGACGTCTAGGAGGTGTTTCCACCGGAGGACTCACCAGGAAGTTCGTATGGTCTGCTGCGGCCCCCGACGCCGACGGTCCCATCATATGTCACAAACACCCGAAACAGGACGTCCCGCAGAGATCCTTGCGCAGATGGCAGTATTGATTGTGAGCACGCGACGCATCAACAATTAGGCTGCGAGCGAAAACGTACCAGACATGTTGTGTCCAACCAGAGAGTCTCCGACGGACGTGACTGAGTAGATTCATCTGGTTGCCAACATGATCCGCGACGTAATGCGATCGTCGGACGGGACCTATGTGATTCCAAGTCATTCTATGCCACATGGCAGCTGTGAACGGGATTTGGAAACGCAAAATAACAGAGAAGGGCATTCACTAACACCAGGCAATGCCTAAGACCTGATTCAAGACCATCCTGCGAATTGGACGGGAGATCGGATATAGATGGCGCAGAGATCGCCGTTCAACCAGGGATCCGAGAGTTTGATCATGGACCCCGGACACCAGCGGGTCAGTGCTGGTGCGAGACGCGACACTCGCCGACATCGTTCCCCTAAACCTAGAGTAGAGCACAGAACAGGTAGATAGTGGATGGAGCAATATGCAAAAGGGTGAGAATGTCCTCGGCGGCTGTAGTAGAATATGGGGTACCTGACAAGGACACCTGCCGCGACCCAGTAACTGTGATGTGAGCGTTCCAATAGGATTTGTCGGGAGGGAGTCAGACACGGTCGGAAGGGAAGGCGTGCAACGAGACGCGCACTGACCCAGAGAATAATAAGCGGGGGAAAAGCAAACAAGGAGCAGTGCAGACTCGTCTGCGCCCTTTAAACGTTCGCAATCGCCACGTTGTACGCTCGTCTGACCACGTCGCCACAGTGACGGAAGAGCACTGTACGCCGTTCATCTGACTTCCGTAACATGGCCGCCATCCTCACGTGGCTGGAGCGATAACCCAGCGCGACTCGTCTCCCCAAGCGGCGAGCGCATGCGTCGGCAGCAGAGGCGGGTGGTAGTCGGACATAGGTCGCCGATTGTGCCGCAAGCTCAAGTGTGCGATGGTGAGTCGTTAGAGGATGGAAATTGTCCGTTTTGGAGTATTGTTGCAGTTGACTGACTTACTGGCGCCAGGACTATGTAGCACCGAGCACGCGAGAATGGGATGGAGCCAAAACAGCTTCCTCGTGCTCCAGGAGCTCAGCTAGGGAGGACCTAGTGCCGATGGGCATGTCAAACGTCTCCGGTAAGCTGTCTTCAATACGGGTCAGCCGATGAAAGATGTATCCGCACAGAAGTCCTGGAGGACCTGATTATCATGAACTAGGACGTCCAGGGGAGGACAGATGGGATTTTAAGCCCGAACACGCCTGTAAACGAAAATGGGCTCAGTTCGAGTGGCAGCATGGCTCCCTTGCGTGCATGATACGTGTGTTCCATGCAGGACGCTTGTAATCACGGCGGCACCGACACGCAAGGCAAGGGCATTCACATGAGCGCAGCGTGGTGCAATCGGAAAACCTGGTGGCATGACTAGTAGTTTCGGCGTAAACGTATACAACTTGAACGCACAGACGAGTGGGTTTGACGAAGGAAACAGCACGAAGGGAGCCAGAGCGGGAACACCGATGTGACCTTCTGCATGTCACACGTTACTCATCTGAGTCACGCGTGGTCGCCGACTTCCCTGCGGGCGTGGGCGAAAGGCACTCGCGACGTTGTCTTGCCTTGCATCCAGATACTGGTGCTGACAATTAATTGTGCTCTGCTTGATGTCTGGCGACAACAATCTTGAATAGTGTCCGAATGGGCTAGACGGCGCGCAAGGAACCCGCTGTGTGGTGCAGAATCTCTAGTCCACTTCCTCCACGTCTCGTTCAAGAGCTATCTTGCCGATCGTTCCTGGAGAGACATCGCATCCTTGGGAGCAAGCGGGGGAGTGGTTTATATAGTCGTGCTCTTATGGTCAACGCGTCGTTGACCCGCCACGGCAGCCCTACTTGAAGGGTCCCGGTTAGGGCTTGGCAGGAGGTACCTTCGCCGTAACACAGTATGCCTCCCAATTCAACACAATCTCCCCGTCTCCGAACCTGCGCTTCAGCTCCTCCACGAGCGCACTTTGTACGTGCGGCTCCACCCTCTCCCAATCTTCCTTGCTCCACGAGTTCTTCAACATCATGTCCACTTTGTACACTTTCACGTACTCCTCCGTGTCCTTGTAGCGCGTCCGGTTCTCGTGAACGGTCGTTTGGACGTCTTCGAATCCGGCGTTTCGGATCTGCTCCTCGAAGAACTCCGGTCTTGTCCACTGTTCGTCGCCGGGCTGAGGGTCCTTCATCATCTTCACCCCGTATTCCTCCAATGTCGGGAAGCGAGGCGCCCCCGGGATGCTAGTGATGGCCGCTTTGGCGATATCGTACCACGCGACTGTCTTGAAGATCGAGAACGCGGCTAAACCAGATGGGCGGAGGACGCGGTAGACCTCGGAGAGGACGGCACGAGGGTCGGGGATGCCGACAAGACCGAAGTTGGCGGTGACATGGGTGAATTGGTTCGATGGTAAGTCCATATCCTATCGCTCTTGTGATCAGCATGTAGGATATGGGACAAGACTGGAACGGCATACCATCGCGTCGACGAGCTTTGCGTCGATGTGCACCCATCCATTCTGCTCGATGCGTTCTTGTACGGCCGATATCATCGCAGGCGAAAGGTCCCCAGCAACGACCTGCAGACGTGCCTTCGCGGCCGGCGGGAGTATGCCGTACAGATACTCGAGGACGATGCCCGTGCCAGTTGCGTTATCGAGAAGGACAATGTCCTCGCTGCCTTCGGCACGGTCGAGGCCGCATTGCAGGAGGAGTTGCAGCCCGAAGGGGCCAGTGATGTGCTCGGCCCCCTTGTGCCGTTTGGCAAATTCCTCGCTCTTCCAGTAGTCCGTGGTCATTGCAATCAGGAGGGTACTGCTCTCGCTTGGGTATCGGTACAAGGAGCAGTTGTTAGTGTGAGGGTAGCGTTTGGGATGGTGACGGCACGCTGACTTTCATAGCGGGTTTGTTAGATTTGTAATATATTGGCGGTAGATACGTAGTCGCGGAGCTGACGGCCGCAGTCAATGTGTGGACGAGAGTACATATGTCTGATTTCGCTTCAGTTACCCTCTGAGTCATTGGTTTATCCTCTTCCGGCGCACGGCGGCAGAGCACACAGGGCACCGTCACAATGACGCAAGTACCAGGCTCTGAACCCTCAACTGCAGTGTCCAAACAATATAGAGACACGGTGACGAAGCCACCAGTCTTGAGACCCGTCGATACACCTCCACGACAGCTGTATGTGCGATGTGTTTCTATGCTGAAGGGAACAAGGCATTTGCATAAAGGATGCACTTGTAAGTCAATGCTAGCCATGTGCCAAGAGGCCATCCGAGCCCCAGTGTGGCAGCCAAGATGCTGCCTCAAATCACTTTCAAGATCACTGAGCCCACAGCAAAGTTGTAATGGACATCACCGGGTAGAGAAAGGTACAATAGTACCAGTCCGAACGGTCGTAATGGCCGAGTTTTTCTACCATGTATGTAGGCACGTGATAGGATTGGCCAAATTCAGCAGACGAGGCGGAACCCCCGGCTCAACATATTAGGTCGAGACTGGACTTGCGATAGACACAGTTGGCCATCAGCAAAAAAGCGAAACGGATGGTCGGTGATGACCAGGTTCCGCAATTCTGACCAGATTGGGCAAGGTATGAGAAGTAGATGGTGAACCCGTAGCAAATCCGCCAGATATGGTATGCAATGGCCAGACCTTGCAGGGCGCCTGGACATTGATAGCCATTTCTCGCTGAGCATTCGGACAGCAGCTACCATACTGTAGGGGAACTAAGGCCGATGATGTACATTATTGACTGGGCTCATGAACATACATGGTCAGTGGCTTGTGCAAATTCTACCATACATGCCCACGCTGCGAAATGGTCACTTGTCACGTTCAAGAAGTAGCCGACAAATGATCACACAATTCGAGTTTGGTTTTCGATGATAATGATGATTGGACGCGAACTGCTATACATGGAAGAAGGCAGACATGAATGTAGCCAGTCTACACACCTACTGTGCGCAAAAAAAAAGCGGGTTAGGGTTAGCAGGGCTAGTCGCTGGGTGAGCAGGAGCAAGGATGCTCCCGAGGCCAAAGTCACAAGTACGCAACAATGTCTATGCAATCATACAAAAGGTAAGTCAAGCAACAAGGCTTACGGAAAGGGCAAGAGCAAGACACAACTAGTGTGTGCACATTATACATACCTATGGGATGTTTATGAGGAGTCGAAGGCAGGCGGGTGGAGCTAGACATTAGTAGCTACAGCCGTCTTGGCATGACTCACAAACATCAGATCCCAAGGGGCATGTTGCAGAACTGGTACGTTGTAGCGGGTGATAAAGGGGGGATGCAGACGCGGCGTCGAGAGATGGGAGTGCAAGAGATGGTTCAGGGCAGGGCTGGCACAATGACAGGCCGTTGATTGAGTTATAACCTAAAATACACGTCATCGATGAGCAAGATTGAAAAGTATCAGTAGGGAGTACACGTAGAAAGAAGGCAGGGTGAGGATCGTCACCACACCGGGCAGACGCTCACAATGGCTGCATGCCCATGCTCCGGCGCACGGGGCATCTGGTCGGTTTTGCTGTGGACGCTGTCGCGATCGTCCACAGCAACGACACCATCTGACTGAATACAACGCTGCTGAGTTGCCGCGCACTCACCCGCTTTGCCTGCATCGGCACTTCGGCGCCGTGTTCTACAAATAGTAGGCCGCAACCTGACCTGCCGCCCCATGCCGCCACTCATGGCGGCGGCGGCGGATGCACAGACGAGGAGGCAGAGAGAGCCGAGGCGGAAAGGAGGATGGAGGAGGATGAGGAGCGCGTTCGGGAGAGAGATTGGGGAGATGTTAGTAAGGAGTGCCGAGGAGGCGGCTGTGATGCAGCGGAGCGCTTTGCATAGTCTCGACGTATACGCACTTTCTCTGATGACGATTGAGTGGTATGAACTAGAAGGACAAGATGAATACCTACCTACCATTGTCGGGATCCATGCGCGCAGATGCTTAATGGCCGGAGTCTGTCGGACGATATGGGAGTTGGCCAGCATTAGTAGGCGCTTGTGGTTTCCGGAAAGGGTAGGCCAGTTTCGGGCGCCGTGGCCATGCAATACCATTGTTTGCACAATTTGCTGATGTGTGCCATCGCTGCAGACACTTCTCTCTGTCTCAATGGGCTTGCCTCAGCCGGTTCCTAGCCAGATTCGACCGCACGCAATGCCATGGCGCAATGTTATCAGCCAGCTTATCGACCTCCAGATCTCTGGCTGTAATAGCCTGACTGTCCTTGACGTCGCTCTTGCGGTGCTCTTCCTTGTCTTTCTCTTCATACTCATTCGTCGCGGCTCTTCTCCTCCTGGCCCCTTTGGTGTGCCCTTCATAGGTGTCGCCTGGCAGATCCCGTCGGATAAGCAATGGCTGAAGTTTCACGACTGGATTTCGCATTACGGTACGTTCCGCGGCAACGTAGGATAGCATCTAGCGCAGTAGATGCGGGCCTACCGCTGTATTGGAAGCCTGATGTCTTGGCGGTGTCCTTGTGAGTTTGGTAGGCCCCTCAGCAGTCGCGCCCAATACATTCCAGGATTGTTATGGTGATGTTCTGCCTCCATCTTACTGAACGCTTTGCCATAAAGGTGACGTCGTGGCGATCACCGTTATGGGAAGGCCAACCCTTATCCTTGGGTCTGTCAAGGCGGCGAACGATCTTCTCGACGCTAAAGGTAGGCACTATTTGCTTTGCCCCGTCTGAAGTATCCGCAACTCGTCACTCGCACACAATCGAACATGCTACGGATTGGCGCGGTACTCGAAGGCACCATATACTCCGACAGACCCAACGCCGTCATGGCGGGAGAACTGTTAGTTTTCTCTCCTAACTCTCTTCGTCTATGCACTCTGAAGCTCTTAAATTTCAACTCCCCCAATGACTGGCCTGGGTCTGGAAACCCAATACATGAATTTCATTGCATGCTGAATGTTTGCACCATCGATCTCCCGCGAACCGGATCCTGCCATGTCTGGACCTTGTCAACACACCTGCGCAGCGTCGGCTGGGACCGCGGCCTTGGATACGCGCACGCGCCCGACAACCCCCGCTTCCGCGAGTTCCGCAGACTCTTCCAACAATTTATCGGGCCTCGCGCGTGCCTAGACTCGCACATCCTTGCCATCCAGGAGCAAGAGACGCACCGGCTCATGTTGCGCTTCCTTCGAGACCCCACGAACTTCTATAGGCATCCGCGCGAGTGAGTCTCCCCCAGCTTGACTGCCATGGTTGAGGCATAGATCTTCATGCACGAGAACCTGGAACGGTTAGGTCGACTGGAGCACTCATCCTTCGTCTCGCGTACGGCTACCAGGTGGCTAGGGATGCCGAAGAGGACCCGCTTGTGCGCGTGGTCGAGGTTGCGATGCAGGGATTTGCGAAGGCGTCAGAGCCTGGCGCATTCCTGGTAGACAGCTTTCCCTTGCTGCGGTATGTGCCCGAGTGGCTACTCCCCAGGGGCGGGTTCAAGGCAGTCGCGAGGCGTATGCGACGGGAGCTGGACGAAATGTATGATCTGCCGTTCCGGTTCGCGAAGACGCAGATGGTGAGGATTCCTTTGGAATTGCCAAAATGAACATTGAGTTTCACTGAGCGTGGCGCGTAGGAAGCAGGAAAAGCTGTCCCTTCTTTCACGACGAGCTATCTCGAGGAGAAGATCACCCCAACGCCTGCAGACGAAGAGCTCATCAAGGCCGCGGCTGCATCACTGTACTCGGGCGGTGCTGACACTGTAAGCTTTACGTTCACATACTGTAATTTCTCACATCCTTTGACCACCCAATCGATATCAGACACCATCCTCTATGACCGCATTCATACTCGCGATGACACTCTGGCCTGACGTCCAGACCCGTGCACAAGCGGAGCTTGACTCCGTCCTTGGCGCGTTCTGGACCCGACTCCCGACGTTCGCCGATCGTGCTCAGTTGCCATACGTCAATGCGATCGTCCTAGAGGTGCTCCGATGGAACCCAGCCGTCCCGCTCGGGCTTGCGCACCGGCTCACGCAGGACGACGTATACCGGGGCTGGTTCATACCCAAGGGCACGGTCGTTTGGGCGAATATTTGGTGAATATGATGCCTCAATGACGGAGGTGCATTAGATTGATTCCATGAACAGGTCAATGCTACAGGATCCTACCGTTTTCCCTGAGCCCCAAGTATTCAGACCGGAGCGATACCTCAAAGAGGATGGGACGCTGCACGAATTAGAGCGCCATGAAGACCCGTCTATCATCGGTTTCGGCTTCGGACGGAGGTGCGTCTGACATCCAACACCGTTGGTAGCTGAAGAATGACTGTACCCATACAGGATCTGTCCTGGAATGTTTTTCGCGATGAACTCGGTCTTCATCGGGATCGCCACCATGCTCTACGTCTTTCATATCTCTAAGAGTACAGACGAAAATGGCAACGACATTATCCCTGCGATTGACTTTCGAGGCTTTATCAGGTGCGTAGTATCTCTTTTCCATGTCTGTAGGGTATATTATTGTGGCCTTGATCTAGTCACCCCGTCCCGTTCAAATGCGATATCACTGCGAGGTCCGAAGAGGCTGCTGTACTGATCAGAAAGATGGCGGGGGAAGATTAGATGCACAGTTCATGCATGATGTCTCTTTCGAGGACCAATGATATACTACTACTATTAGTGGCATGTAACTTCCTCGTGTCAGTAAGATAAGACTGTTAACGTTTGCCAAGCACATACAACCGGGCGCTTGATACGACGTGCCAGCGACCTCCAGAAGCGCCCTTCCTGAGCTTGCCTCAAGCCCCCATCTGCTTGACCAGACTACTAAAGGACTAGCAATCTTCTTGCCACATTGGCCTATCCAATCCTTTGGAACCTCGATTAGAAACCCAAAGAGGCATACACTCAGACATCCTAGCATCGGAAGCTGTCGGTGCACCATCATGTCGACCACGGCCTTCGTGGTTCGTGAAAAGGATGTATCCGGACGCGTAATTGCACTGTATAGCAGTGACACTGAAGATACAGCGAATAATATGCAACACACAAAGCGAACTAATGAGGTTCTGAGGGTTCTCAGCGCACTATATCTCAAATCACTGATTCACTCACGCTGGTTCCGGACGTAGGCTACTAGACGCGCTTGGCGGCATTTCTTCAGCGAAGTTTTCCTCCCCGAAGGATACCCTGCCACTGTATCGGAAGGTGAGAATGGTGTATAAAGTGAAGAGCCGCGGATTTGCTGAACCCCATTTGTGATAGATTATACAGAGTATGTTTTCTACCTCATCGCTAATCGTTTGGTCCGAGACAACCTCATCCCAGGTATCAAATTTACAATGCACTACAGGCGTTCTGCAGTTCCCTCGCATCACTTTTTGCTTCGCGCGCAGTCTTGCAAGGTGAAGCAGTCTCTTGTTGTCACCGCGATAAATGGGCTGATGGCATGGGGATGGCAGGTCACGGAGTTGGAGATGCGTCTGCGTCCGCGACAAACGCGATTCTTTTGACAGTGCTCCAAGACGTTTTCAGTCGACTCACAAGTAGGAATAGAATCTTTAGCTGTCAAGATTCGTCCATCTAACACTTTTGTGTATGTGCAGCCATCGTTGGCGGTTACTACCTCGGCACCTCCCTTACCCCCGAAGCGAAGACGTATCGCCTCCTTGCAGATGTCTTGAATGATGCCGCCATCATCTCAGACACGCTATCGCCATACCTGGCGTTTGTTACGTTATCGACTCAATATCCTTTCGTGAGGCCCGGCGCAAGCTCGTCTCTACGCGTGGTAGCGCTTTGTCTCAGCGGAGCGTTCCGCGCTCTCTGCGGCGCTGTCGCCGGAGGCTCTAAGGCTGCGCTGACTGTGCATTTTGCTACAGACGGCGAAAGGCCGGGAGATGTGGGAGACCTCAGCGCTAAGGACGGCAGCAAGGAGACCGTTCTTGCATTGCTCGGTATGCTCGTACGTGTGGTGTCTGTCATTCATCTTTGTGGCCGCTAACAGATCGGTGGCAGTGCGGTTCGGTCGTGGTGCACTATGTGCATAGCGCGCAAGCTACCTACGCTGTTCTCTTTGCTCTGGTCTTCTTCCATCTCGCCTTCAACTACATGGCTGTACGTGTGATATCCATGCGGTACTTTAACAGGCAGCGCGCGAGCATCGCGTGGCAAAAATATCGCTCCTCATTTGATGGTACGCTTCTGGTTCACGCGTCGTTAGGACAGATGTCTGACTCCATGGCACAGCCCAGGGGAAACCCGCTTCCAAGGCAGAGGTGCCTGGCTATATCGCTGTCTCTCGCCGCGAGGAGATATTCACCGACGCGTCATGGATAGACTGCGGGAGTGCTCCGCCCGCGCGGGTGGCTCTAGGCGTTCCTTTTGCATTACTGAGGCAGCCGTGTGCGACATCCAGCTCATGGCTACCAAGCTTCTCTACTCAGATTCGCCTGCGGTCCCAGTTGCTCAGCGATGTGGAGATCGTTGCGCTTCTCCACGTTTTCGCAGACGAAAAGTACATTCTATCCATAGCATCAGCGCCCTCTAGCCAGCTATCCATTCTCGTCAGCTTCAAGGAGGGGCACCAGGCACGCGATCATCTTAAAGCGTGGGCGCACGCGCACGAACTGGCCTGGATGTGCGGAGGAAAGACGCCTTCGAATTTTGATTCGCAGCTCTCAGCCGTGAGTGCGGCGCTGGAGAGCGTCTCACATATCTTTCCGGGATTCGTGGAAGCTGCGAAATCTGTTGGTTGGAAGGTTGATGAAGGTGTGCTGCTGGGAGGGTCCCCGGTAGCGCTGTCAATCGAGTTGCTTGATGGTAGATCAGGAAATAGGGACGATGCATGACGTAGTACGAGTGCGTACACTAGGAAACATATATAGCGCGGCTCCCCAAAAATGTCAGCCTTAGGACTGCAACGGCGCAAAAGGACCAGCTGAGGGAGGCCAACATGTCGGCTCTCCAATGTTTCGCGCCCACAACGACCTAGTGAACCAATGTTTCCGGGGAAAAGCTGTATTCCTCCCTGTGCAGCTCGGTCAGGGCCTTCGTTTGACGTGAGTCACACAGAGAAGGATGCTTCAGAAGGACATGAGTGACGGAAGACCGGGTCAACGCGTGGTGAGTCCTAGCTACAAATCCCTTGTTGCCGAACCTCAACCCGCGTCAGTCATCGCGACCGCTCCAAATCATGCCCTCCAGCGAAACAATCTGGCGAGCGTCGCATTCGGTGATCGGCCTCCATTTTGCGATCTCAATGTCGGCTACCTCCCATGCCTTTAGCCCCTTGCCTTCGATGTCGAAGACGATGTGACGTAGCGAAGGAATGCTGCCCGCCAAGAGCTGCATCCCTCTCTCTAACTCTCGGTGAAGCTCAGTCAGCGCCTCTATCTGACTAAAGTCACTCTGCGAAGGGAGCTCCAGAAGAATATGCGAAATGGAGGACCGCGCCAACGTCTGGCTGAGGGCCAACTGCGAGCACTATGTTAGCGTCTCTCCTGGTACGGATACGCCCTAATGTACACTGACCAACAGTTGCTCCAAGGGGAGGTCGTCCGCCATCATTACAGAAGAGATGACGGCCGTGAGGTGCGTGACGGATGGCGCATTCTCCAGCGGGACGAGAAGGCGCGGGACGACTCCAAGAAAATCGGTGCCCGAATGGTTCGGAAGCAGCACCAGCACGCGCGGACGCAGGTCTGCGTAGAACAGCGCCATCTGTTCCGGTATGAGGAGCGACTCGGGGACCTCCAGCCGCTCAACAGGGCAGCACAGTGGGAACCAGCCTGAAAACGACCCGATGGTTTCGTGGATGCGCAAGGTCCGTAGCTTGGGCCACGTACCGCCTTGGTCGCGCACCGAAGCCACAGAGCGCTCGTGCCAGCGAGCGAGGGGGCCAAAATCGTCCTGAGCGGTATACTGTGAGAGCGCATCGTAGAATCCGCCCCTCTCGTTCCATTGTTCATCGAGTAGCACGAGATTGAGCGTGAGCACCTCGACGATGGGGAACATGCGCGCCATCGCGACCAAGCTGCTCGGGGCTTGAACGGGATCGATACAGAGGGAACGAACAGAAGGGAATGTGATAGATGATGAGTCATGGGAAAATGCCCTGCCAGCCCAGATATGTCGTAGTCTCAGCTTCTGAATCGTGCGTCGATGGCTAGTGAGGAAGTCGAGAGGAGCGAGTATGTCGGATAAGAAGTCAAGCCGTAATGTGAGGAGGTTCGGTAAGACGTCCCTTAAAACGCCTTCGTGCTTCGCGCCGATCCCTGTCAAGGAGAGCTCCTGTACTTGGGACATACAAGCGAAAGTCGCCCGCAGGTCTTCGGGCGGGAAGTAATCTGCGGAGACTCTGTCCAAAGACAGTGAAACGAGGTTGTTCGCAGACCGGAGGATGTGTAAAGCAAGCTCGCCAACCTCCGGAGCAGGTAAAGAGATATTGTCCTGCCTGCGCTTGAGAGGGGAGAACCGCCAACGCTTCAGAGAGTCGTATCGGGGTCGTCCACTCTTCGGCTCAAGAAATTCCTGGAAGGACCCTATGAGCGGCTCCTGAATCACGATTGTACCCCGAAGTAGTTCAATAGCCAGAAAATTATGAAGAGCTCGGCATGTCCTCGAGAAACGGGAAAGAGTAGGGCGGTCAAGGAAGTTCAGAATGTGGTTGAAGATGTCTTGATTTAGGTCGAGCAGATCGGTCGGTCGGTCTGGAATTGCTCGGGGCGCGACGCTATAGTGAATGATTCATCAGAAGCAGGTCAATGGTACCGAGCCATACACACCATGGGAATACAAAAGACCATATTGCTCTCGCGCAGATGGGCAAGCCTGACGGACCGGTGCGGTTCATTTCCAAGGTCACCAGAGCCAGTGACGCCCACATGGCTGATTGGCGCTTCTAACGTGATGGGCAGTGGCTGCCAAGCCCTTTCGATTCGGAGCAGGTCTGTTCTGTAGATTAGAGTCCCTCTTCAGAGAGGAGATGGACATGATAGCAGGTGCATTGCAGACTTAGATTCTGACAGGAAATCTTTCCTTCGTAATCCATAGTTTCGCTCTGGCATCGCTCTCCAGACGCATAAGGGCTTGCTTGGCACCATCATGGCACTGGGTGGGCAATATACTCTCCAACACGTCGCAAGGCCTCTAACTTGACCCATCATCCTCGTTATGATAGCAGCGGCCTCACGACGCCCCTCAAGTCCGCATACGCATAAATCGGCCCGTCATGTCTCTCAAATCTCCGCAGAAAGCTATGCCCGTCCCGGCGTCATTGCTGGAGTTCTCGACGATCACCTGACGAGGTGCATTGACCGAGCACCGGCGGCACGTTCAGGACATCCGCGCCACCCTCTCCGGATTTCGAGCAACGGATGCCAACGCGAATCGGCAGATCTACGCGAAATTGACGGCGACTTTCATGCTCCAGGACAACCAGATCGCGGTCGGGGACGTGGATCTCAACAAACCGTGCATGGAGACGACGGTTGCTGAGGTCTCCTACCCCCGTCGCTTCCGCGCAGGACGTGGCTGACAACCTGGAGGAGTGCGCCGAGCCGATGTCGTGCCCGACGAAGGAGGCATGGCGGAGCTCGCGGAACGCGACAGTGTACAAGGAGCCCAAGAGTGTTGCCCTAATCATTGCGCGAGTCTTGTGGGCCTTGCCCCTGTGTTCTCTTGGAACCCGAACGGTACTTTCCTCCGTTGAGGCCGTTGTAAGGATGGCATGTAGCATGGCGGCCATCTCCCTGACGCGACCTTCTTTCTGGGTAACGTCGGTGGGAAAGCGCGTTCCTCGCCCACGTTGTTCAAGGGTTGACAAGGGCAGATAGCCGTCTGGTGACGGGACCCGCCCCAAGCCCGTCCGTCTGCGTCTTCGGTCGCGAGTGCTTCCCCAAACAGAAAAAGTCCAGCTGACCGATCGGTCCCGTCGTGGGCCCTGAAACTACCGTATTGTCCTGACGGTAAACCCGCTCATCGGCACTATCGGCGCAGGATGGAATGTGGGTCGGGAAGACGACGTTCGACACCTTCACCCACTTCCGAGGCTGCAAGATCGTCCCTTTCAGGGGCGTAGCGTGCTTCACTCCGACACGTGCGGCATTTGACCTCGTGTGCACAGCAAGAAGGTCTTAGAAATCAGGTATCGACCACATACCCAAGGTAAGTGCGACATGCTTGTGCGCCTGGGACCGTCAAGATACCGGATGCGTAGTGCCAAGGGACATGCATGAAGTTGCGCAATGCGTAGCGCTAGCCTTGTACTCTGTCACATACTTGTATATCAGTCGTACTTTCTATGGCACGAGTCCGTTACGGGCACATTTTCACTTGTATGGGGAAAGGCCACGGACAATCGAGGAGATGACGCATTGCGATATTAGAAGTGAAGCATACAGGTATGGGCACGTCACAAGCAAGTCTAACCCTGGTTTGACCTAGGGACTCGTGGCGGTTTGACAACGTTGCCTCTGCAACGCGACGACAGCATCAAGCATTAGACATGTGCGGAGAGAGAGAGAATATCAAACGCACCTATGAAGAACGGCCAACTTATGCACCTCCGCCTTCTTTTTCAGAACCTCGCTCTCCCCCTTCACGATCGCAATTATCTCCCTTGCCAACCTCTCTGATACATGCTTCCCACCGTTCTTCTTCGCCGCCTCCCAGATCCAGTCGATGGCCGTCCTGGCCCGTTGACGTTCGCTGAGCGGCATGGGGAACACGTACTGCTTTGCGGCACGCTTGAACTGCCGACAGCGGAGAAGCGGAGCAGCGATTTCGACTGCCTCGCGTAGGATCGGAAGAGGGGGAGCCTTAGTGAAGGCGTGGATGTGCAGGAGCATCTTCGTCACAACGCGCGAGGCCATCTGCCGCTTGCCGTCGAACATGACCATGGACGTAAAGAGGTGCAGAAGCGGGTCCTCCGCGGGGGGTATGTGAATGACAGGGGGCTTTTCCGTGCGCGCGAAGGTCGTAGAGACGGCGGAGGGACCAGCGACAGAGGGTACATGGGTGAGGCCTGCGTCGGAGGCCTGTTTTGCGGCGTCCGCAACGCTCTCCGTGGTGACCCTCCGCACAATGGTGGGATGGCGAAGCGCAGCGCGCGTCGCGGCCTGTCGTATGCTCGCAAACATGTCTGTGAGCAGGGCGAGTGCGAAGTAGAGTGCAACAAGGACAGGGTACTTGCACAAGTTCTTGAGGCTCCCGACAGCAGCACGGATTTTGGAGAATCGAGGTTAGGGTTTCAACGACAAGGGCGTCTTCGGTGAAGGACTCGTCGTACATGTCCGTTATGTAATCCAAAAACCTCTTGCAATGCAACTTGAACAGCACGGTGAGTGTGAGCTAGCGCTATGAGCTCTTGTCCAGCAAATTCCATCAAGACTGCTCCTACAGACATCTGGCCATAGATGCCGCCATCGCGCGAAAACGAGTGTCGCATATCCTTGACCTGCCATTCGATACCCTCTACAACCTCATCACCTTTGTCCCACAGTGGGACCTATCACGCCTCGCAAGAACATGTCGACATCTTTTGCAGGCCTTGAATGCTGAACTTATCAGGCGGCCCTGCATCAGATACGGGCGCCTCCCTTTAGTTCATTACTGGCTACGCATTGGCGACGAACATAGCCATACGCACCTGCTTCGGCACCTCACAATCCAGGGGTTGGAAACGGTATGTCCCCCCCCTGCAGCCAGAGAGGCGAGAGCGTCTCATAGTCCAGATCCTCACCAATTGCCCGAATCTCGTCTATCTGTCAATGAACGACCTCTCAGCAGCCCTCTCGCCTCACCAGCTACGAATAGCTGTCATCTCTCTCACCTCTTTGGAGATTCTCATTATCACCTCCGTGTCTCCGGAATACAACGAAACTCTCCTGAATACCTTGCCCTCGCTTTGGACGGCAGATCTATCGTATGGTCTTCGCTGGATCGGTGAGAGAGGACCCCTCGGCGATCCCTTCTTCCTTCTTCATTCCCATCGGCATACTTTGTAGACACTCAGCCTCCGTAGCGTCCACCTTCCAGATCACGATGTGTCGTTTGTTGCTTTACGCCGACTCGAGCTCCAGTCCGTTCGGCTCCCACAAGGTGTCGGAAGCCTAATACACCTCTTCCCGAACATCCAACAGCTCACTCTCCTCGACATTCAATACACGAATCCGAATGTCCACTACTGGCGTCATCCAGACCGAATATCCATCAACGATGCCAGGGAGCTCCGTACCACCAGCAAACTTTGGCAGGTTACTCATGGTTCATGGGAGAAACTAATGAAAATCAAGGTCGAGACTGCGCTCAGCTTGTACTCGTTAGGCCTCGTTTGTTCCGTGGACACTGTTGAGATTTTAGACCCAGGCTCCTTCGCTTATGAGGAGTCAGATCGAGAGCTCGACGGTGTCATGCCCGCCGTCCTGGCAGATGTGCGACCGCGTTGCTTGGTGGTGGACATACCGAGCGCCGAGAGTATGACCACCCTTCTAGCACCGCTGTACGGCTCGTCATCCGTCACACGCCTCACCATCTCGTTCTCGCTGGGCATGCTTATGGGCATCCCTCTTGCATATATATTGGTGAGTGCCACTGCGCATCTTCCAGCTTTCGCGCGGCGTTGTGTTCATGACGATCTGTCCAGGAGCGACTGAGGGTCATTCTGCAGAACTCCGCTGTCTCCCAGTTAACCATCGTGGTTGGTCGAGAACAACCCTCGGACTGCGTCATCAGCCCATCCACTTACGCAGCGTGCCGACAGGCAACCGCATCCGCAGAGGAATTTGTGCGAAGCGGAGCTATCCCACCGTCCTTGAGGCGCCTTCTGCTTGACGTACACTTTCTTGGATCCCTGAAGGCGTGGCAAGTCGGATTGGGGGCTCCGGTGGATTACGTGCCGTAGACATGTCTCACGCAACCCGGGAGATGTCCGTTAGTGTCGTCAATAAAAATCTCAATGAGACGAGAGTTGCGGTGTCTATATAACTTTGGTAGCTCTGATGCAGCATTGGACGGTGGTATGACCATTCATATTCATCAACGAGATAAGGTTTGCTCGCCTCTTTGGGAAACCGGCGTTTTCCGAGGCATGCCGTATAACTTGAAGCTTGAAGAGTCGCCTAGTTGACTCTTGTACTTAGCACGGCCAGAGCCCTCGTGCCGCCCCCTCAGGTCAGTAGCACAATCGCATGGACGAGGTGTTTCTGCCTTACGTTACGCTCTAGTCCTGACTCGGGGATGATGGATAGCTATGCGAATCTTGCCAAGGTGCCCTACGATATCCTCCGCCATCTCGTCTTCCTTCTCTCGCAAGGAGACGTGTCTCGCTTAGCCAGGACTTGCCATGATCTTCACGATTCGCTTGTACTAGAACTCCTCAGAAACACAATGGTCGATGACGATCATCTGGGCAACTTTTGTCGATGGCTCGGACTTTCTGGAGAAGAAGACGTCGGTAATCGCGCTCTCCGCCTGCACGTTCTCACTATCAACAATCTGGGTACGGGCCCTAATGTCTTCGGAGTGACGAGTGGCTACCTACGTGAACTCCTTCCATGCTCTAGAAACCTCAAGAGCCTCACGCTTCACGGGCTCATCGAGTACGTCATCACCCCTGGGCAGCTGCGGTCGGCGCTGCAGGCCCTTCCCTCTCTGGAATACATCGACCTCGCAAATATCACTGCACAATACAAGGATATCTTTGCCGATGCCCTTTGCACGCCCCGTTCAGTGTCATTGTCTTTTGTCCCAAATCCACACCACCACCCTAGATTGACCAAGGAAATATTGGTCGATATCTTCCCCTTCCTCTGTCATCCGAGTCTCCAAGGCATCGAATCACTGACCATCAAGGCAGCGCGTCTAGATGCCTACTCTGTGTCATTTCCCGCCCTTCGCCGGCTGGAGGCCGATTCTTGCTGGCTGAGAGAGGTTCACGCTGACGCTCTCGCAGGCTCGTTCCCCTCCCTACAATATCTTTATCTTTCATCAATATACTTCCCCACTACTACTGTACCCGATGCCGTGATTGGGATGCCTCTCAGTGAGATGCATGATGGCCGGAACTTTGCCGGAAGATGGCGGGGCCTCCAAGGGATGCAGCGCGCGATGCTAGAGCAGGCCACCTGGCCCTCGCTGCAGATTCTCAGGGTTGGGACCGTGTTAGAATGGTACGCCCTCCATATGGCTTGCCCCGTCGCATGCGTGCAATTTGTTAAATTCTGTAGCCCAAAGTATGAGGCGCCTCACTCGGGGAGATGATGGAACGAGTGAGTTTCATTACCTGTAGCCCAAAGTATGAGGCGCTACAGGACATAGTGAGTACGGTGAGTATGTGGGTAACGCGAGAGACGACGTACCCTCACTCGGGGAGATGATGGAACGAGTGAGGGACGTTGGTTATGTGACGGGTGCTAGTATAGTGTGAACGGGAGATGCCGGCCTACAGCGCCTGATGCGTGAAGCGTGAACTCGTGAACTCTAACACTCCTCCTCGCTGTAGAGACGGGATCGTAGCACGTAGGTAAGGAAGTAAGAATGTCTGATAGGTATAGTGTAAGATTAGAACTTAGAACAATGCATGAGAGTAGAAAGTTAGGAGAGAAACCAGCGCGGAGGAACACTCCTCCTCGCGTCGATGTCAGGGATCAGGTAAGACCGAGGAACGAACGCAAACGGGAAAACTGCGGGCCAGGTAACGGCTTGGTGAAAATGTCTG